TCAGCTAAATCGGTTCAGCCGTTCTTGAGTTATAAGCGAAGTAACTAACACGACTTTCTTTTATATATATAGATATGTTGACGAAATAAATATAAAGATTTTTATCAGATGAAATTTTATACATCTACTAAATGTACATAATAAAAATTAAGATTCCCATCTTGAAAAGTCGCCACTTTTCTATACTAATATTATAAAGAGGTAAAGTTCGTGAATTTGTAAATTGTGAGTTTGTGATGTTGTAGGGGGTAATCTCTGGATCTACTGAGCCAATTTAGATGAAATCTGGTAGGAAGCTAGCTTGACACCCTGGGAAGGACATAGGATCCTTTTTATCCCAGAAATCATCCCTTAAGGGGGTGAAAATGTGGATGAAAGTTTATATGGGGAATCAATCTAGGGACGAACCCGAAAGAAACGAGGGTGAGTCGCTACTTGACATAACTGGTACAAAAATGTTATTAGATATTAATTGGCCATCTTTAAATCGATCAATTTCTCCATCAGTATTCCTAACTATAAGTGTCACAAGTAATAAATAAATAATCGAAAATTGTTGAATATCTACGTTTGGAGGCGAGTAAATCCCCGGAATGCGGCCCGGAGGATGGGCAGCGAAAGTAGCATTGTGGCGACGCGACGTAAGTGTGTTAATATTATGGAAGTGAATCTCTGACGGAGACCTATGGCTTATTGTTTACCTTATTTTCCAAAAAAGTAGGCCGTTTTCATTTGAGTGTTCTCATATCGTCTAACTATTTATTAAATTCGAATCGAATATTGTTAAATTTAAATTTATAATACATGTTAGATATATCAACAACATTTTTTACCTAAATAAATAAATGTGTTGGGATATAAACACACAGCACCATCTAGTTCCATGGTAAGCGACAAGGCTTGTGTTATGGATACCAGATAGTTGATACACTACATATATATAACTTTAAATACGTACATATTATAAATATAAACACCTATGACTAGAGTACAAACATTCGTGTTCATCACACAAATGAATGCCCGCAACGCACTCGAACCCGCGACAGCTGGCACAGCAAGTAGAGTCACTACAAACTAAGACAAACGCGTCAATTTAAGGACTAAGATCTTTTACCTTTGTCTTTTTTTTTCTTTATGAAAATTAATGTATACAATTTATTAAATCAAGTGGTCACTATCTGTCAGTTCGTGTTCACAAGTGACTGATTAATCTCGAGTCAGTAATCCTGCTTATGAGAGCGGAACGCGCAGCGCCGCGACAAAAACACTAGCGTGCGCGTCGCTCTGCGGACTTTGCTGTACTCATTACTTATTGATGAGCCATTTCCTTTAGGAAATATTGGTTTTGGACAATTAATTTAAAAATGTTGTCTGGGTTTTTCATTGGCTTGTTTCATTTTTTCCATCTTTCACAAGTTTTTTTTTCTATTCTAGTTCCGATTTAATTACTACGTTAAATATAAATTGAATGAGAATTGATATAAATAATATATTTTAATATTTAATTTTATTAAGTTAAAAATTCAATCACAGCCAATAAAGTCTATAATAGCATAAATGAACTATCTGTCGATCCATTTGGACCTTGAGATCCACTGGTCCAGTTAAGATTATTCGTAATATAAGTTATCTGTACCCTGTCATTTGTTTACGATAGATTTTAAGTTTTAGCCGTCGAAAATTGAATTTATACAGCTACAAATATGCAGCCTGAGCAAAGCTGGGTTAGACCTATAGTCTAATGTTACTCTTTGATTCTCTACACCCCTGGTTCATATATCTTTTCAAAATAATGATTATAGATTTAATAAATTACATTTTTTTCGCAATATATGATTATAGTGTGCAAAGTTAGAATCGCTAAAGTTCGATAAAATTGCAGGTTGATTAAGATTGATGTTGTTACCGTACACTTTAGTTAGTACAGCTACTACTTGTGTGGGTACTAAGCTGTGTTGAAATATTTATTATTGTTCATTTTACCATATAAAATAAACATTATTTACTGCAATCTTCCTTAATTTCCCCAAAAAATAATTTTTTTGCGTGATAATATCCACAATATCTTGCACTTCTTTAATCAATTTAATTCAATTCTTCTTCTAATTCCGTTAAAGCATAGGTACTTTGGGTTTCTGCTATTGGTGTTAGTAAAGAAGAGAAAATACTCACTATACGAGATCCGGACTGAATGTGGCTCAACAGATCAAAGAGCACCAAATATTCAGCGCGCAAGCGCTCGCGCATCCGATGTCGAATAATGTTGGAAACGTGCCGGCTTTGATTTAACTTATTGGTTATATTTTCCCTTAACTTACGTCCGCTACTCTGCTCGTTTTTCATTGACGGAAATAACCTATGCCATATCACTTAAAATCTCTGCTCAGACGTGAAAGTTCCATTAAATTCGGTTCAGAATTCTGGAGATAAGCCGTTTAGAACAGACAGACAATATTTGTCAATAATCATCATATGCATTGCTATTTATCCAATTATTGATAAATTAGTGCAAAACTCCTGCATCAGTAAAGTAATTTTTCAAACCTAACCTCATGGTCAATGTCTAATATGTATAGAATAATAAACAAAACAATCATTAGCATGACAACTCAGTTCAGGAAGACAACCGTGGTATGCGGAACCTATCGAGGCTCTTACAATATATGATTTAACATAAAACTTCATTTAATTTATAATAGAATCCTAAGTAACATAAATGCGAAAGTATGTTTGTTGGTTTGTCCTTCTTTTACGCAGCAACAGAGAAATCTATGGACGTGACTTTTTACATTGATATAGTTTGTGTGTCGAAGAGTGATACTACTCCTTATTTATTCCATCAGTACATCAAATTCTTGTTAGATATTCTTGAATTATAAAAGTGTTCTAAAGTGGTCTATATTTTTTTGAACCACTTAATAAAATATCTTCTTTAACCTGCAAAATCATATAGTCTTTATGGGAAACAATGGTGAAAGAGCTAAACAATTTCAAAAAAGTCATATTAACTAAATTTGTATAAAAGATGATGAAGTCGAATGTCAATATAATAAACTGCCTTGAGTTAGGTATTAATTACCACATTACAGCCATTTAATGAGTAGTGCAAGGTTTTATGAGAATGGAAACGGCAGCTTATTAGAAAATGAACGAATGCCACAATGAAAATTCCCTCACGGCATATAGACTAGGCTTTATGAATGTTGATTTGCAATGTAGTGCCATCTATTCCTTGTGGGATAGGCAAAAATAGAAAATGAATACAGGCTTTTCAATTTTCTCTATATTTTTTGGGTTACATGAACTAGCTATAAGGCTGCCAGACAGTATGTACATCAGATAAAATATATCTTTAGCTATTGTAACATCAGAAATAATTAAAGCTGTATAGAAGTTAACTTAACGGCCATACTAAATTGTCATTTGCCGGGGTTTAGCGAAACTTATTAAGAGAACGTGGACAGGACAGACTGCCACAAATACGATATGATCAATATGCGAATTTGATAAGAACGGCAATCAAACCCGTAACCTCGGACGTCGAGATGTTGAGATCGGCTATCATCACCACTGCGTCATATAATAAGTCGCATTCTGTAATCAAGTAGACCTCATTGGTCAGTCAGTGTCTGGAGTCACGAGCCAGTGGGTCGGTAACAAATCACGATTATGCTCTAACACGACATTGCAATTCAGTAAATTGGTATTAATTGAGAATTGACGTTTAGATGATGATAGCTTTCAACTGATGCTGCGTGTTGCACCAGAAAGCCCTCTGGTTCAGTTCCCGTTTGGGACTTATTCTTGTATATGAATGCTTCGTTGTGCGTGCTGGTTTACACGCACGAATAGCTTTACAAACGATGAGTGCATCGTGACCTTCAGTTTATTCCGAACTGCATAGTTTAGAAAGTGTATACAATATTTTAGTTTTTTTTTAATACTATTCCGAATTAGTGCTTGACTACGTTCCACCTGATGGTAAGTGGTAACGCAGTCGTAGATGGTAAGTCGCACTAATTCAGTAGCCACCTATTCACTCTTGCCTTGAAGACACCCATATTATAATCGGACGGAAACACCGACGCAGGCAGGTTGTTCCAATCCTTAGCCGTACGTATAATAAATGACGTAGCGAAACGCTTCGTGCGGACGGGTGGAATGTCCACGACATAAGGATGGAGACCAGCCGTTCGTCGAGTTGTCTGATGATGGAAAGGGGATGGGGGAATTAATTCATGTAGTTCCTGCGCACACTCTCCGAAATGTAACCTATAGAATACACAAAGGCTGGCAATCCTACGTCGGTGATCGAGGCTTTAAATAAGTTTTTAGTTTATACAAAGTAAGTTTAATCGAAAACTGCCAAGCTCTTCTTGTGTCATACGCACATAGACTGATTTAATAATTATACAGATATCCATATATATATATATATATATATATATATATATATATATATATATATAAGTATAGATCAGACTTCGATGTTTCGATTATATTATCTTTATAGTACCTTGATGGCCGGCATAACGAGTGAGTAACATCACAGATGCGCTCGCTGGGGGATAATCAAAAGCCATTAGAGTGAAGTGTGTTAGTGCGAGATCGTGACTTGTGTTGGTCAACGCGACCCACTGACCCCTGCGCCTGCGCAGTATTGTTGCCACTACTTGTAAACCTATCTTAAATGTAGATACGTAGAACCCAAAAATATTTTATTTTTATAATTTATTCTAAAACATAGAGAATTTAGAGTTTATAATGTATGGTTTAAATATTAATATGACAGTATGTTTTTTTCAAAGATCACATCATAATTTCTCTCATAAACATTCTCGCCTAAATATTGACACTGATTCGAACAATATTCTTAAAGATAATGTACAGATGACGCGAAATTTGAAAAGTTTCTTCACTTATTATTGCAAAATCTAAACAATTATAGTGAAAAATATTAAAGTTATAATAATAATCAATGTTACTTCATTACTTACCGTGCTAGCTGGATGTGCAGGGACGAGCATCATGGGCGGTTTCCTCCCTTTCCTCACGCCCTTGTTCCTGGGCGGGCGCACGGCAGTGCTGGGCGCCACGACCGCGTGGTGGTGACCCAGCCATTTAGTAACGAGGCGCTCCCGGCTATTCGCACTGCCATACTCTGGAGATTCTTCCTATAAAATGAACAGATTATAAAAATTGTTGATCATAGAAGTCTATTTTATAAATGCCAAAGTCATGTTTAGATACAATTTCAAATATTTAAAGTTTATTCAAGTATTATTTTTTTAATTCTTTTACTCATATTTTTACACATATCTGACAGAGATCAATAACTAAATCTGCACATCCTGTTTTCTCATTGATAAGCTCGCCAAAAAAAAATTTTCATTTGTTAAAACTTTCAAATCATAAAAAACCCGTTACAAATTACTCAAAACGCGTTATATTTAGAAAAAAAAATTGTTACTTAGAAGTAATTAACTTACAAACTTACTTATATATTTGAACAAATTTAATTTTGTTAGACGTCATAAATTATTAGACCTTGAATAATCTAGTCTTGTTCCAACTATTAATACTATAATGTGCAGCTTAGAAAAAAAATTCTACACCGCCCCATGCAGGTCACGTATTTGAATCAAGGTAATTGTTTTTTTTATAAAAATAGTTGTTTGTTTATAGTCACCCGGAGTTGGACTGAAGAAGGAAACTACGCAACTACACGCATATGTAATATGTTTAATATTTAATGTAATAAATAAAATAGGCATATATGTACATCGATTCGATCAATATATCTCTTATATAATAATTTGTTTAAGTAAGCGAATTTTGAACTAGATAATAAGTGAACATTGAATTCAATTAGCCAGTTAGTTTCTATAACAAAGAAAAATATTTATAAATACTTTGGCCTGTGGCTCCGCTTATGTTGTGTGTTAATCCCAGGATAGGCCACTCCGAATTTCCTTAAACATGTAACCCCGTTACAACGCGAAGAGAAAAACACAGCCACTTATAAACTATAGCTTAATATATTAGATTGGATAGAAAAAATAACACCACAAGAATCGAACTCGCATATTTCAAAAATAATAGATCTTAGTCATCATTCATTAGTCTTACCTTTTTCTTTTTTATGGTATCTCCTTGTAACTTGGCCTCCAACTCCTTGCAAAGCTCGTGACCCCTCATCTTCTCCTCTTGCGCTTTCTTTATTTCGTCCACATGGAACACGCATGGTTGCACTGGTTTGAAGTTGGGGTCGAACTGGTTGTGGTCGAAGGCTTGCTTCGGTCTGAAGCAAGGGCACACTCGCTTGGAGAGGTGGTAGATAGAGAAGATGCAGACTAAGCAGTGGACTGATGCTATGATGAGCAGCGCTATGTTGGCCAGAACGGGAGTCCATGCTTGCATTTCATCCTGTGAACAATATTATGAATGGTAAACGTTCTTTATTTATTTACAACATTACTTAATTTTTATATTACTTTGCCAAGGTTTTATATATCGGAAGATTATAAGTTACGTGACAAAAAAAAATCGACGCTTAATATTATAAATGTGAAGGTGTGTTTTTTTGTTTACCCTTCTTTCACGTTGAAACTGAGTGACGGATTGGCGTGATTTTTTGTGTGAAGATAGTTGGAGGGCTGGAGAGTGACATAGGCTACTTTTTACCGCAGAAGATTATTTCATTCCCACGGGAAAACACGTTATAATACAACCCAGAACAACTCATTATACCTATATATATTTAATATATAGTCTATCTATTCCATAATAACCGTTGAAACGTATCTAGGAACGAACCCGAGCGAAACGAGGGTGAGTCGGTCATTAAATAATCTATGCACAACATTTTGTAACCGTAAAAGACGTAAAATCTGCAATATATGTACATAAAAGTTTTTATAGTCTCAAATGTAATATTGTTTCAAAATAATACAAAAATCCTCGTTATCAAATAAAAATGAAGCTTCACACATCTCATGGTGACATAACCGCACAGCACACTCGAAACCGACATTAACATGAAATACTCGTACTATTCTTAGCCATTCCTAGCGGCTAACCTCAAACATGAGTTAATACTGTCGTAATAAAGTTTTTAAATGTGTTTGGTGTATACACGTTTCACACGGAAGCTCTACCTGAAACACTATAACGAATGCATTTCGTAAAATTATCATTCTCTTTACTTATACTGGCAGATAGTACTTAGGTTTTCGCTAAGTTAGAGTCAATTTGTCAATACAGTGAGGAGGTGGATAGTGTACACTAAATGGTTATTATTATACCCCTTAATTATGACGAGAAGAATGAACATGTTCTGAATATATCTACATACTAGCAGAACCCGCGGCTTTACTCGCGCTAAAACTACAAAAAACTATAAAAAGCTCCAACTGTCTCCACACAAAAAAACACACCTGTCCATCATTCTGTTTCAACGTGAAAGAAGGATAAACCAACAAACACGTTTTAGAAATCTCTAAAATTGAATAAGCTTTATCAAATTTATTAATAACCTCGTTTAGAATATATTTCGTTAGAGTGTATAATAGCATAAAATCACCCCAATATATTAAAAATACATGAAAAATCAAATAAGACAAAACGTGTAAAATACACTATACGACGCCTAAAATCGTATTCTACATTAACGGAAAGAATACGGTAGCAATCGGGAGTACTTCATATTTATTACTCAATACGCTCTGTCTATTGAACTATTTTAGTCTAAAAGATAACACATATCTGTATCGCTAAAAGTTCCCGCGCAGTCTAAAAGGTTGTTTGCTTCACAATGCCTGATATACAAATATATAGGTACTCGGTAATACGCGATATCATCATAGATCATCATGGTACCGGCCCTTGAACTTTATAAAAAGATACTGCAGAAATAATTATTGTGTTATAATAAATACGTTAATACCAAATAATATTATTATAAATATTAAAAATACGTAATATATAGTTATTATAAATATGTTTGTATGTATTATAAATACGTCCTAGCCGATTCCGGCTACGACAGCCAATCTCATTGAGACTAGCCAACTGCGCAGGACATATTATAGTGCACAAATGTACGCGCAGACAAGTGCACTCTCTATTCCTATCACTCTCATACTCCGGTGGGACGACCACTCGACATGACCGGTGAGAGTGTCGGCGCAGGATCGACAGCTTTACGTGCTCTCCGAGGCACGGGGGTGAAACACCGCCAACTGCCCAACTCCGAGCTGTTACTGAGACTTACTATACAGAAAGACTCAATAACTAAACTTGGCCCGACTCGGGACTCGAACCCAGGACCTCCGAGTGTGCAGCCGTACATGCTAGCTACTACACCACCGAGGCAGACTAATATATAAGTAATTAGAATAAGTAGCTCGGCTCAGCTCGGTAGGTAACAGAACACAACTTACAATATAGATGATATAATACTATACTCTAATACTGATGTTCAATTTTAACTGGCGACTGACCCTTGTTGCACCTGTAGTGAATAACTGTAGCCTATGTGAGACTCCAGTTCATAGTTTATGTATAGCTTACGTGCGTGTATTTTCATATCTAACATGAATACCACTTGCCTTAAGGTGAAGGAAAACATCGTGAGGAAACCTGCATGTCTGAGAGAACCTAGCAAATTTTCGAAAGGCATGTGAAATCCGCCAGCCCGCACTTGGCCTGATCCCACTCGTATTGAAGGGAGGCCCGTACCCAGCAGTGGGACGTCAAAAAAGGGCTGAATACATGCAGATGTAGAGTTTACCTGGAAGCTAGTAAGTGGTTCCGGCTGTCGCAGCGAGTCCCTCTGCAGGCCGGTGGCGGCGAGCACGGCGGCACTGTTCCCGCAGGCCAGGCATAGTAGCGACAAAGCTAAGAACGCTGTCAGTAACCCACTTCTGTGGACAAAGAGATTGATAATGTACAATCGTTTCAAAATATACATCAGGCTATCAAAAAAGATGAATTTCTACAATGAATATAAATAAAAAGTATAAGACAGCTATCGTTATTCGAGGCTCCGTCCGCGTCGTTTAATTTTGTAGAATAACTCCGCTCTCTTAGTTCGTAATGTGATGCTTAACTTATAGAATATATTAACCTTTCTCGATAAAAAGACTAAAAAACATAAGTGTTTTTTTTAAATAGGGTGAAAAGATCTTGATGTAACAAACAAACAAACAAACAAACAAACAAACAAAATGTTGTATAGAATCTCTCTATAAACAGTAACAGTAAATCGTATTGTACAAAATTCATATTCTGATTACGTGGTATAGAGTTTAGATGTCGTATTTCTATATATGTATATTTATTTTTTTATTGGTGATAGCGATTGCAATCGGTAAGACTCATGATTGCCAGGTTTAGGGAAGGACAGTTTGGGGCGCACGTTTAACAATATTTTACTAGAAAAACTCGTCAAAACGGTAATAGAAGAAAAATATCTAACTTTTTTAAAAGGATAAAATTAGGTAATAGGTGTATTACCAGTTAGTTACCCAAGTAGTTCAGAACTGATAAATAATATATCTGATTCACATTAACTTTTTACCACAAAGTACGTATAAAATATGAATTTCAATTAAAGTCCATAACATCGTTACAATGTATAATTTAACGATGATATTATTCTCGAGTAGGTAAGTTGGTCGAGACGTTACCGTTAAAAGAATATAGAAGTGTCAATCAATGGTACCTGCCGCAGGCTGCCAGCTGTTAGTTCGCTAATGATGGACAAACGTGATGATCAAAATGCTACTCGAATATAATTGAATATTTCGATTACATTCTTTCTTTGGGCCTAATATTGACCTAGTTGACGATAGTTATATTTAGTTTCTTAGAGTTATTGGTTTTGTGTTTTGTGCTTAGTCAGTCTTTATTTGATGGCACTTTATAGTACACATTAATATTATTTACTAGCGACTCACCCTCGCTTCGCTTCGGGTTCGTCCCTGGACGAACACAAATCTATCCCACGGGGACCGCGAATTTTTCGGTAATAAAAAGTAACCTATGTGCTATTCCAGACTATAATCTATGTCTGTGCCAAATTTCATTCAGATCCGTTCAGCTGTTCTGGCGTGATTGAGTAACAAACATTCATCCATCCATCCATCCTCATAAACTTTCACATTTATAATATTAGTATGGATTGTTAGAATTAGATTGTCGATAATTATATATATTGCATTCAATATTTACCACGCTCTCTTTGGCAATTACCTTCTATATTCATAGAAATCATAAACACATCTGTCCTAGCACATTTTAAATTGTCTGAAGCCATTCAAGATTGTCACTATTGCCTTCATCATCAGATAAGATTGACGACAACATATTATTATAACATATTATATATCATCAATCCCTAACACGTGTGCAATTATATTTTTAACAATTTCGATATTTCTACTTTTAAAAATAACCTCAAAATGTTTTTTTTTTAAATCCTATGCTCATCTATGCTATAATGAGGTCTTTTATTAAAAAATCATGACTCTAGATAAAAACGATTTAGTCTGTACGCCGTCTGTCTGTGAGTGAATGGATTAATATTAAAACACTTATATTACAGTAACCAAAAAAAGTAAAAACTCCTCAATTACCTATTATAATCATTATGAAATCTAATAAAATTATGTACATTCTAAATATCGAGCAATAATAACGATAGCCGCAGTTTAATGAACAGGAGAAAGCCGACAAGTGATCTACAGACTACAGGCCACTTACAATTAGTTATTAGACCAGGGCCTACCGAAGTATGGCCTCTAAAAGTTACATCTATACATATAATAAAATTCTAACCAAGCCGAATCTGTACATTAAACATTTTTTGGAAAATCTTATTAAAATAGACATTATTATCGATACAGAGGCCGAATCTATAGTTTTTAGAATTTTTGCCTGTCTGTCTGTTACCGCATCACGGAAAACATAATTTTAGCAAACCATGGTTTTAATTTTTGATATTTAAATATAAAGTCATACGTTATAGGGATATTATTCTTAAATTACTATTGAATGCATACTTATCTCACAAATCCCACATGTACATGTATGTATGCATAACTTGTGCTAAGCTTAGCTAAAGATAATGAAGGGAAAAGATTTCTTTCTATCTAAAGGAATCTTCCTAAATAAAGATCCAGTGCTTTTCCAGTCACGTGCTAGCAATTAAATAATGTTATGTGCTCATTATATAATCGTAAATGTGAAACTAATTAACTAATATAATATGGGTGTCTTCGAGGCAAGAGTGAATAGGTGGCTACTGAATTAGTGCGACTTACCATCAACGACTGCGTTACCACTTACCATCAGGTGGAACGTAGTCAAGCACTAATTCAGAATAGTATAAAATAAATCACCATCTATTACTTAAGGGTTTAATATTTATATTAAATTTAAGCTTCTTGATTAAAATTTAGAAAAGGAAGCAATTTAGATGAAAACACTTCCTAAAAGTCTCAGAATCATGTTGTAGTTAAAGTACGACAGCTTTAGCTTTAGCTTTTTTGCTTTATGACCTCTTTTTTAATAATTTTACAGTGGCTGTTTAATCTATACTTTTGTGTAGATTACATAATATATTTTCATCTTCAATTATGTTTTAGTATTAATTTATTAGGTAACTAAACCATTTCAAATTACCAACTCAATAAAGTATAACTAAACTTTAGGCAAAATCATATTTAAACAAGCAATTGTGTAATGTAATTGTTTTAGAGTGTTTATGTTGGTTAGTTCTTTTTTAAGTTAGTTCAGTTCAATTCACAATTAGAGAAAATATCGCGTTAGATAAATACAAAAAAATTTAAACCCGAAAATTCCTCCTTTTTTTAAATAGGTTATAAATATTTTTCTCATATTACCTTATTAAATTTAGTAATTATTATATTAAAAAAAAATTCAGCCGTGCCCAGAGCAATAATGTAATCTAAAATCGGTCGCAATGTTTGAACACCTCTGTTAAAAACACTTTACATATTGCTTGCTATATTATTACGACACAGATAATACTCTAATAACACGAAAGACAATCTAAACGGTAACTTATTGTAGTGTAGGCTGTCAAGTGGGAAGTGCTACTGAGAACATGTTATTAGTTTGAGATTAAATTATGCTATCTAGATTTCGAATCGATAAAGGATTTGATATAAAGCCCTAGATTTCTACTTCCTAATATATAAGATGGCTCACGTAATATCCAGAGTTTATGATGCACTTACTATACTATACGTCCACGTTAGATACAGGTTCGTAGGCATTTTCATTCATTAAATGGTCCCTACTATATTTCTTAGTGCCGGATATCCGTGATTCGAACCCTCGACCTCAGGTGTACACATAGACACTAGAAGCACAACGCCAGACGTTGGTATCTCATCGATACTAATATTTATTATAAAGACGTAGTTTGTGAGTTAGTGAATTTTTGACGTAGTATATAATGTGAGGTAATCTCTGGATGTACTGAACCGATTTAAATGAAATTTGGTAAGATAGTTTGAGACCCTGGGAAGGACATAGGATTTTCCCTTTCACTTTTTATCCCGAAAATCGTCCCTTAAGTGGGTGAAAATGAAGACGAAAGATTGTATTGGGAAGCAAGCTAGGGACGAACCAAGGCAAGCAAGGGTGAGTCGCTAGTAAATATAATATAACTACAGAAAAAGTTACTCATATAAAAATATATTGAAAATTGTTAAAAACTAAAAGATAATGTAATTAAAACAAATTATAGAGATAACGTATCTACTATATAAGAATAATACCACTAAATACAACTTATGAGTAACAAAAACTAAATATAATAAAAAAACAACAATTTAAATATTAAAAAAGCAAACCATATTAAGAAAAACATTATTAATCGGTTTTTAGAATATTGAAATTATCGGTTTAGTTTCCTGTATCCTGAGAAACAATCACTCGTCAATCTCTACGAGTACACTAATCTTGTGCTAATTGACAATCTTGTCACTAGCGTACCTTAAAGCTGACCAAATGGTGTCACTTCACCCATTTTAATAAATATTCAAGATTTAATGTAAAGAACGGACCAAAACAATGTACAGTAAGTTTTACAATTTATTTTCTTATCTATACATATAATAAAATTCTAACTAAGTCGAATCTGTACATTAAATATTTTTTGAAAAATCTTATAGAAATAGTAATTATTATCGATAAAGAGGCCAAATCTATAGTTTTTAAAATTTATGTCTGTCTGTCTGTTACCGCATCACGGAAAAACCACTGAAGGGATTTTGATGAAATTTGGTATGGTGATAGCTGATTATCCGGGTTAACATATAGGATACTTTTTACCGCGAGAAAATATCTCATTTCTGAGAAAAAATACAAAAACTGTAATGTAAGAGTTATAGTAATATGCAAAACCTAAGTATTTGGTTTTTGGTCATCTGAACGTGGGCGGAGCCGCGGGCAATGCTAGTTTTTTAAATAAATGCTTTTATGAACCACAATAAACTAAAAAGTTATAAAGAAACGCTGCAACAAGAGCACACTGTTTGAAACAATTTTAAAAGACGAGAGAGGCGATTCAGGACTCTAATAAAACAATGAATGAAAAATACTTTATTACCACAAACCAGTGAAATACAATATAGCATAGAAAATAAACTACGATATACGATATCTATACATATAATAAAATTGTAACTAAATCGATTTTTTTTGAAAAATCGTATTGAAATAAACTTTATTAGCGATACAGAGGCCGAATCTATAATAGTTTTTAGAATTTTTGTCTGCCTGTCTGCTACCGCATCACAGGAAAACCACTGGAGGGATTTTGATGTTTGGTATGGTGATAGCTGGATCCGGGTCAACATATCATCAGGATACTTTTTACCGTGGGAAAATATCTCATTTCTGAGAAAAATGCAAAAACTGCAATGTAAGAATATACTTATATGTAAAACCTTAGAATTTGTTTTTGGTCATCTGTTAGTTGGTTAGTACTACTACCTATATAATAACAAAAAAACAGTATTCGCCGGTATGTGCACTAGCGATGTTATTTTGCAAATCGAACCCATACTACATCAGAATGCACATAATTACTGAACCATAAGTTCATATACATTTCCTCATATTCATACAATTTCCATAGAAGACAAAAACTGCAATCAACTGCAACTACGAGGGCTTATATCATTTTAATTGTAGTCTTTGTAGGCGTAATAATGAAATTGTTTCTTTAATATAAACTTTGTGGTGTATACAATAGAGTACATATTTATTTGCATTACTGCACTAACGTTAGGAAACTCGATGTGAGCTTAAGATATTGTACATCGCTCGAGATTGCAATGTTTCTAAATGCTCATCTCAAATAACTTCACGCTACAGCTTTTTAGGTACTAATAGCCAGAATTCTCCACGATTTTTTAAAAATTAATAATTTAGTTTTATGGTCCACCTGTAAAATTTGTTTGTAAATAGAGAGATCTTCTGATCTCAGAAGTTTACGGACGATATGTGGAAATTGATGTCATACTACACACTCCAACCACATTAAAGGATCAATTATAATAAGAGTTGCAATTTGTATTCATTCGAATACAACTACAGATACTACATATATAGAAATTGAATTTCTTCGCTTTAATGAAATTGATTGTGATTTGTATCAAAAGAAAACACCCCTATGTGATATTTCGTCAAAAACGGACAGTTACATTCTACACAACTACAAAAAAAGTCTACACACAATACGCTAGTGCACGAATGTGTTTTTCTTCAAGTGAAGCAGCTGCGCGTGCGCATGCAGCGGAACTGTTCCACGTTTGATTGCACACGCCTTACGACACCTCACCCTATTTACACTGGAAGTGGAAACGTAACGGAAGGTGTTCGGTCTGCCTCGTACGATTCGTTGAATGATTTAGCATTTACAATTTAATTGTAATCAAATGTAGGTTTATGAATATACTAACTAGCGTTCGGGTTCGTTCCTAGGTACATTTTAATTTTTTGAGCGGAACCATAATTCTTTTACTGAAATAAAAGTAGCCTAAATTACTCCTTATAACATCAACTACCTGCCAGTGAAAGCTCCGTCAAAATCAGCCCAGCCGTTTCGGAGATTAGAGGAACGAACAGACAGACAAAATTTTTAAAAACTATGTTTTTCTTATAAATACCGTATATAATTCCATATGCATTTAGTAAAAATCTGTTATTTTGACATTACAAACAGACACTTCAATTTTATTTATCTGTATAGATTTAAAACTTATAAACTACACAATAATTATAAATCGAATAGCCACGAACGAGCCAAAACTTTTGTTAGATTAAGAGATAATAAGACGAAGCGTTGCTTCTTAGGAAGATTTTTAATTGAGTTTTAATTGCTATTTAGTAAGTATCGCAGGTTTATAGTCTATGGTTAGCATAATAATGCAACAATGAAAAGTGTAGCAACATTATGAATTTTGCATTTTTTAATTAACCAACAAATGTATACTAATCTCGGCTAAAACAGTCTTAGAGGCCGGAGAGCATGAGGAGCTTGACTTTTATCTCCTCATAAGCAAAGGACTGTAAAGAATAAATAATGAAATTATTTAAAGAAACTACCAATATATTATAAGTTTTAGATAATACTTTATTAGATTTGACATTTTAAATAAAACTATCTTTTCGGATTTTTTCGCGGATTTATTTAGATTTTTATTCCTGACTTTTCGAATGCTTTACAGTTAGTAGATACTAAAGTTTTAGACGTCTCATTATTTAAAAAGTTTTAGATATATTTGAAGTTTATAGTCTTGTGTTAGCGGATGCACTTGCGGCGCTGTGACGCGCTCACGCATGACGTTTTACGATTGACGGAGAAAATTGTAACAATGCCATCTTCGATAGACGCCGCGCCGTCACCGATTAAACATCCACTTTTTATATACTGAATCATTTTATTTTATTTTTGCCTATTCTCTCGATTTTATATACTTTCTCGTTTTATATTGCGTAGAATTATTTTTATAAGAATTTGCATTGGTTTTAGCCGTTTGCCGATTTAATTTTTGAACGAAAATAAATGTTAGTTAACGTGAGCATTCTGGTTACTTATGTAATTGAAGTGAAAATTGGTAAATCATAACTCGATGGTATTTTTTGTGTGTTTTTTTTCAAATTACAAATTAATCATTTCTCATTTTAATTATATTGTTATAGTAGTATAATAATTTATATCTATTTATACATATAATAAAATTCTGAGTTGAATCTGTACATTAAATATTCTTTTGGAAAATCTTATTGAAATAGTCATTATATAATATTGATACAGAGGCCGAATCTATAATTTTTAGAATTTTTGTCTGTCTATCTGTCTGTGACCGCATCACAAGAAACCACTAGACAGCTTTTGATGAAATTTGGTATGTTGATAGCTGGTTTTTTTTTTTTTTTTTTTTTTTTTTTTTTTTATGTCGGGAAATGCATTTACGCATACCACCTGATCCCCCAGGTGGTGATGTGGGGCTCACCGGCTAGAAGAGCCGGTACTACCCACTAAAACCCGACATTCCCCTCCCCTCCGCCTAAATGGGACGCCGCAGGATCGCTTGCGCATAACTACTACGGCGCCCCGGCGGCAGGTCTGCCTAAGCGCTAAGCAGACCACCAAACCAATGGGGCTGCTCCACAGTCAACTCTGCTACGCCAGAGAGGTACCCGGAGCAGCCCCATTAAACCTAACCACCGCCCACCGAAGTGGGCCACCTCCAATCGGCTGCAGAGGACAGGGAGAGCGGCAACGAAACACCGACACTCCTCTTCCCCTGCAGCCCCACCGCGTCCGCTATCAAACGGTGGCGGCCCCGTCTAGGCCGCGGAAGGTAGGGAGAACGGCGCACCGAAATACCGGCACTCCTCTCCCGCCGCGGCCTACTCCTCCGCCGGATGCGGGCCTGCGACCACAGTCCCGCAACCGGCACCCATCATCCGGTTGTGGGACCAAGCGGTCCCACCACCGGTGGCCGCAACGTCTTCGGCTCGAGTCCTAGACGAGCGGCCCCACCCAAGCCATTTGGTCCACGCCGGATTTCTCCGGTACCACCCGCCGCCCTAAGCGGGTGGCATTCCCCTATCCGCCACCTGGGGACGCGCCCGGTAGGAGTTGGCTTCTCCCCCGGGATAGCTGGTTATCCGGGTCAACATATAGGATACTTTTTACTGCGGGAAAATATATCATCTCTGAAAAACCTATACTAAACGTAAAATTTTTAAATTAAATTAAAATAATTTAATTGTTATAAAAAATTTAGTTATTTCCATTGTTAAAATAATTACTGCGAATGATTTTAATACAGTGTATAGAAAAAAAATATAATCATCGTACCTACCTAAGTGTTATTAAATAAAATTATATATATTTTACTAGCATTGCCCGCGGCTCCGCCCGCGTTCAGATGACCAAAAACCAAATTCTTAGGTTTTACATGTTAGTATACTCTTACAATGCAGTTTTTGTATTTTTTCTCAGAAATGAGATATTTTCCTACGGTAAAAAGTATCCTATATGTTGACCCCGGATAACCAGCTATCACCATAACAAATTTCATCAAAATCCCTCCAGTGATTTTTTCTGTGGTGCGGTAACAAAAAGACAGACAGACAGACAAAAATTCTAAAAACTATAGATTCAGCTTCTGTGTCGATAATAATGTTTATTTCAATAAGATTTTCCAACAAATATTTAATGTACAGATTCGTCTTAGTTACAATTTTATTATATGTATAGATGGACAGATAATAAAAGAGCAAAATAAGTGCTTAAAACCGGTACAAGATATTTGAACTTTATGAATATGAATGCAGCAAAAATTTCAAGAAAATGAAGGCATTATACATTAAACATGATGATAATTAGGAAATTGGCGCACGCGAGCGAAGTGCAGCGGACGGACAGCCGCCGCACGCGGACGCGTCATTGACACCACTGTATAGAGACCACTTTAAAAATAAATTCGCTATTTAGCTGCTTAATGACTCCACACTTTGTAACTTTCCTTTTTTTAATGGACATTCTCGCGCATCGATGTATTAAAAAAATATTTCATAATAAATACAAATATAATTTGAATTAATTATGAATTAATTTCTAGATTTAATTGATTAATTAACTCTAATTTTATACCATTTGCCTATTCCAATAGATATTGTGGATGACACATTGCTGTTTTACTCATTTATAAATATCCTATGGCTATTTATTATAGAATATTAAAAGTGAAGCAATAAAAAACACCGCTTCATTTAAACAGCATCTCTACAAAGAGAACACCCTTCACAATTTTTTGCAATACTTTGACCAATTAAAAAAATTTTTTAATTATTATATTAACAAATGATGTAAATGGGAATTGACACAACCACTTACCCTGAGGTATTATTCAACCCATAGCAGTCATTGATGCCTGCGAGCACGCCCACGACGCCAGCGACCACGGCGATACCGCCCGCCCATAGGCCCGCGCCCACCCGCGACAACGAGGCTCCCTTGACCACGGCCAAGGCGCCCGCGCCCACCAGCAACGCCCCCAGCAGCACTTGCGACAACCCCAAAAAAACCACCACTCGCTTCGGACCACCCTCACTCTTCGAACTCACACTTTTAACACTTTTCTTCTGCTTCTGAGGCTTTTGAGGTGTCTTGCAGATCAGCTGCTCGGTCGAATCCTCAGACTTCTCGGACACAGTCGGGAAACCCGTCACCACGGTGACGTTCTCCGTGGAGGACTTTTCGTCGGTCATTTTCACGTAGGATGCATCACGCTCGCACTGTGCACGTTCGCTCGTCGCGCGCGTTCGACTCGCACTGAATGGGTGAAAGTGCGATTTTGATGTCGCGATTTAGAGTTTGTTTTTGTTAATTACGTGTAATAAAACACAGGTTTGTGTCAAGCAGTAGTGATTTGTCAACGGACATTGCTACGGACCGTATTCGATGCAATATTCATATTTTTAATATTTCTACTGGGAGTTCGATGACCCCTGTTTATGTGTACATTGTTAAAATTACTTCACCTGTTGATAAGTCTACTGCATCAGTACACACTGTACAAATATACAAGCAATATTTTGACAACTCTATGTAGAGTTTAATTCTAATTACTGCGAATTACCATAGTTTATACAAAAAATGAATCTGGCTCATGAAATTTTAATTTTCTTATCACATCCAATTTAAATATACTTAATATAAATAAAACTTATGTAATCAATTTAACTTTCGTCGGCAAATTAATTTGCATTAGAATTTATTATTAAAAATAATGATATAATATGAAACAATGTTTTATTTTTAATTCTATCAAAATATGTATAGCAAATTATAGTTAATTGGAAAAATCGTCCACCATCGGCATCACGGCACGCGCCTTTGCAGGTGAAAGCGAGGCGGAACGGGCGATCTCCGATGGTCGGTCTCCGAGCGGCCGCGGACGCCGGACACCTGCACCTCAAAATTATGTTATATCATTGCGACTTTTAATATCATAGCAGTAGTGCTAGTACGTCATAGCACAGGTCATATAATGCTATACTATTAGTCATAGTAATGGCATAAGTATGTCTGTTATTTTGGAAAATAGTAATTTATAGTAAACTAGCGACTCACCCTCGCTTCGCTTGGGTTCGACCGTAGGTCCGTAAGTACGTTTTAACATTAGTTTATGAGTAGGTAAGTTTTGTAGGTATATTATGTTGACTCGAATAACCAGCTATAATCCTACCAAAACATTTACAGACAGACAGATAAAAATTCTAAAAACGATAGATTTGGCCTCTTTATCGATATTTGAAAGTACTCGTAATTACTATTTCAATAAGATTTTCCAAAAAATATTTAATGTACAGATTCGACTTAGAATTTTATTATATGTATAGATAACCAATCAGTCACAGATAATAGAAACAAAATAGTAATGTTTTGATATTTTATTAAGTAAAAAAAATATTTAATACGTAATTAAGAACAAAAATTGATGTTTAAACTTATAGCGAAGTCCTGTACTAGCCGCGACTTCGTATTCTGAAGGTATGGATTCTGAAATATATTTTTATTTGTTAAAAAAAATTACATAAAGTAATGTAAGGGTAGTTAGTGGTAGCCCACTCGTAACGCGCTCGCTTGGGGCACCGAGTGAAGCGGGTTCAAATCTCGGGTTTCGCACCTCTGATGTTTTTATGTGCGAATCATTTCTAACATGATTACCACTTGCCTTACGGTAAATGAAAACATCGTGAGGAGACCTGCATGTCTGAAAAAACTTAGCAAGTTTTCGAAAGACATGCGAAGTCCGCCAATCCGCACTTAGCCAGCGTGGACTATGGCCTGATCCCCCTCGTATTAAAGGGAAGCCCGTGCCCAACAGTGGGACATTAAAAAGGGGCTAAATACAACGTAAGTAAAAGTTTCAACATAAAGAAGCCACATATTTTTTTTTGACAAGTGTGTGGACATTACATAACTTGTAGGTAATATTAATTTTTGAAACATTTACATTCCAGTATATATTTACATATTGTATAACTTGTGCAATGTGTTACATAAATTCAACTTTAAACCAATATAGCTGTGATAATTTTTGACTGTTAAACTTTTATATACGAATTACATTACATAAATAATAATAAACAATATTAACATTTTTAATGTTAAACAGGTTATTAGGATCAATTGCTTCTAAGTCATTCTGCTCTCTCTTCTTATTATTTCTAAGTCACTGTCAATTGTCTTTAAACCTCTAGGCTTAGATTATGTATATTCAGACAATAAAGCTTCCGGTTGAAAATATATACATGTAATAAAATTCTGAGTCGAATCTGTACATTAAATATTTTTTGGAAAATTTTATTGAAATAGTCATTATTAATCGTTACATAGGCTGAATCTATAGTTTTTAGAATTTTCGTCCGTCTGTCTGTCTGTGACCTCATTACGAGAAAACCTTTGGACAGATTTTGATAAAATTTGGTATGATGATAGCTGGTTATCCGGGTCAACATACCTATAGGATACTTTTTACTACGGCAAAATGTATCATCTCTGAGAAATCTATACTAAACGTAACTAGAGACGAACCCGAGCGGAGCGAGGCGAGCGAGCAAATATATTTTTAGGGTTGCGATATCCAAAGTAGTAAATAGAAGTAGCTTCATTTCGACGTCCGTCCATCTGTTCTACTTTAAGCGCTCTATGATGTATCAAATTGTAAAGTTTGTGTGGTGGTTGGTAATGATTGCCAACAAATCCAAATTGACCAAGGAACCGATTAAGGATTTCAGTACTTACAGTCAGTACTCAATAGTTCTATTTTATTGATAAATACATAACATTCATAAAATGTGTCGTAACATACCTATATAAAATAATGGCACGAAAACCCCAGCGAGCGAGTCAGACTCGCACTTGACCGTTTTTTATATTAACCATCGATATAATAGAATTTGTTAAATTTTTTTTATTATTTTGGTTTAGCTTCACTCATTTGGTAGACACGAAGTTCCGGCAAGGAACCGGAAGTGGTAACTTGAGACGAGGGGAAGTACCCAAGTGGGACACCTGCCTTAATATAAGGGATAAAAATCAAACAAAAAATGGCGCCTGTTATAAAAACCGTACACCTTTAAACGATTGAATAACTTGATTAACGACTGTTTTAACCATCTTCAAAATATGTTGGCTCACGACTTCGTTATAAACATTTTTATATATTAATTATTTTATATTTATATAATACTTAAAATTTTAAATTAACAGCCTGTCGTCAAAGAAGAAAAAACGTCTTAATATTACGGCTTAATATTTAATATTTAAGTTCCGTCTTGGGTTCAAAAGTCAAAAATTATTTACGTTTTTTAAAAAAAATTAAGGTGGGCCACTAGTGCTCTGACAGCTTTATGCATAGACAAGTCGTTGCCCAATATTCAAATGATTTAATACAACAGAAATGAGGTATCACGTAACACGTCGACGTTACGTATAAGTTACACTCGTCGCCTTTCTAGGGGTGAAAATCTTTCTACACTAGCATTTGCATATTTGCAGTGAAAGTGCATGATGAGTTGCCTAACTGGCCGAGGCTGGCGTTTCTAACGTAAGCTACCCCTAGAGATGTGGACATCTTGCGCATCGAATACTAAGCGATCGCAAGGTATATTGTGCTCCGGCTTTGAAATTGTCAACAGACATATAAAACTATTTTAGATTTACGCGAATATTTGACATTTTAAATAAAACTATCTTTTCGGTTTTTTTCGCGAATTTATTTTGTTTTTTGGCTCCCGACGTTTCAAATGCTTTACAGCAATTATGGTCACGTCAGGGTCAGTCTCTCCCGTGACCATGATTGCTGTAAAGCATTCAAATCGTCGGGAACCAAAAATCAAAAGAAATCCGCGAAATAATCCGAAAAGATAGATTTTTTTAAAATTTAAAAATAGAAGAAAATTATATTTTACTTTATTTTCATTTAGTGCTACATTAGATAATAGCACGTTAAATATGTTTAGCTCGTTTTTAAGACTACTCCGAACGGACAAGCGACAAACGGACAGAAATAAAAATGAATAACTTTTACGTTGTTTTTAGCAATATCAAAGGCTTTGATAGAAAGAAAACACCGTTGACTTAGGCTAAGAGAATAAAATTATTCAACAAATGAATTAGAAGACAATTATTTCAATAAAATCATTAAGTACAATAAACACAATGTCATTAAAAATTAAAACTAAGAAAGTATTCGAAATGTCTTGAGTTAAAAATTAAAATTAATACTAAATTACATCTAAATTAATACTGCAAGGTACATTAATATACTGGATAAGTACTTTATAGTAAAGCATTCATTGAAATCACACCAATGCAGTTAAAGGACACAAAATTAAAAGTAAATGGATTAATTTATGACATTAATCCAAAAGTCAAGATCATCTTTGATAAAGTCAGCAGCTTTCTCCGCTATCATAACAACGGGTGCGTTAGTGTTGCCGCGGACCACGCTGGGCATCACACTAGCGTCAGCTACTCGCAGCCGACCCACGTCTTTCACTCTCAGCCTCGAATCCACCACCGTCCCCATGGCAGCGGTGCCCACAGCGTGCCACGCAGACATCACTGTACTTTTAGCCAGGCATTTCAAAAATTCATCATTATATGTATCGTTGCATTGGTCTATTTTCAAATCTAAAACAAAAGCTTTCTTAGTTTTAAAGTAATCTGTATCTGCGATGGACCAAGCTATTTTAATAGCATCAGGATAGTTGTCCAAGTCGCTATCGTCGCTAAAGGTGCCAGAATATATCAAAGGCGGGTCAAGTGGATCGAGCGACTCTAAACGCACTCTTCCTCTAGATTTCGGCTTGAGATTCACAACGGCCAACGAAAAAATTTCGTACTCTTTATTCGCACTTGTGATTATTTCACAAATATGTTCTTGAAAACCTAACATTGTATGACAAGCGTCGTAAAAGCCACTATCTATTGGAAGGCACGTGGGATAGATGGCAAAATCCGGTACATTTTTGGTCGAATTATTAAATGAAATGTAAGCGGCTAAATCAGAGGTCTGTGCTAGAGATCCACTTCTATCATAGAGATATTTGATGGTGTCAATGTGAGAGGCCTTTTCATCCTGATGACAGGTCCCATTTTCTGCCGCTAAATATGTTAAAACCATCGTATGATCGTGATAGTTATCCCCAACAGGCAAATCTGCCACAGTATCAATGCCCACGTAGTTTAAATGATCTTTTGGTCCAATTCCTGACAAGAGCAGCAATTTAGCAGTATTAAATGTACCTGCAGTTATTATAATCTCTTGTTTTGAGTAAAAGTAAAGCTCATCGTCACCTAGCCAGACTTCAACAGCGTATGCGGTTCCGTTGTCTATTAATATTTTTGTAACTTGCGCATCTTTGAGGACATACAAGTTGGCTTTTTTAGAAGCTTTGTTTAGTAAAGCTGTGAGAGAACTGTGCCTTTTACCCTCTCTAATAGTGTGGGAGAATCGTCCTGCGCCTATGCGATAAGGATTTGTCATATCATTAACTATATCAAAACCGAGCTCATTGAATGCTTCTAGATACTTATCAGTAGTAAAAGTCGATTGATGGGAACCAGTCACTTCTATTTCCCCATCAAAGCCGTGAAGTTTGGCAAGTAAAGGATTTTCGGTAATTCTCTCGTCTGTCAAATATTCAGTTTTCTTGAAGTATTCTAGTACATTAGTCCAATTCCATTCTTCCCCAACCATAGTGGCCCATTCGTTATAATCAGCGGGGAAGCCCCGAGAGTAGATCATGTCATTAATAGAGCCGGAGCCGCCCAGCATCTTGCCGCGAGGTTGTTTCTGTTTGCCGTCTTGTAAAGATTGACTGGAGTAGTAGTCGTCAATTGTAGTGAAATTCCAGTCATAATAACTATTTTTCATTGCATGCTTGAACCCAGGGATCTAAAATAATAAAAATACTAAATTTAATTTTTACAAATAGCAATATTTTATCGATTATATAAAAAATCATTATGATATTCTCATAAAACAATAAATCCCTTTAAAGCGTACATTCTAGAGTATAAAGGGCCTCGTAAAACGTTATTTTTTAACTTTTCATAGTGATTATAAAAAACAAAAGAGAATCAAGTATAGTGCATTGGTCGAGATGATTACTAACAATGCTCTCTTGCGGTGGATCGCCGCCAGCCTCCAGCAGCAACACGTTGTACGGCATCTCGGAGAGGCGCGCCGCCAGCGTCGCGCCGGCCGTGCCGCCGCCGACCACGATGAAGTCGAACGACGAGCCGTCTAAAATAATTCAAAATTCAAAATATTTTATTTAGCATTTAATTATTACATTTTTTTTCTGAACGTCATGAGTCTACTACCAGTTCGGAAAGAAGAAGCCTCAGATCTGAGAACTGGCGAAAGAAACACAGCATTCTCTAATAAATTACATCATTGAAAAACAATAAAGAGGAATGAATTTTTCGATTGATAAGATCGGGATGTATATGTTTTACACTTATGTCCTTATGAGAGAGTGTTAAATGTCGTGATACAAGTTTTAGTTAATACGAAAATACCAACGACACGCCCTGGTTTTGCTCAATCCCTAATATGCCACAGGAAATAGTATATTTTTGAATTAAATCAGTGTAGTCAGCCCGTGACTCGGAAAGCAGTTCCGCTCAAAAGAACTGACAATTCTTCTAAATAATATATTAATAAAAAAATAACTATACCACACGTTACTTAGTCATAGGCTCTATGTATTTATGTGTAGTTGCTATTGAATTCTAACAGGCGCTAAAGTGCTACCGATATGTACATTGTTCATACATATAAAATAATTACATACTCGTATAATTTATAATGGACATACATATGTGGATATATGACCTCTTTCCGCATCACCACGTTGTTAAAAAAGATAGTACCTGGGCGACCTTCATTCGCTCGGAGTTTTTGGCTAAAAGTACAATTTTCTCTAAAAAAAAAAAGACTAAAAACTTGAAATAAATACAAAAAAAACTTAATTAAAAATTTTGTATCCTATAGGGATTCGAACACGGACCTCTATGATTGTCAATGCTCGAACGTGCGAATTTATTGATCATATTTTGTGTGGAATAATGCGAAAAAAACCACACGAAAACTCGAAAACACGCGTTTTCCCAGACATAAGACTAATCTAAATCGATTTTTCGCCCCCGAAAAACTTCACATACCAAATTTCAGCGAAATCGTTAGAACAGTTTCCGAGATCCCCGCTATAAATAAATAAATATACTAGAATTGCTCGTTTAAAGGTATTAGATATAAAAAAATACACGAAACGTCAAACAAATTCATTTTTTCTTAAGCCCTAGTTGTGTTTTAAGATATAATATTACTGCCATGGTTTTGTTCTCGCGACTCGAGGGTTACAACTTACATCATTCCATTCTAAGATTTTTCTCAATGTCTACCGCGGGTCAAATTTCAAATATCATCGAAATTCAATTACATAAGCTCTAATATTAATAAGGTAATTTTGTTAAAAAATTGTTAAGTATTTCAAAATTTAAAAGTGAAGACTTTTACATAATTTTTCCACTAATGGTAGCAAGTGTACACATACATAGTTTTAACCCAAAACATAATCTTACTCGAAAAATTTAAGAAAAAATAGGTCTTATATATAAATATTATCTTTTGATACAGTTGATTGATATTTCGTGCCAAGATACGGAAGTAGGTATATGGCACTTGAAAGTACTTTTAGGGAGGTCAGTGGTATTCTTCCACTTCACTGTTATCTCATCTGGACATTCGGGTGTTATCTGATGTATCCGTATTATTGATTTTCATACCTATATTTATTACATTACTTTGCAAAGCCACACTCTCGCATTTATAATTTTAGTAGAAATACATCATTATGTATAAACACCGTTTAATCCTAGGCAGCAAAAATTAGTTTAAACCTAGAGTGCATCTCAACTATTTATCTTTCTTATTGTACCAAATCTTACTTTTCACACTCGCCTGCGGCGGCCAGGGCTCTTGCAGCAAGCATTGGGAAGCTGCAAAGAACTGTAAGGCTGCTGCAAAAGTGGCGCCCGCCGCGCCGCCCGCCCCACACGCCGCCTCCGACATGCTACAAGTTTAATGAGAGATATATGTATTAAGTAGTTAGAAATATTAATTAGTATGTAGTGTGTACATTGATAATATATGCAGTAATCCGGAAGTAGGAAGGAAATTTATCTCAAATTCGTTTATCTACAATGTTTTGTGAAACAAATACGAACATACATTAACTAATTTATATATTGTACTAGCTGTATTTGTACTAGCGTTTATTTTGAATATTACTATGATTCAGAATATATTTTATTGCTCATAATTCCATTTCCTTCTTTTCTCTGTCTGTCCGTCTGTCTGTCTCATATGTACATATTTTGTATTTGTTTAATACAAAATTTTGTCCTGCGCTTGCGCAACAACTGTCATTATTGAAATAAAGACACCATTAATTTATATTTAATGAATAGGTACTAGGTATACTTTTTAAACGTCGTATTTACGTTATTTAGGATTTATTATTTTACTTCTTCGATGTTAAAAGTTATAATAACAAAAAGTACTTAACGCCCATGTATACCTGTTACCTGTTCTAGGTATATCTGAAAGAATGGTGGAGAGGTATTTTCAGATAATTATTTCTTTGAAAAAAACATCATTATAAATACGGGTATAGAATTTAACATTTTTAAATATCTGTCAGTTAAAAAATAGGACGTAATTTATCATTGTGAAGAGTAGGTATAAAGCACGCGCGCAACGCCGCGGAAAATATCTAAGAAAATTGACTTATAAAATGTACAAAACTACAAAAAGCTACAAAAAGCTGTGCTACAAAGGTTCAAATCATAAAAAAATCTCAATGAATCGGGAAGATTTTTTCAATAAAGCATTAAAGAACAACAATTGAGGAAATTCATAACATTATCAAATTTTTATATTGGATATGTTACAATATAAAAAAAACTTACCCGTAATTAATATTATCTCAAAACATGTAATAATTGAATAATTAGTGTAAAACAAAATTAAATTAAATCCATCGTGAAGACGTCACTAAAACTGCACAAGTATTTAACTACCCTCCGAATATTAAAACCTTTTTAATTTTTACTTATATTTACATAAATGCTAATAGAAATAGGGCTAATAGGTCTGTTTATTGTTTATATTTGTCCAATTAAATAGCTATTACAAGTATGAAAACGTTTAGATAAGATACGAGTACTTATAACAAATTAACATAACGCACTTATTGCGAACGCTTATTATTGAATTGGCTTAGAGAAGACCTTACCTGTGTTTGTTTATATAACAAACAATTGTTAGGAAATATATATATAGTGTATTTTTGTGTTGCATCATATTTGGAGCACGCGGAAGGACGGAAGTAATATTTTTCTAAGATGTGCAACTTTGATTAGTTGCACTTCCTCTGACTCATTTGTCAGGTCTTTAAATATATGATTCATTATATAAAATATGTATGTATTTAAAGAAATATATGTGTAGTGTATCAACTTTCTGGTATCCATAGCACAATCTTTATAGTTTCCCATGGAACTAGATGGTGCTATGTGTTAATGTCCCAACATATTTATTTGATTTATTTATTCATCTCAAATAGACTGCTAGAATTAAAAAGCCTGACTTCGGCAACATATGCATAACATAGTCATCGCTCTATAGGTAAAAAAATAAAAAAAAATTGATTTTAACGTCAACGGAGTGAGGAGATGTGGCAAAGTTTATATAGACAAAATACCACGCTGGTATTTTTTTTATAAATACTAGGGATTTCGTCATTAGTGAAAAACAAAAATCTACCCCACGGGAACCGTAAATTTTTCCGGGATAAAAAGTAGCTATGTGTTATTCCAGACTATAGTCCTGTTCCAAATTTCATCAAGATCCGTTCAGCCGTTCTGGCGTGAGAGAGTAACAAACATACATACTCACAAACTTTCACATTTATAATATTAGTATACAAGTATAGATATATGAGATTCAGTACTTATAAATAGTGGACTTTTAATACTTCAATGTATACATATGTATGTGGACTATTAGTGCAATTGTAACGTCTATGTAGTTTTAAGATTATTTAATCCGTCAGTCCGTTTAAGCACACTTTACTTGAAAACAGCTTGACGGATTTCAATGAATTCTCTCATTAAAGCGTTAATGGTAGAAACAAACATACCTAAATGTCTTTACAACTTATCCAGTAGATCCAGAGCTCCCGTTCTCCGCGCTCGTATATTTATATCTGCATCAGCATTGCTTATAATAATTAGAAATATACATTTTTACAAAATATATATATATATATATTGAAACTGCACTTTACAGGTCCAGTGACTTTGCAATAATAATAGCATTGAATATAATTGGCTGGAAAACGAGCATAAACAAATATATCTACCGTTGCAGACGTATAAGAACGGGACCTTGCATTCATTATGTTCATTAGTTATCGCACCATTAACGAACGAACACGTGACCGACGTCCACAACACATTACTGACCAACATACTGCCTACAATCCACATACGCACCTTAACCTCCCACAGCGTTTTTCCGACTGTGCTGATAAGAGCAAATCACTGTGTTATCACAATCTATTGTGTTAGTGCCGACACCTCTAGTGATCTGTTCAGGATGTCGATTAGGAAGGCTAGATATAGGAAAACCAGCGATTCATTCGTCGTAGAGCAATTATGCATTTTCCGTATCGCGGGTCGCTGACCCCTCTTAATGATTTATTATCTTTGCAAAGCATTTTAAGTATTAACTGTAAATATCTAGAGTTCGTTAATGCTACAATTTTCGTTTTAGTTTTGTTTGTTTGTTGATATCATTAACTTGTATCTATCGCTTTTACTTTCACGCTTCTCTTCACACAGAAAAAACAACTAAGTGCCGCCTCCAGCCTCCCTCTGTAGTTATGCCGTGGTCCACTGAAAAAAGAATGAGTGAAAGCATCGAGTTCTGAGCCATATAACCCACCCTAAGTAAAATTACTTATGTATTTGGTACGTTTTACAAAGAAATTAGTATTAAAATATGTATATATGTAATCTAAAGCACATGCAGAATTCCACTTTTCATTGAATTCGATTATGAATAATTCGTATTTATATGGCCTTTTTTGTAATCTAATAGGTAGTTGAGTTCATTAACCCACATAAAAACAACTGTTTTGAATTTCGCCTTCACAAAATGTGTGCTAAGTGACGTCATTCAAGATTAGTTCTTTTTTAAATATTTAGTATAACATTTTAATTATTGCTATGACAACTATCTCTAGTGCGTACGTACGTTCCTATCTCATTTCGACCTGTACGCAATCGGGTGTTGTTCTCGTTATTTATTTCCTTATACGTAAAAATAAATATAAATATTTTATTACTTTTCCCTATTGTTAGATATACTATAATTCAAAATAATTTATCAACATGTAAACGCCATTGGTACAAGTATGTTGGGACCCCGTGGTTAGATCAACCGGTGCTTTGGATGTACCTACTGAACCGAAATAAAACTTCTAGAACCGTCCTATTGCTCCTTTCCTCTTGAAATATAGGTACAGCAGCAACCTGTTTGCCGTTGCTGTTTGTGATTGTTTAGTTATATATTGGCAAGTTATAACAACTTAAAAGATTAATACTCAAATGAGTTTACCCGAATAATCACTTTTTTGTATACAAGTCATGATCTGAATCAAAATCAAACCTAAATCTAACTATCAGTAAAGTACAGCCAGACTTAGGTCCTGAATCTTAGATCCTCGTGCGGTGCTCTGTTATACAAAACTAGGGTCATGACTCAATTAAAATAAACGTGCAGAAGGAGCCTGACAGTGGCCAGTAAGTAAATAAATAATAATTCAGTAAAAATATTTTCAGATCCCATTGCAATATTTTTTTGTTGGACTGGAGCTATAAGCGGTGCATTTTTTAATTCTTATAATTAATAATAATTATTTTTCAATTAAAAGGTACGCTGATTTAAATCATTTTAAATTTACTGGATTTATTTAAAGTTTCAGTCCCCTATGGGACTACCTTTCCAGTATAACTTATTCATAAAAATAACGTTGATATACACACTGATATAACCGTAATCGAGTACTTTATTTTTAAAACGTTCAAAAACAATATGTTAGAGGAAAAATAAATGAAAACGTACGCCTCTGTGACAAAGTCGGTTAAAGTCGACGAATGGCCCTAGCATATAGTAATTATGTAAATCATAACAATGCACATCTACGATCTGCAGCTCGACTTACGTAAGCCCGAGGTGCACGACCGATATATTGCGATTGTTTAAGGACATTTGCATTATCTTACAGATACATGTATCTTACTATCTTGTTTCAAACTACTCGAGCACGTGACTTCATTATCTTAATATATATATTTCTTGTGTGCGTGTGTATGTGACTGAACTCCTCCTAAACGACTGGACCTATTTTGATGAAATTTTTTGTGTGTGAACAAGGGGATCTGGGAATGGTTTAGATTCACAATTTGAATAATAATTTTCATCAAAAAAATTATTAAAAAAAGTTTGAAATTTTCAAATTAAAGACGTGTAGACAGGACAACGTCTGTCGGGTCCGCTAGTAATAATATAATATTCTACTGCGATGCTCGGGTCTCGGACACGTGAATGCTGAGTTTCCATTTAGTTAGAATGATAGGTATTATTATAAGTAATTTTTCTTGTGTATTTGTTTGTGCGTTTGGTTTGAATGTTTTAAAGACATTTTTAAAAAGTTTTTTCAAAGTTATTGAATGTGCGAGCATTTAAATATGTATAGCAAGTGTAAGGTTCCATTTTTATACATAACCGTTTTATATATAATGCGTTTTAATCGAAAATAGTATATTTGATTAATTTGTAATGATTTATGTATAAGGCATTTAGTTATGTGACCTTGGCCGATAGGAATATATTTAAAAAAAAATGTACGCGGGTCTATAAAAGCATTAATTGTACCTATATAATAACCTTAGCACACAAACGTTGTTTAACATTTTTTTGAATTTGGCGATAGAAGCTTGTTGAACGTTTTCTGGGATCCTGTTATAAAAGCGAAATCATGTTGTAAAAAGGTAATTTTATATGTTAGTAATCAGCAGTAATTACATAGATACTAAGAGATTTCCGTAGCTAATGATGTTAACATAAATCATTCTTATATAAATTTGTCACTATAACTATTTTGTTAGTATATCCACTTATTGAATATTATCATCTTGTAGTTCTAGCAGCCTAGCTCTTCTTGGAGATAGCCCTTTGTTAGTTATCTATACTTAATATTATATATGTGAAAGTTTGTGAGTATGGATGTTTAATACTCTTTCACGCCAGAACGGCTGAACGGATCTAGATCAAATTTGGTACAGAGATAGATTATAGTCTGGAATAAAAAATTGGCTACTTTTTATCCCGGAAAAATGTACGATTCCCGTGGGATAGGTTTGTTTCTGTTTTACGAGAGGCGAACCCGAGCGAAGCGAGGGTGACCTGCTATTGTGCACTATTTTCATTAAAGCGTTGTGCGGGTGCCACTTATCAGTGCCATAATATGAATTAAAAAGGGACCACAAAGGTACAATCCATTTTATCGATAAAAAAATTTTCTGAGTAAAATTTCAAAAAAATATATATTAAAATATAGTCAATCATATTAATATCAAAACTAAACTGATGATTTACTAAGAGATCCGTTATGCGACAAAAAGAAACTCAGCGGTACTAAAATAAAAGCACTATAGCACTTTAAAACTCTTCACCATGAATATTGTTGTTTTGACAATCCTTGCGTTCGGCGAGATTCCCCTTAAGATGAAAGGCGACAAACTATTGTATGAAAATTTTATCCTGTGATTTAACAATTTCAATACAGAATGATAATGTTATTATTTGTAGGTATCGATATGACTTATGCGATGGCAAACAGTAACCAAAGCCCATATGCTCGTAGATCAGCGGCGTCACTCACGTTCCCTTGAGGGGATGGGGGTAAAGAGGGGAGAAAGTAATAGCAACAAAACTATACATTATATTATTTATTTATCATAATTTATTCATATTTCATTGTAAATAAATGTATTTGAGACGCAAAAAGTATATAAAACTTAATAGTAGTATCATAAATCATAATATAGGTCTATTTAAAACACGGTGCTTATGTTACTTTTATTGCAAACGACCGCGTCATGGAGTTGGCATTCTTTTAAAAATTAAAGCTAGCTGTAATAAATTCCATGTGTTATAAATAATAAATTCATAATACTAACAATAAATAACACTTTAATAAGAAGGTACGACTTCAACATTATTTAAAATGTGATCATTTCACCTTTAGCAAGTTTATGACCTTTACCTTCGAGGCACAAGATATTAATTTAAAAAAGTATAATCAAAATCGATGGCATGTATAAAAAATACGTCATACGTCCAAGTTCGATACGTCATATTCCTCAGTCAGTTAAATGAATTTAAATACAAACGGGCTTGGAACCCAAGACAGTAACGATATAGTGTAAATACGCTAGCGCGTGGCGAGGCCGAAGTGTCCGAGCAGCGCGGCGCCGCGCCGGCGGCCCGCGCGCGCCGCCGCCGCCGCCACGCGCGCCGCCGCGCCCAGCCCCCGCACCTCGTAGTACCTGCGAACCATAGCGATATCCAGTTTTCGATAGTAGAATTGAATCGACTACACAATAATCTATCTATATGCTAAATTTCATCCGAATCCGTCCAGTCGTTTTAGCGTAAAAAAGTAGCGTTTGGAGTTAGGAAGTTGCCGGTGTTTCACTTAAAGCCTTCGCTCCTACGACTTAACTTTCGTCGCGTTCGTCGAATTGTCCGGCGAAGTATGAGAGTGAAAGAAATAGAGAGCGCACAGATGTCTGCGCGTACACGCACTGCACAGTAATATCTCTCGCACAGTGACGGTAAGGATTACATCATCGTCACTATAACTTATATCCTACACCAAAAGGCTACTTCGAATCTCATGTGCCATTTTTAAATCGACGAGTGAAAGGCTATTTGGTTTAAGGGACATTTTCTTAACTTTACAGGAGAGCCAATTTAATGATTTTTTTGAACAAAAATTCATTAAATTGGCTCTCCTGTAAAGTTAAGAAAACGTCGCTTAAACCAAATAGCCTTTCACCCGTCGAAATCTTTCAACCACTCTGTATTTTCTCTTCACTTGGACCCCACAATAAATGGTTAATTTTTTCCATGAAACAACTTGTAATCAGCAAAAATATGGCCGACCGAGCCGGCCGGCAGAAATATTATTTTATACCCATCGTTACAGTTGTTAACTTAAGTTTTAACAAAAATCGATGCTTGCACTATAAAATAAACAAAAAACATCTATTACCTGACTTTCCACCCGTATGCGTTAGCCACAGGTACGTAGAAGCCAGGCTCGTTGAGCACCAGATACGTCTGCAGTTCCTTAAAGCCAGGATTCGAAGCTTCACTCATGGGGTACACGTTCAGCGTCTCCGCCATAGACGGCTCCTCGTCGTGCGTGCCATGAGGCCCGTCCCTCCCCACTAACACCACCTTTCTAAACTTCCCTTCACTGTCGGTTATATTTAATCTGATATTCAAAAACTGATTTTCATAACCCACAAGGGTTTTCGTCACGACACACGCGATCAAACTGCTTTTGCACTCAAAATCGCAGAGGAATAGTCTAGATATCCGATGCTCAGGATTGACTTCGTCACTCGGGTTCACTTTTAAGCAGCTGCCTCCCAAGAAACTGTCTTCATAGAACGGCTCTAAGCATTCCAACTCCGCCGGCACGTAGGCCAACGCGTAGCGGGTTTTGCCCCTCCTGTCTCCTAAACTTAAATTCACCGACATCTGCACCATCGACCTTCCAGTAATTTCCGAATTACTCTTCGCGTGAGCTTCCAACTTATTTGCATTCTCCGTTTTAGCTGCCTTCATTTCAAATAAATGTCGGAACGCGTCTTTCGTTTTCCTCTTAACAGATGGTCTTTGGTCGTCGGGAACTTCTACTACTTCTTCGGTAACTAAATTTGTGCTATCATTGATTGGTGATTGTGATCGTTCCTTGTATTTGCCAGGTGTTAGTTCTATTCGACTCATTTCTAGGGAGCGTCTGTATCTGAGGATGCCGTCCCTGTTTTTCAGCAGGCCTAGTTGGGAGAGGTTGGTGATGGTCTCCTGGGTGGAGAGCAGGTAGCCATGCGGCCCGTGCAAGCAGTTGGGCTGGTACTGCTGATGGTTCAGGTTGTACCACGGCACCGGACAGATCACCTGGAACATTAGCCGGTCAGTGAATTAAATGAATTCAGTTCATTAGCAGTTGGTGACTGACAAAAATATTTAGGTGATTTATACATATTTAGAAAGTGTTTTGTCTTACAAGTATATTTTTTTGTCATAACTTTTTAAATTCATCCTTCGTTTTCTTTTTTCTGAATTTGCCGCGTATCATCACAGATACTTGTACAATTTTTTTTCGAAAACAATGATATAAAATAAAGTTGCAGATTTTTATACAAAATCTGAATTTAAACGATTAATCATATTTAATAAACACTAAATAGAAAATACACAACTGTAGAGACTAATGTAATATTGTTTACCTCGCCATACAAGCGTCGCTTTTTCCCCTGTCCCCTGCAGAAGGAGGTGTGGAAGGGCAGGTGGCAGGGCAGCTTGGTGTGGAGGTAGGGCCACAGGCTGCCCCACAGCGCGCGCTCGCGCAGCAGCCGGCGCCCGTGCGCGTCCAGCTCCTCGGCGTTGGCGACGGGCTCCTCGCCCAGCGCCTCGTGCGTCCACGCCGGCGCGAAGATGGCCAGCGAGCAGCCGTAGTCGTACGCCACTTGGATGGCCTGCAAATAGGTTTCTTTATGTATACATATATGGTGTAAAAATGTATTTATTGGTCTTTTCCTATAATGCGGTTTAAAGGGCTGGATGGATTTCATTTTTATATCAAATTAATTGTTCTTGAGATTTACCTATATTTAGATAATTAACATTGACATGTATGGATAGAGAATATTTAAACAAACAAATAAATAAACAGAATGGTGCCCTAAGGTCACGTTTCAGAGATATTTCGAGGTAAAGATCGCTTATATGTATGAGAACTATGGAAATCTTTTTTTCCAGGCCTTACTTTAGTAAATTTTTGAAAGACGTGAGAAATCCGCCAACCTGCACTTGGCCGATGTGGTGGACGATGGCCTGATCCCCCTCATATTGAAAAGACGCTCCTGCCCAGTAGTAGGACATTAAAACGGGCTGAATACATGTCTAACACCTGTATACAATAAAACCGGATAGCAATCACCTCCTGCGTGTTGAACTGGCCGCCGCCGTAGAAGTTCCTGCCCCAGACGTCGATGCCCAGGAACAGGTCGGTCCGGCGGTCGCCCGCCGCCGCCACGCTCGTCTCCACGTCCCGCAGCGACCACGAGTAGTTCGTGAAGAACGCGTCCACTACCTCGAAGAATGCTCTAGAACGAATATAACAATAAAAAAATGCTGAAAAAAGGAAAAATAATTTCAAAGATAATAAACCGAACATAGTTGAGTTGACTGAATAACAGATAATAATCGTAAGCCGCTAGAACTTAGAAGCATGAGGTTTTGCACAATAGTACTATATACAACGATTGTGGGTAACACAGATTATTTTCAGTTCAGTTCCTCATTTTTGAAACTGAAAAATGGTAACCTGACGCGAAGCCAAAAAACGCACTGGGAGGTGGCTCACTACGGTAGGTGGTGTGCTATTATACGGGTTGCTCCTGGTACTTTTCTAATAGTAGAGTGGACCGTTGCAGCAACCACTTGGTTGTTGTAGTTTGCCTCGGCGTCTTGTGTTTTAGTGTGTGGTACTGGTTTTCCTAGCCTGTGAGTTCTAAATAACCACTTGTATGTATGCAGTTGATATGCGTAAATGCTTTTCCCATCGTTAAAAAAACACATACACCAATAAATTCAAACAAGTACACATTCATATAGCTATAAAATTTTAAAAAGTTTTTGTGGTAAAATAATGAGGAAATAGAAATAATGGAAATATGAATAAAATAACACATAGAAATAATGTCTAACTTATTCTTGTCATTGAGGCCGTTCTGCCAGTTGAGGTGTCCCTCAATGGTGACGCTGTCGTACCACACCAGCAGCGGGTCCTCCAGCTCCTGGTGCAGCAGCTCGTGCAAGTGGCGCACGAACTGCAGCAGGACATCCGGTTTTGCTATCTGTGTATAAAAAGCCAATATTTTATAGCTTAATGAAAATTTACCTATTAAGACGCTTCCACTAGCCGATACAGAACCAGCTCAAAACGTACCAAAAACTTGTGAAATGATAGGGCACGCATCGGCTTGATGGGCTTCATGCATTTGATTGATTTAGAGAAAGATAACTATTATCATTATTTCGTAGTAATACGCCCACTCCCACTTGCCTTATTCTCAACATTAAGAAGCCAGCCATCGAAGCGCAGAGTCTTGGCGATGGCAACGAGCGCGCTAGCGAAGTGCCTCCATTCAGCCTCCGACTGCAGGATCTTATCCCACAACGCCACCCCCTCCCCCCATTCCGTTATTACAGTACCTTTCGAAATAAGATATAAGCTTCATTCAAATCATAGCAGCTTAAGCACTATGCAATAAATACATTATAATTATACCTAATATTCAATAGATACCTATATGACATTAGAGACGTTAACCGAATGAGTTAAATACTAGGTAACTGTTTCAAAATCACAGACCGAAAATTCAATTTAATTGAAAGGAAGTGTAAATAAAATTACCAATAACTTTGACCCCATGTGCGTGCCCTACATTGATCCAACCCAGAGGAGGTATCGTGATGAAGTGATGGCTGAAGTAACAGAATATGTCGACAGCGCTCCAGTTATAGAACGTGTACGCGCTATAGTTGCCCGTGCCGTCTATTACACTGAAAAAATATACTTTTGTTGTAGAAACAAAATCTTATAAAAGAGTAGTTAGTATATTTATAATATGTATGTATTTTAAAATGTATAATGTATCAACTATCTGGTATCCATAACACAGGCTTCGTAGCTTACCATGGAACTAGATGGTGTTGTGTGTTAATGTCCTGACATATTTATTTATTTATCTCTTCTAAGTAATTTGTTCAAATATTACACAAAAATAATAATTAACACCTCCAGGTGAATTTCTAAGAAATTAATTAAAAATTTCTAAGTAATCTATTGTTAACTGTAACGCCGGCGTGTGCGCGGTTGTGGAAGGATTAAATTTGAATGCCAAAAATTTGAAAAAAAAACCTACTTCCAGGCACTAAAATGTAAAAAATAACTAAACGGGGATTTTTATTGAGAATAGATACCTAATCAGATATTTTCAAAGTCGGTGCCAGTTTTATTTATTTATAATCTTACTTTCTTACTAACATTATAAATGTGAAAGTTTAGATATTTGTTACTCAATCACGCCAGAACAACAGAACGGATCTGGATGAAAGGCACAGAGATAGACTATAATGTGGAATAGCACACAAGTTACTTTTTATGCCGGAAAAATGTACGGTTTCCGGGGATAAATGTTTTTGTTTCTTAGAGGCGAACCCGAGCGAAGTAGGATAAGCCGCTAGTGTAATCATAAAAAACAATACTTTATGATATTTTTCTATTCAATAATAATAATATAGAAAAATATATATAGAAAATATTTTTATATTCAATAATAATAATAATATAGAATAAGTAAAGGTTTGATCATGGACATGGCTAAGACATCTAAAGAGATCTTAAAGTTCAGAAAGTACCTACTCGTATGTAAATAAGCAAGCTGATGCTAAAAGACGCATTGCGTATGGTTACCAATAACAGAAACGACGACATTGTCGGCACAGATAGCAATTTGCTTTATCACTATAGAGTGATAAAGCAAATTGCTATCTGGGATAGACCGTGTCAGTTAAGCGATTGGCGTTACACATCGCATGGTACTTGTACCAACATGTTGCGATAACAAAACCTAGTCCTGACAAAGGAGATACTCGTATTAAAGTAAAACTATTTCAAGAGAAATATAATCTCTCAGAAGGTCTTACGGAATCATCAGCAAAAAAATTGCAGTGCAGTTGCTACTGCACAAGGAAACGCAAAAATTAAGTACATAAATAAATGAAAAGTAAAAATGAAGAAAAACGTTATCGTATAGTTTAATTGGTACGGGTTAAAATAAGCAATTCAAACTTGACCATAAGTTGCAATCGAGGAAAAAGAAATCCTCGTAGGGCTTTAAAAAAACAAGTATTCATTAAACTTGAAGAGTTAAAACGGTATCTCTGAAGATCTTCGAATGAACGGGTATAATAACAATTAAGACAATGGAAGAAACAAAAATGGTAACGCCGGATCGTAACGCCGAGAGATCAGAATGCTAATGTGAATTCTACCCCGCAAAATCTATACTTATAATAAAATTCTAACTAAGCCGAATTTGTAAATATTTTTTGGAAAATCTTATTAAAATAGACATTATTTTCGATACAGAGGCCGAATCAATAGTTTTTAGAATTTATATCTGTTTGTCTGTTACCACATCACGGATAAACCACTGGAGGGATTTTGATGACATTTGGTATGGTGATAGCTGATTATCCGGGTCAACATATAGGATACTTTTTACCCCGGGAATATATCTCATTTTTGAGAAAAAATACAAAAACTGCAATGTAAGAGTATACTAATATGTAAAACCTAAGAATTTGGTTTTTGGTCATCTGAACGTGAGCGGAGCCGCGGGCAATGCTAGTCTATGGCATAAAAATAAGTGTTTAATTAACATCTAAAGTCCGCACGCTCTGAGACTGATATCATGCTTTCAGACTGCAGAGTAGAATTGTACAATACCTATATAAAGTTTATACCGCGCTTTACGTGACCAACAAGCGACCACGGCCATAATATAATATGTACGTAATAATTACTTGATGCGACCATGGTCTTGGTCGGTTTTCACTATTGCAAGTGTGAAGTGGGCTTCCATAAAAGTTATAGCAAATAGAAATAGTTCTCTATGGAGTGTATATGGTACAGTTTAAATGTTAACATCAATAATTTTGTTACCCGTAATGTAAATACTCGTATAAAAGGAGCAACGGTCACGGAATACTACGATTTAAAATAATAATTTAAAAAACTTTTTCAGGCTTTATATCCATCGCTTTAAAATGTATCAATAAAAATAAAATAAATATATAATATTTAAACCTGCTATATTTTAGTCCCTTTAAACTATTGTCTTAAATTAAAGGCACTAAAAAATAAAAAGAATAAATAAAAATTAAAAGGAATAAGTGTAAATTAAGTTTTAAAAGTATTGAATTACCAATCATCATGATATCCATTAGCCATATCATGGCAAACTAATGTTTTTGGCAACTTCTCTCTCCCGTGACGTTCAACCTCTTCATCCGCTTCCGGATCATAGTGACAAAATGTTTGCGGTGTTTCGAGTAAATTTTCACCAAAAAATTTATTAATATCTGTATTTTTCACCACTTTTTCACTATGCCGTTTAATTTCAATACACAAAGACCTCCAACTCGGTGGATCTTGCAAAAATGATGAGATTTCTTCTAAATTATCTAACGGCTTACAGGTTAGGTTTTGCTCTTTCCATATTTTATTTTCGGCCATGATTTACTAGCACCAAATTTATATAACTTAAATATTATACCGCGTTTATATTAATTTACTTATAAACATAGCCGTCGAAATATCTACGAGCATTTTCTAAATACAATATTGTTTGTTTACTTCTTATAGTGACAATGACACTTCTACGCGCGATGGCGGGTATTTTAAAAGTGTGCTAGAAGACGAAATCTATGCAATAAAGCTAATCATGCAATTTTCCGATATTTATGTAGAAATAACTATATATGTTGTTATCATAAATATAACGAGTTCTATTTAATGATTAAGTCATTGTGCTGATCTAGTTTTTTTAGTTCTTATAAAATTAAATGATTTACGTATCCAAGTATCAATGAATTTTTATAAATACTTAACATAATTTCTTCCGATATGTTTTATAATAAAAATAAAATAGACATAAAAATATTTAAATAGAATCGTCGATGCATGTGTTTGCTTGGAATATTTGCATGTTCTAGTTTGATAAACAAAGCCAGGATGTGTGCTACTTATTTCGATAAGGCCATTTATTGTTCATAGTTTACTCCCACACTGTTTTTTAAACATTTTACTTTAACTCTATAATTAATAGTCCATGTAATTTTGATTATTGACAAATTTAACTTATTAATCTAACTAATATTATAAATGTGAAAATTTAGATGTTTGGATGGATGTTTACACGCCAGAACGGCTGAACGGATCTGGATGAATTTTGGCACAGAGATAGATTATAGTCTGGAATAGCACTTAGGCTTTCTTTTATTCCGGAAAAATACACAGTTCCCATCGGATAGATTTGTTTTTCTTTCTTTCTTGTTTTTTTTTTTTGGCTAGTTAATAAGCACATATCAATATAATAATTAGATAAGATTAGTAGATAAGTATTTAACATTTTTGATATATTCTAAAAAAAATAGAGACAAAAATATTCATAAAATATATTAAAGGTAACTTATTTGGTATATACTAAGTTCTTATTTTTATTTATTTTCTTTAATCATTTACGTTTTTTTCACTTTTTTTGAAATCATGAAAACTCAAAATGAGCTTTGTGAGTACATTTTTCTAAAATCCTTATATTTTCAAATTAGTTACCTAGTACTTTTAAAGTAGGAAATTCTACAACCTATAACTATGTTCTTATTAAACTATAAAACAGCACATGTTACCTGTAATAATTTATCTATTACAGTTTGCCATCTTGATTCTTGGCCTTACCTTACCTATGGTTTTGCAAATGTCAATGTCTTAAATTATTCCCATTTCCCATAGGTCTGGTAACCCTTGTTACTTGTTAGTACCTGTACGCTGCCTGTCATAGTAATGCACTACCAGTATATAAGTGTATAATCTATGGTAATGCACTAGTTTTAAAATAATTTTTTTCCTTCCCTGTAACCTCTTTAAATATAAGAATGTCCTGAATTGACAGTATAATATGCATTTATAAGAACAGATTATAAAACGGAGTATTCTTACAAACTTGTAAGTGCCTTGAAAACAGGTGCCCGGTAAGTTTATTTATCGGCATCATTTCTTGATACTATTATAACACACTTAGTTAATTATAATAAGAAAAAAATAGTTTTAGATGTCACAAATAAGAATATCAATACGTATTGTAATTATGTACGTCAAAATTCTTGTAATTTATAATCGTAAATTAAGTATTGCCCGTGGCTTTGTCTGCATGTACTTCTACTCAATTTGAATCTTTACTATTGTACTTTAATCACCATTACTATTAATAATTAATTTCAAGAGAATTAAAGCTGATTTTCAAATAAATATAGCCTAATATATTATTTACCGCACCAACTTTCCCAATCCTTGTTAACCCCATAGAAATTGCGTGGAAGGACTTTAGAATAAGGGTACCCATATATCTTAATATTTTAGGGTAGGGGGAAGGGGGATTATTAGCTAAATCTAAAATTTACAAAGATCTATAAATATAGTTTATTAATAAATGAGATAAGATTTATAATACTTCTCTTGTGATATTATTTATTATTTTATTTTTTCAGAATAAAAACCATGCAATAAATAACTCCATGTTCTGATAAAAACATAGCCAAATGCCTAAATGTTTGTCAATACAAAAACTCTTACAAGTGCGCCTAAGCACATACCTATGTATATCATTGTGTATTGTTGCAATCATCCAATTTTTCGCTGCTTATGGATATTATAGATATGATTATTTGGCACAAAACAGTCTTGATGACTGTCTGTATATACACACAAATCCTAAGTTAGTAGTCAAAGACTCTCTACCAGACTGTAAATATGATGAAATACTCCAAAATACTAATTCAATTCGCAGTTGGGAGGTCCCACAGAAATTTAGTGAATTTTTACCCACTGGAATCTTGAACGGCAGTTACAGCCCTGAGAGTTGTAAACCATTGTTTAGTGTTGCTATATTAGTGACCTACAGAAATAGACAAAGTCAACTAGATATATTTATTCCATACATACATAACTTTTTGAGAAAACAAAATATACATTACAAGTAAGTAATATTTAAATTTTGCAATGTTCTTACATATTATTTTAGCCAAGTTTTTTATTTGTACTAAATATATAGTCTGGGAAGTACTGATACAATTAATAGATAATTAATGATGACAATGAACTTCCTAACAATATCGATCACGGTGACTGTTTCAGTTTTGGAGAGATAATTGTCGTTCATATGCTGTCATATGATTATTGTAGCCAAACTTGTTTGAGAAGGTCCGCTTGTATTGCTGGCATGTTAGCACCCATTTTTTTTTTTTTTTTTTTTTTTATTTCTGTTTGGCGGCTTTTTATATCACTGCGACCATTTCTGGTCTATTGTGATCGCCGCCATATTGTACTAGAGTGAACCACTAAACCCTGCTGATGTTAAGAACTGCAGGATTTTCTTAGGGTTACACTCTTTTATTTCATCTAGGCTTGGAAATTGTTTACCTAGATGAATACTACGTTTGTGCATGAGCGGTCCACATTCCCACAGAAGATGCAGTGGCGTTTCGTCTGCCTCCCTGCAAATTCTGCAGGTTCGCGTTTCGCTCAGCCCCAGGTTGAACATGTGCTTATTTAAGCAGCAGTGTCCAGTAAAGGCCCTTACCAGTATTCGTAAGGTTTTTCTGTTTAGCCCTAGCATAAGATTGTTAAACCTTTTGTCGTAGGCTCTAATTAATGCCTTGGAGTGATTCATTCCATTTGATTCAGTCCAGGTTTTGTTTGCAGTCTTAAGACATGCTATCATTAGGGTTCTTTGGACTAGGCTCTTAGGTATCCCACAGAAGGGCTCAGGGCCCTGCTGTATGCCAAGAGCTCCCCCTCTAGCGAGCTTATCGGCACACTCGTTGCCAATTACACCTGCATGACCCGGTACCCATCTTAGCACTACTTTGTTACTTCTTGCTAAGAGGTTTAGTCGGTCCATGCACTGCTCCACTAACTTTGATGAGACTATGTTTGAGTCCAGCGCTAGTAGTGCAGCTTGACTATCTGAATTTATATAGATAGTTTGATTTGTGTAGTGCTTAGACAAATTAGCTTCTACACATTCTAGAATGGCATAGACTTCTGCTTGGAAAATAGAGGCAAATTGTCCGAGGTGTATGCTTTTGCTAAACCTCGGTCGCTCTCCATATATCCCACAGCCAACCTTTGCTTCTATTTTTGAGCCATCTGTAAACCAGATGAGAGATCCGTTTTTATGGATTACCTGGCTTTTAGTCCAGTCTTCCCTTGACGGAAATTCAATTGTATAATACTTTACAAATGAGTGCCGAATTAACATGGCATCAGTCGTCATACCAAGTAGCGGCATTTCTTGTAATGAGTCCTGTAGGGTCCTCATTTTTCGTGAGAGCCAATGAGTTCTGCCTTGGATTTTAGCTCTATGCATGCTGGCTTTTGCCTCCTTTTGTATAAAAAGGTCTAAAGGTGGCAGCCCGAGTAATGCATTTAGTGCCTGACCAGGGCACGTAGACATGGCTCCTGTGGTCATTAGACAGGCTGTTCTTTGTAGGCTGTCTAGTTTTTGAATGGCTGTCGTCTGTTTGGCCTTATTGGACCAGGCTACCGATGCATACGTGATAATTGGCCTCACAATAGCAGTGTAAGTCCAAAGTGTGTTTTTGGGATTTAACCCCCAATTTTTACCCAACATGCGGCCACTTATTCCCAATGCCATCTTGGCTTTACTTAGGACTGCAGTTAGATGCGGGTTCCACGTCAGTTTTTGGTCTAATGTTAGTCCCAAGTATTTGACTTGCGTGGAAAATGCGATTTGTTTGCCATTAAGCTTTGGCATGACTAGTTTGTCTAACCTTCGCTTGTTTGTAAAGGGCACAATGACAGTTTTGTCAGCGTTGACTGATAGGTCACTTCTAACACACCAGTCACTGACAATGTTCAGACCCTTCTGCATTATACTTGAAAGTGTGGATTGGCAGAAGCCCCTTGCTATGATTACCAAGTCATCAGCATAGCCTTGCGCATCAATGCGGAGTTCTGCCAGTTTGTGTAGTAATTCATCCACAGCAAGTGTCCACAGTAGTGGGGATAGAACTCCCCCTTGCGGACATCCTCTTGCTGTGGATATATAGATAGTTGTGTCGTGGAGGGCTAGTTTTGCTCTTCTGCTAGTGAGCATAGATTTTACCCACTTTACCGTTGTTGGATCAACATTTTTAGTTATCAACCCATTTATCAACAGCGAAGTAGAAGAGTTATCAAAAGCACCTTCGATATCTAGAAATGCACATAGTGCTATTTCCTTGTCTTCTAACGCCTTTTCCACTTGGTCTATAAGACTTATAAGGGCAGTCTCTGTTGATTTACCTTTACGATATGCATGTTGATTAAAGTGGATTGGGCTTTTAGTCAAGATTTCATCTCTTATATACCTATCCAGTACCTTCTCCATTGCTTTGAGTAAGAATGAAGAGAGGCTTATTGGTCTAAAAGACTTTGGTTGGCTATAGTCTTTTTTACCAGTTTTAGGTATAAATATGACCCTAACAAGGGTCCATATGTCTGGTACATATCCCCAGGCGAAGCTCGCTCTGAAGATTTTGATCAGGTGAGGAAGGAGGATGTTCACCCCTTGCTGCAGTAAGATTGGTGGTATCCCGTCTTCCCCTCTCGCCTTGTAGGGCTTAAAGGAGTCTACGGCCCACCGAACATGGTTAGGTCTTATGATCTTGGCAGCTTTGCACCAGTCCTCACTGCGAGGTCTATGATAGCCTGCCTGCTGATTATTGATGTTTTCTAAGAGACACCCAGGGAAGTGTGCCGTGGCCAGCAACTCGAGGGTCTCTTTCTCTGTAGTTGTGAAGGAGCCATCTTCCTTCTTAAGAAGTCCGATAGGATTAGGTTTGGCTTTAGAGAGAAGTTTGTGGAGTCTTGCTACTTGTGGAAGGCTTCTGATTTCCTCACAGAACTTCCTCCACGATTCTCTTTTAGCCCTCCTAATCTCTTTGTTGTAGTCTGATAGAGCTTTCCTATAGATCTCCCAGACGTGCGTCTTTTTAGCTTTATTGAATAGTTTCCTTGTTTTATCTCTAAGCTTTTTCAGCTTTGAGTTCCACCAAGGTGCTTTTCTAGTTGAGGTCTTTATTTTGAGAGGGCAGCTCTCCTCAAAGGCTGAAATAATGCCCTTTGTGAGGCCTTCCACCGCTAGGTCTAGACTCTCAATAGTTCTAACTGTTTTAGGAAGGGTAGCCAAGTTCATCCTTAACCGGTCTTTGAATTCAATCCAGTTGGTTGCTCTAGGGTCCCTATAGGTTGTGGTTTCGGCTTCTAGCGTCGCCTTAACCTCAAAGGCTAGGTGTCGGTGGTCCGACATTGCATTTTCATTGCTGACACGCCAGTTCATTATATGCCTGGCTAGATTGTGTGTGGAGATAGTAATGTCTAAGACTTCCTGTCTAACCCGAGTAACAAAGGTTGGTTCGCAACCTGAGTTTAGCGTTATAAGGTTATTAGCAATTAGAAAGTCAAAAAGTAACTCACCTCTTTTATTCGTGTCACTACTTCCCCACGATGGGTGATGTGCGTTTGCATCACATCCTATTAGAAGCTCGGCGTTGTGATGTGCGGCATACTCTACCACTCTTGCTAAGTCTTCAGTTGGATTGTCTCTCTCTCCAGGCAGATAGGCTGAGCATATTATTACCCTTGCACCATCCCACCCTTTGAGTTTGACAAAGGCTGCGGCCAAGTCGTCATTGCAAACTTCTGAAATTGGCAAGAAATCAACACATTTATTAAATAGGATACAAGCTCTGGGTCTCTTACCAGTGTTATTACTTAGGACCTTACCGGCATTATTAAGTCCCCGAACCTGAGTATTTGCTACCCAAGGTTCTTGAATTAAGGCAAGGCTTGCCTTGTCCTCAGCAAAGCATTGCTCCATCACCGCAGTGGCTGCTGCAGCATGGTGGAGGTTTGCTTGCAGGACCCTCACCCCCCCCCCTGAGTAGCTCCTAGGCGTTTCCCCCCTGCTTTGTCCGCACAAGCTTGGGACGCGGTCGTCCCCTGCTCGTACGCCAAGCGTCGCCTCTTCCACCCCTATGAGCTGTGCCTGTTAGGCCTCCCCTTTGCCTTGGTAAGGATTCCTGAGGCCTTCCGGCGGCACCAGCTCTCGGATTTGCCACCCTTCCACCCTGAGCAGGAGGTATTTGTATACCTCTTGACGTGGAGGGCTGTGGCTCCGTGACATAGCTCCCTCCGCTCTGAGGTTGGGACTCGGACGTTATCCCGGCTGCTTGTTGTGAGCCGAGATTCGTCCTGTCTTGCCCCTCTGAGCCCCTGGATGAGGGTGCCTGAGGTTCCAGAATCCGTTCAGCAGGTCCTGGGCATGTGGGGCCAGCCATTGGGTCGCTCTTGATTTTAAAAAGTAATTTCTTAAAACCAAGAACGACCTCAAGGTTCATAGCCCGGAGAGCTGCGACAGAAGCGTCGTCTAGGAAGAAGGACACAATGTGTCCATTTCCCTCGGCCCTACTGTGCGCTACTCTCCAGAGCTCCGTGTTGAGCCCTCTATTCTGTATCCCTAACAACTGGGTGGCCTCGTCTAGCGACTCCGCCTCAGAGTTAGGGATAAATATAGTCCCTACTGCAGGCTTCGGTAGTTCGCTCTCAGGGATAATTGAGAGCACCGCCTCGCTCCAGGGCTTTAGGGTGGGGACCTTCTCGGACAGCCATTTGAGACTATCCTGGTCCTCACAGGTGATCACTATATACCCCGGCCTGTGGGTAAAGCCGGTGAATCTGGGTCCCTCACCCTTGTCAGTGATCTTGAGCATCGCAAGGGTCAGGGATCGGTGCACCAGCTTCATTTGATCTCCGCTCATGGGAACTTGATTTTTAATTCCCACGCGAGATTGCTCCACAACCTTACTGAAGCTGGGTTGTGCTACCTTTCCCTCCGCACGGGGAGCCTTTTTGATTTGCATCCCCGGCGATTCTTCCTCCGACCTAGGCCTTTTCTTGGCCTTCGGGTCAGGCGGAATATTTTTGATCGGAATATCCTTCCAAGGCCTAACGGCTAATGCGCGGGCTTCGTCGAACCTCACATTAGCCGCCAGGAGCCTTCGGAGTCTCTTCCGAGCAGCACCGTTTAATCTGGCCGGATGGCTTAGGGATTCTTCCGTCCCTGGGTTAGAGTCATCAATGTCTCCTTCCCCGGCCGGATTGGTCCCTTCAGCCCTCAGGTTAGATACCTTTGACGGAGAGGCTAATAAAACCTCCTCCATCAGGGTTATGGTTTCTCCTAAAAGAGGAGAAAGAGGATCTCCAGTTGGAGATAAAGGTTTGGGTGTTTTGTTTTTATTTTTTTCTTCTTCCATATACGTCCCACGAGAAGCTAGGGAAATAAACATGCCCACCGACAGAGCCCCGCATGTCGATGGGAGGACAGAAATTACTACCCGATTCGTCCAGGTGTCGGGTAGCCACCGTTTGCGACTGAGCTCCCCCCCAGCCACGCATCCCTCGGCACGGTTCGGATCACACCTTGGATTGGGTTTATTTACAGATATATAAATATAATACATACAAATATACATATATACATTAACATATAATGTACTATAAATAAATAAATAAGTAAATAAATAGCAATAGCATATATAAATATATTTAATAAAGCAACAAGCGCTCGGTGGTTTCGGTTATGTCTATTTCCTAGTGAACTAGACCAAATAACAGGGCTGGCAACCTCGAGAAGGATAGTCCACCGAACTAGCCTTGGGGATCTTCGCGACTGAACACGTCACTCTCCCCCAAGACCAACGCCCCCCTACCGTCTCTGAAGGAGACAGTAAGGTAGGCCTGCGCCTATACTACCATGCAAAGCATGCCGTGCGGGAACCGTAAAAGCATAGGTCCAGGCCCGCCCCTTCATTCATAATTATAATCTTCATAGATAATTAATGATGACAATGAACTTCCTAACAATATCGATCACGGTGACTGTTTCAGTTTTGGAGAGATAATTGTCGTTCATATGCTGTCATATGATTATTGTAGCCAAACTTGTTTGAGAAGGTCCGCTTGTATTGCTGGCATGTTAGCACCCATTGTGATAATCATTGTATCTGAGCACCACAAATATATAATAATATATAATAATTACATAATTCTAAAAGTTTAAAAATATCCTTTTATTCCCTGAGATTTTTCACATAATTATAATATTTGGCTCTACTATTTGATATTTCTAAAATCCCTTTGAAATATAACAGCTATAAAGATGAAGAAAATTAATTTTGTTAATACATATATGACACCTAATATTGGTGTGCTTTGTTACTTCTCAACATGTTCACAATTGAGTCAGCTAATAACCAGTTCAAACACATAGGCCATAGGGATAGAATATATTAACATAAACCTAAATGACACTTACAATTTGTCAATATTATATTTTCAGAATATATGTAATAGAACAGCGGGATGAAAAGCCATGGAACAAAGGAATGCTATACAACATTGGAGCAAAACAAGCCATCATAGATAAATTCCCTTGCCTCATACTCCATGATGTGGATCTCTTACCATTAGATCTCAGCAATTTATACGTCTGCTTAAAGCAGCCAAGGCACATGAGTGCTAGTATAGACAAGTTTAGATTTGTACTCATATACAAGTCGCTAGTTGGTGGTGTCTTGGCCATCACATCCGAACAGTACCAAGAACTGAATGGTTTTTCAAACAGATACCTAGGGTGGGGCGGTGAGGATGATGACTTTGCTGGACGAATTGCATCACATAATCTTGAAATTTTAAGGTAAATACAAAATATGATATCTGCTTTCAACAAATTCATGCCAATTAGAACTTTGAGAGTATACAAACTTAAGATATTTAGTAAGGGGGGCTGTAAATGTTTGCACCTTAAAAGACACACATTTTTATATATTTAGTGATAATAGAAATTTTTCTTTGTTCAAAAATCAAACATGCAACCTTTATCTATACTTCTATAAGTACTAATATTATAAAGTGGAAAGACTTGTTTGCTTGTACTGAATAAGCTCCGAAACTACTGAACTGATTTAGATGAAATTTTATAAGAAGATAGTTTGAGACATAGGATAGTTTTTATCCCGGAAATCATCCCTTAAGGGGGTGAAAATGGGGATTAAAGTTTGAATGGGGGAAGCAAGCTAGGCACGAACCGAAGCAAGGGTAAGTCGCTAGTGATAGGTATATTTACATTTGACATCACATTATATATATATATTATATCAATATTTTCCTAGCTTTATCTATAAATGGTTGTGTTGTATGAGGATGTGTCTGATAGGAGGGAGGATGTATCAGATTTGCAAATAAGATAAACTATGCATGCTGCAAGTTTTATCTTATTTACAACCTAATATATAGTTCTGTTAAAAGATGTTAAGAAATATTTTGATATGCAGCATGAAACTGCATATTTAAAATTATTTTGAATAAACTATTCAGATTTTGTTGCGGGCTTATTTTGATTTTTGATCTCTCCTGTGACCATGATTGATCACAGGGTCCGCGAAAAAATCCAAACCAAACCAAATCAAAATACTTAAATCTGAAAACATAATCTATACATACATAATATGTATAATAAAATTCTTACCGAGTCGAATCTGTACATTGAATATTTTATATCTTATTGAAATAGTCATTATTATCAATATAGAGGCCGAATAAAATATATATATACGAATATAGTTTTTATAAAATCAGCCATCTGCCAATGAATTGAAAGTTAAAATCGGTCCAGCCGTTTTGGAGATTAGCCAGAACAGTTAACAATCAGGACAGATAGACAAAATATATATTTTTTCTTATAAATACTATATATACATTCATACACATTTAGCAAATAGCTGTTATTTTGACATAACAAAAACATATCTATTTTATTTATTTGTATACATACATAGTGTTGTCATAACAAAAAGTAGAATCTAATTGGAAGTGATCCAAGGATAAAATAATGAGCTTACTTTAATAATAATTGTCTCCCCACCCGCCCCCGCAGGTTCCCCCCGCACATGTCGCGCTACACCATGCTCGTGCACAAGCAGGAGAGCAAGAACGAGGACCGCCACCGCATCATGGCGGAGAACGCCAAGAACACACAGAAGGACGGCCTCAACTCTGTGCGCTACGACTTGATCAGTGTCAACACTCATCGCCTCTTCACCATGATCGCTGTCAACTTATGATTGCCTTACAATATTCAGTGTTCGGTAAAAATCTGTTAGGAATGTTATCTCATATATAAATGGAATGGCCCACTACCTACTGCCCACTCCCCACCATGGGATATGTTTTGAGGTCATACAGTTATTTGCAAGATACCAAAATTATTCAATTCTCTTGTTAATGGCTTCAAAGCGTGCCAGTTGAGCACAAAATACTTCGCCAATGTCACGATTGGTTTGTAAATTAAAATTGTCAAACTATATTAAAGAGAGTAAATCCTTTATATACTAAAACAATCATTCAAAATATTTTTATCTATTTGTTTGTTTGTTAGTTTTAATCTTGACTCAGCAGATTGGTAATTATAATAAATGATAATACCAGAAAGTGGGAACTGTTTATGGAATAAAAGATAGGAGAGAACTTCATTTTCATCATTTGAGTGACAAGGTGTTTTTATTGTCAAAATACTCGAGTGAGTCTTAATTGAAAACTAGTTTGTAATTTGAAGAGCTGCACGGGTATTTCTTGTGATGCAATCAATTAATGGTGTAAAAGGTGTGATTTCTAGTGTAAAATTTTATTTATTTTGTATTTCCTACCCACCTTGCATTTTCCAGCATTATTTATATTTAAGAGTTAAGTTATGGTACACCATTCAATATGAACTTACAATTTTTACTATATATTATTATATGGTATATTTAGCGCTGCATTTTACTAAGGTGTTTTTAATACATATTTACAATCTTCTCGGTTGTGGTGTCTAAATACAAAAAAAACACACACACACAAAAATTAAGTAGAAAATGTTATTGCAATACTTTCTAATGATGTTTTAATTCATTTATGTTGTTATATATGTATTTAAAAGTTCTAGAAGGCAATAATGTACTCAGAATAACCAAAACGTAAGTATCGGCAAGAATGTTATCTTAAATACATATGAATCTTGATATAATTCGTACATTCTATCTATAATAATATGTTTTACCTAAACCTTCAGGATATAACCAATAGTTAACTATGTAATAAGATCTCAGTTAGGAAGTTGTGTTGTGAAACTATTTACTATATTAAGATATTTATTCACTTTTACCAGCAATTATAAAGAATGGGAAGCTTAGACAAGTCTTCCTACAATAGGGAATATGCGTGATTTTTTTTAAACTTTTTTTATACAATAGCTTACATCCTTATAATATAATTGTAAAAAATATCCAGCTCAAAAATTAAAATTTAATGTAAAAAAACCTTTTTAGTTTTGCGCTTTTTAATAATTATCTTCTAAATATATTAATAGAAGCTTAATTCAGAAGCACTAAAGATATAGAAAAAATATTTCACTTTATCTAAGTCACACGCGTATTCCCTGTTGTAAAATAGAAATGAAAAAAAAATATGGGAATGGCACATGATTCTATGGCATAACAATTAAATTGGCGAAAAAAAAAGTTTTACACAATTTTTACGATCGATGTGCAAATAAGTGCGTAAAGTATCGATATACTCACCAAATAAATTGTGTTTTATTAGTTTTTGTCTGCATGTTTTAATGTTTAATTAATTTTGGTTTTATTAATATTTTTATTTATTCGTACAGTTGGATATGTGCTAGGAACTCATTAAATGTTCCTCCTTGTCACAAAAATATTGTTTATATTATATAAGTAACAGCAATGTCTCATCAAGTCATCACAAACAAAAAAAAATATTTGAAATAAATGTCAATAGATGGCATTATGATTTGTTATTGAAGTTGTGTAAAACTATGTAAAGATATAAAATAGATCCAAAGATTATAATAATATGGTTTTAAAAAACTTGCCAGTAAAGGAAGATGTAATAATGCATATGGGGCAGCCGCATTCCACGCCAAATCAAGACGTTTTCAAAAATTTTTATTTTCTTAATGTTCGAAATTCAACTATTTTTTCAAAATTTTTGTTTTTGGATAACCTTTACAAAAACAAAATTTGAAAAATATTTCAAATGTTTTTAATCGAGATTTTTGTGTTTTAAGTTTTGAATTGTGTTTTTACTGTTTGTATCCTTCGATTTTTTTTTAAATGTACTAGTTTAAACTTCTTCTATCCATCATGCAACTTTTAGGCCCAGTCTGGTTAAATGAAAAAACTAAATAATTTTTAAAAATTGAAAAGAAATAGTAATTAAATGCCCACTTCTGGTCTCGATTAAAACATTTTAAATACATTACTACACTTACTTATACAAATAATATTTTAATTTGTTTTATGTTAACGTCATCCATCGTCATAAAAAATAAAAAAATTGTAAAATAAAATAAACTTTGACCATTATTAAGAAAGTTTTGAGCAAAAATAAAAAAGCGGTTTATTGAAAATTCGAGATTTTTAAACCAGTGATCAAAAAAATCACAAAATTTACCAGGAAGCCTCTTTTGAAAGGTACTAAAAATACCAAAATTTTAATAAAATCAAAAATTATTTTTTTTGAAGCATTTGGCGTGGAATACCACCATACATAAATCGCGTAATTTTATTCATTAGTGAAAAATCGGCAATTAGTTAATGTGGTTATTGACAGATGGCGCATTTATTTTTATAAGTTATTTATCGCGGTTATAAACTAAGTCACTGAAATGTTTTTTATTAAATTCAGAATAAATTTAGCAATGTTAATCACATTTTAGTTTACACATATTTAAAAAATAATAATTCGACAATTTACGAATTAGCGCCGTCTATTATCTATTCAGACAAACAAAAATAGCCCGAATTAACTAAATATTTCTTTGTATGGGATAAGACGTATGTATGTAGGTACTATATAGTATGTATAATTATTATGTTATCTGTGGTAAGAGCATCGATCAAAGAAGTACTAGATACACAATCAGCTACAAACAGTCCTCACCGAATGAGCGCTCATTTGAACTTTTGAGCGCGCTTTTAATTTTTTTTTTTGTGAAAACTACTTTAAGTATTGCATTTATTTCAACTAGAATAATTACCGAAACACGATTGGTGACAGTTTTAAGAGAACTTTAGCTTGGGATTGTGTATCTAGTACTTTTTTGATCGATGGGTAAAAGACATCTAAAACAATTTCATACTCAACTCTCTGATTACATACGTAATTATTACTATTACCGATTAATTTTGCATTTATAATGAATGAAAGTGGCGACTATCTTACTTGTAATATCTTTCTTATCAAACAAACTGCGTTTGTGCCGGGGGTTGTGTGTTCGAGTTCTGCTTGCGACAAATATTTGTATGGTCAATACAAATGTTTGTTGTTGTATGTGTGAAAATGCATGTGTTTTATAAACCTCGCATGACCTAGTGTGATTTATTTTTTATTTTTATAATTTAGGTATATTTTGATGCAAAGCATTCGTTCAATTCGTTTATACGTTATTGATAAATTAAATGATTCAATTAAACGCCAATTTAGATAGATTCTATCGCTCATGTTGTAACATCAAGATTGAAAAGCGAAATTTTAGATTTATAAGTATATGGAAAAATGAATTATTTCTGCCGTTAACCAAAGAGAAGATGTAAAACACCGTAAAGTATGGAGTGAGAGTGACTTAGTATTTTAAATAAAACGTATGTTTTTGGATTTTTTCGCGGATGTATTTATTATTACATGTATTTTTGGTACGATTGTGATTGTTATAAAGGATGTGAAATGTCGGGAAGTGAAAATAAAATATACGTATACGCGAAAAAATCCGTAAAGATAGGGTACCTATATATGTAGATACTAATAAAGTATTGTGTGTTTTTTTATGTTGTAAACATATGCAACTAGTCGGGTTGTTTTAAACAATTATTATTAATACTGGAAGTGTAATTCTTACGTTTAATTAATTATTTTATTATACGTAATAGCGTGTCAAAGAGTATTTTTTAACTTTGGTCAAACATTAGGATTTCAATTTATTTTGCTCTTTTCTAGTTTATGGAATATTGTAAAAAATTTAATAAACCTTTTCACATTTTGTATATTTATTGATAAATAAATGAACTGTAATATGAACTTATTTTTTATTTATTTAGCTTACATAGGAAATCTAAATACTAATGAAAATTTGTACCTAAAGTTAGTTAATTTGTTAGTGCAAAAGTGGTTTAACCGTTTTTATGCAAACATGTACTTATATTACATTGAACGGAAAACCTAAAATTTAGATATGGTATTTGTATATATTTATACAGACGACCAATATTATGAAATACATACGTATATTGTTGGTTGTCTATATATTACAATGATGTTCTAGCCGATTCCGGCCACGGCGGCCAATCTCATTGAGACTAGCCAACTGCGCAGGAGATATTATAGTGCTCAAGTGTACGCGCAGACACAACGTGCACTCTATTCCTGTCCCTCTCATACTCTGGTGGGACGACGCCAGACACGACCAGTGAGAGTGTCGGCGCAGGACCGACGCGACACGTGCTCTCCGAGGCACGGGGGTGAAACACCGCCAAATTCCCAACTCCGGGCTGTTACCGAGACTTACTATACAGAAAGACTCAATAACTAAACTTGGCCCAACCCGGGACTCGAACCAAGCACCTCCGAGTGTGCAGCCGTACATGCTAGCCACTACACCACCGAGATGTTATTATAATATAATAATATTAAAAATATAAAATGCGTAGTTTTTGCACGCCGTTTTGCCCGTATGACCATCTCGGATGACATCTATGTCCTTACCAAATTTTATCGAAATATCGAGTTGATATTAGTATGAATTTTGAAATTATTACAAAACCGTGGGTTAGACCAATTTTGCCTAAGAAAAACTGATAATATTTATGCAAATGAAACAAGACACACAAGTAAATAAATACAAATATGAATGATGTACGTACTGTCACCGACGAAAAGTTAATAAGGAGATACATAGTACATGCATACAAATGACAAAATAAAGCACAACTGACACGAATGAAGTCCTCACTATGGGAGCGTCGCTAGCCGCGGCCCGCAGCAGGCGGCGGTCACGGCGCGTAGTCCGCCAGCAGCCCCCAGGCGCGGCCGGCGCGCAGCGCCACGGGCAGCGCCGCGCCGGCTGGCCCGCACTGCTCCATCGTCTCCTTGATTATCACTGCAAGGGAAACATGCTACCGATACCTCCATTTTCATAAGAAAAAAAACATATTTAATAGGAAAGAAAAACTTCTTTTCCTAGCGGCTTACCTTCGATTCGTTCAGTTACGTCACTAATTGCCTGACGATAGCCAGATCATAGTCTACGTATATGTACATCATCCAAATCACTCCAAACGCCCGATCATGGAGGAATAACATACATACACACATACAAACTTTCACATTAATTATAATATCTTAAGTAGGCAACTAGCAACTCACCCTCGCTCCGCTCGGGTTCGTCCCTACTTACGTTTTAGTGTTTAGTATAAATTTCTCAGAGATGAGATATTTTCCCGCGGTAAAAAGTATCCTATATGTTGACCCGGATAACCAGTATACTATCATACCAAATTTCATCAAAATCTGTTCAGTGGTAGTTTCAGACTGACAAAAATTCTAAAAACTAGATTCGGCCTCTGTATGGATAGTAATAATTATTTCAAAAGGATTTAAAAAAATAGTAATAATGTACAGATTTGACTCAGTATTTTATTATATGTATAGATAGCAAAGTAATAATCCAATACTTATTAGGAATGAAGGAAAAAATTAATGGTCAGTGTTTCTTTTTGGACAACTTTAAAAATAAGAAATTTGATAAGCAATATTACGATTTTCGTAATTGTTTTAAATTTCAATAATGAGTTCCGACCGATTCCGGCCACGGCGCGACGGCCAATCTCAATGCGAATAGCCATCTGCGCAGGAAATATTTTAGTGGTAAAAGTTACGCCGTAGAAACAGTGGTTTTACATGTTTTGTGTAATCCGTCAAATTCCCTACTCCGAGCTGTTACTGTACTACTGTAAATGATCTAATTCGGAACTTGAACCCAAGACCTTCGGGTTACCTAGGCACTAATGCAAATATATTTTTAGCTTCTCAAGAACACCATATCCACCGTAAACGGACAGGGAACCGTGAGACTTGTTGTCGCTTCAACCCACCTAACCAAAAAAATATCAAAATTGTTTCGACCATCATCATAATCAGTACACTTTTATCAATTAAGGGGCAGACTCTTATTTGCAGTTTTTGTATTTTTTTCATATAGATTACTAGCGACTCACTCTCGCTCCGTTCGGGTTCGTCCCTACTTACGTTTTAAAGTTTAGTATAGATTTCTCATAAATTAGATATTTTCCCGCAATAAAAAGTATCCTATATGTTGACCCGGATAACCAGCTATCATCATACCAAATTTCATCAAAATCCCATCAGTGGTTTTTCCGTGATGCGGTAACAGACAGACAGACAGAAAGACAAAAATTCTAAAAACTATAGATTCGGCATCTGTATTGATAATAATGTCGATTTCAATAAGATTTTCCATAAAATATTTCATCTACAGATTCGGCTCAGTTAGAATTTTATTATATGTATAGATACATAGCATTATAAATATAAAAAAGAACTGCTCGCAATCTTCTATTTTTTCTAAGGTGTTTGATGACCTTATGATATTCGTAATTATTCTAAAATTACTATAATCACCATCACGGAGTTTTAAGTATGTAGGTACAGCGTCTTTAAAAACAAAAGTTAGTTTTGAGTTTTGGCTAGCGACTCACCCTCGCTACGCTCGGGTTTCCTCATCCCCATTTTCATACCGTAAGGGATGATTACCGGGATAAAAACTGTCCTTTGTCCTTCCCAGGATCTCAAGCTATCTTCTTACCAAAGAAAGGGTACCGATAAGGCCTCATTTCCGCCCCTGATGAACGAAAAAAATTATGTTATGCGATTTGATCTCTTCTTTACATATCCTGAAAGTAGATTGTGACAGACAGACAGACATAATTTTTTTCGTTATTCTGGGGCAAAAATGAGACCTCATCGATATTCTTCCTTTCATTTAAATCTATTCAGTAGTTTTGGAGTTTATTCGGTACAAACAAGGTTTTTTTTAATTAAAAATATTATTATACGTTACCATTAAAGTATAACCTGTTACCCATTGCAAAAAATAATGTTATCTACTTCGGCTGTTTAGCGGATAGTATGTACGGCTGTAGGTTCGGATTCGAGTCTCAGGCTGGCCCAAGTTTAGTATTGAGTTTTTCTGTCATGAAATCATCAGTAAGAGCTTGGAGTGAATAAGCTGGTGGTGCTATAACCTCGTGCTTTGGAGAGCACATAAGCGATCGGTTCTGTGCCTGATCTCTCACCGAGTGTCTATTTGTCGATAGGAATGGGTAGTGTACATTGTATTTGCGCGTACACTTGTGTACTATAACATGTCCTGCGCAGATGGCTACTGGCTAGCCGCCGCGGGCGAGGTGGGTCTCCTCACCGGCGGCGCGGCGCAGGTCGGGCTCCGGCACCTCCCACACGAGCTCGTCGTGTATCTGCAGCAGCAGGCGCGCGGCGGCGGGCAGGCGCCGCGCGCACCGCGCCATCGCCGTCTTGCACACGTCGGCCGCCGTGCCTGGTTGTCACGTTGGAACCCCTCTCGTTTCCAGCCTCATTACTCATGTATATGTGGTAAATGTGTTGCTAAGCGCAATACTCGAGAACAACTGGACTAACTCGGCTATTTTTTTTTGTCAAATATTCGCTTAGGTGCAAGGAAGGTTCTTATGAAGAGTCAGTTTAATAGGTATAAAAAACTCTTCCATTTCGTGCTTAAAGGTTAGTATTTTTTCTCCAAAAGTGAATGGCAGTAATGGGACTTTCCTCAACGCTTTTGCGTTTTAAAACTAAAAATATTAATAAATATGTTGGAACATTAACACACAGCACCATCTAGTTCCACGGTAAGCTATAAAGAAAAGCACTAAAAAGTAAAAAATGACTGATTGGTAGTTTTCATTTACTATACATACCTAAGCAAATATTTTCGAAGTCGGTGTGCTTTGCTTTGTATCGGCTGGCATTAGCATCTTAAATCCCTCCGGTGGTTTTTCCGTGATGCGGTAACAGACAGACAAAAATTCTAAAAACTATAGATTCGGCCTCTGTATCGATAATAATGCCCATTGCAATAAGATTATCCAAAAAATATTTAATGTGCAGACTCGGCTCAGTTAGAATTTTATTATATGTATAGATATACAGCGTGACCTATATCATCATAATATTGTGACCTATTTACATACTCCTTTTTTTACTGGTGGCTAATATTTGATTTTTGATATGCACTTACGTACATACAGTTAAACGGTCGTGACCCAGAGATGAATATAGCGTAAATATCAAACAATTTGTGACGTATTTAATAAAATAGCATGTTATGAATTATGATATTTTTTATCATTATAAATAACTTTGTTTAACAAAAATAAAAATCTTATCTCTGAAACTATTTAAAAAAACAATTTAAAACATATCTATGTAAAACTTGCATAGGATAAAGCAAAAACCATACGTTTTCAAAATCGACTCGCACTTGAACATTTCATTTAAAATATGATGAGTTTTGTATTATAATACGTATAACCGAGACGAAAATTTGAATTAAAAATAATAGGTCATGGAATTCGTTAAGTCAGTGATATCTAACATTGATTTTAAGTAGTTATTTGCGACTGGTAGTTATTGTTTTATTTTTTAGGGTTCTGTACCCGAAGGGTGTCAACGGCATCCTATTACTAAACCTACGCTGTCCATCCGTCCGTCCGTACGTCTGTCAGAGGGCTGTATCTCATGCACCGTAATGGGTAGACCGTAGAGTTGAAATTTTCATAGAGTACCTATGTGTTTCTATTGCTGCTTTAAGAACAAATAATAAAATTAAATAAAAATACAAGAAACATTATTTTAACGTTCGTAATCGATCATCGAAGTTAATAATACTAAATACATAGAGTAGAAGTCATATTAGTAAAAAATACATGTTCGATGGTACGGAACCCTTTGTGTGCCAGTTCGGCTCGCATTTGACCAATTTTTTTCAAAATACTCCGCCGAAAAGTCAAGGTTAAGTTGATATATTCTAAAGATTAGCAACGAACTCGAATCTCTAGTTTAGACTCGTTCTCGCATCGTTAGAATTAGACTGTCTGTCTGTGATTTTGGAATAATTCATTTATTAGGCTCTGTGTATTAAATATGTACAAATAATAAATTAATATTATGAAAACTTAGAGGTTTCCACTTTCCACAGGTTGAGATATAAACATATTAGTTTTTAATGGGTCAGTTTAATATTGAATTATAGGAAAAATTTTTGTTCCCGTGGGCCAAAATGACATTGATTATGAGATTTCCATTTAAAAACAGTCAGGAAACACCTTATTGAAAATATTTCGATTGAGGAAAAATATCCACGGCCATGAAGCCGAGCCGAATGCCAATGCAAAGTTAAATAAGTTACGCAATTCTTTCTCACCAAATCCTATTATTTAAATTATAGTCAGTATTATTTAAAATACGTACGATCTTATTACGTCAGTATAACTTGATAGTAATCATAAAAATAAAACAAAGCATTTAAAAAAATAATGAGATAGTCTTTGAATAGGTATATGTTACAATATACATAATATATATTTACATATCTATACCTATTTAATTTAAAAAAAAACAATAAAATATAAAAAATGTATGATCTCGATAATTCTTAACAGGGGAGATTTTTGGAATCGTAAAACAATCACCAAGAAAAACACTCAAGATATTAAGAATATCTAAAAGATTACCCACAGCTGTGTACTACTGTGTGTATATATATAGTGCGATAAACGGATTCATCATTATTATCAAGATGGCTTTAATACATAATAGTTTGATCTTCCTGTGCCTCCTCGTCTTGACGCACGCTAAAAGTGTTCATAAATATGAAGATTCGAAAAGTGAATTGGAAGAGTATATTTTAAGCAAGAAGAAGGATATTAATCCAAGATGGAGGCCTTTATACCATCTCGCGCCCCCCGTTGGCTGGATGAACGATCCCAATGGCTTCTCGTACCACAATGGGAAATATCATATGTTTTATCAATTTTATCCTTACGACAGCGTCTGGGGTCCGATGCACTGGGGACACTTCTCGAGCCCTGACCTTGTCAACTGGACTGCCTTACCCACAGCTCTATTGCCGGAGGAAGAGCAATGCTTTTCAGGGAGTGCGATAAGCGATGGTAACACATTAACTTTGATGTACACCGGTCACGTGATCACCAATGTTGAACCAAATTACGAGCAGAGCCAGTACTTAGCGTACAGCGATGACGAAATTAATTTCTATAAGTATGAAGGTAACCCAGTTTTGCCCGAGTCTCCGAATGGCTCCCCAGATTTCCGAGACCCAAAAGTATGGAAGTATGGGGAGGATTATTATGTCATAATTGGAAGCAAAACTTTAGACAACCGTGGCAGAGTTCTCCTGTACAAATCTAAAGATATGAAAAACTGGGAATTTTTATCTGTCCTCGGCGAGTCGAATGGTGAACTGGGATACATGTGGGAGTGCCCCGACTTTTTCGAATTAGATGGAAAATTTATTCTCCTTATGTCGCCTCAAGGAATACAGCCGCAAGGAGACCGATTTAAAAATGTTCACCAAACCGGTTATATAATCGGTAGCTTCAACTACGATACTAATGAATTTATACCAGAAGTTTCGTTCCAAGAAATAGACTTTGGCCACGACTATTACGCTGCTCAGACGACTGAAGCAAACGGAAAACGCTATATTGTAGCTTGGTTTGCAATGTGGGAAGTACCTCACCCAGAAGACGTCGATGGCTGGGCGGGAACTTTGACAATTGCTAGAGAGCTAAGTCTGGTAGACAACCGAATCTTGCAAAAACCGGTTGAGGATTTCGTTAACTTGAGAGAACATGTGGCCTTCGACGGTGAATTTAGACCAAATGAAGTGCAAGAGTTTGGCAAAGCTGTAGAATTACTGATCGACAGTGATTTAAGCCAGAAGGTAGATCTGTTACTGGACGGGGTAGAGGGTGGGGGTAGCGTGTGGTTGCGCTGGGACCCTGAGACCCGCAAAGTAGTTGTAGATCGAGGATCTGGAGATGTGAGACAAGTTGAATGGTCACCTATAGGATCTCAGTCTTGGAGAGTGTTCCTGGATGCCAGTAGCTTGGAATTGTTCTGTGGAGAGGGAGAAGTGGTCTTTAGCAGTAGAGTGTATCCTCTAGGAGGATGGAAACTGACCAACCAGAGTCCTCAGAGTATTCGCGTCAAGGCTTATAACTTAAGGCGGTCTGTACCGGAATAATTTCTATCAATATGTAATTTTTACATGTTACCTACAGTATTTATTTAAAGGTTGTATTATTAATTTTATTTATTTAAAGTAGGTATGTCATTTTATTAAGTAATAAATGTTATGTATAAATGGTCATTTTTTATTTTTTATGAAGTGGAGAAGAGCTGATATAAAGAGATTATTAGGTGTTCTTACGAGATATATTTCGTAGAGATAAAAGAATTGATGTTTTACATTCCACTTTACATAAATTTATGTATATTTTCATATCAGAATAAATTTCAATTTATTATCAACAATTTATTTTATCATCGTTATCTGTGTTTCTCTGGAAAGCACTTTAGATGTTAAAGTCGATCGAAATAAACAATAAAAAAATGTAAAGGAAAAATTGAAAATGTTTTTTTTATATTTTTATGTACACATATATACATATATATACTATATAGGTACTTCGATTATGTTATTACAGCCTCACAACACAAACTAAATAAAACAAAAATATTTTTATTTTATTTAGTTTGTGTTATATATTTATGTATATAATTGCGTAAGTATAGTAAGTTAAATATATATTGAATATCTATCTTAAAAATAACTACATAAATTTTTTTAAAAGTCACTTTTTAGTTCAATAGGTTCAGTTCTATTATTTGGGTCATTTTGAATTTTCCACATTAATTTCAACGATGTAACTAAAATGCTAAATGTTCTATCAACCTTCTCGGATCTGGCCTACCTCTATCTATTATCTAAATTTTAGCTTTGTAATGCCAAGAGAGTAAAATAGCTGATGTTCGGACGTGCGTTATGATTAATTTAAAAGGGTGTCGTTTTAGCACTTTAACTTCGTTATTCCACCGTCTATTCGTTGATTGAGCAAAATTATAATACAAAATTGTTTTCAAAACTGAAATTTGTAATTTTCGAGAAAATAAAACCTCCTACCTTCTACCAGGCAGAATCTACCTATTTTTGCCGTCTAAAAAAGGATTTTTATTAGAAACATACATATACGTATTATGGCTTAATCCTCCTCATATTGAAGAGAGACCCGTGCTAAGCAGTGGGGTATTAAATATGGCTGAAAGCGACGTAGGCATTAATTACATATACTTTTACAATATAATATTCTCCCCTCTTACCCTGAATGACAAAGTTGACGGCCTGCCGCTCGGCGTGCGCGCGCGCCGCGCCGGCGCCGGCGATGGCGGCGAGGCGGCGCGCGCGCCCGCTCGCCGTCGCCACGCGGCCGCCGCTGCGGGAGCACTCTGACACCACCCGATTACCGAAACTCTTCAGGCACGGATATGTTCCTGTTCGACACCATGTCTTAATGAATAGGATTCGGATAATTCATGTACGTAAAGATAAACTATTTTGAATTCATGTATGATATAGTACTGATAGCAAGAGTTTCTCTTGTAGCCGACTGCGACAAAGCCTCAATGAAGGTTATATGTTTGACCTGTATGGAGATATATGATATGGATGAACACATACACGTTGAACACTAGCTGCGAATTTTGCTCTCGTCTCCGACTGCATAATACTATGTATATTCGATAACTTGTTCTCTTCCGTTTAGTTCGCTTTCTTTATAGAAGTTTGTAAACAAGTTGTAGAGCATAATTTTTAAAAAGCGACAAAATACAAATATTAAAAACTTGCTCAATCGGCTCAATAATTACAATCAAAAATGTATCGAAACAATCAAACATTTAATATATAAATTGGGTGAAAAAAACAGAAGATATATTATAGTAAATCAAGACGTAATGAAAAGTGAAAGTAGGTACTAACTATGAAAACTCGTCATGATGGAGAGGACCTGATCGTAGCCGAGGTTCAGTATCTCCATGAGCTTCCTGGTGCCGGCGCCGTACAGGCTCGCGTACACGAGGCGCTTGGTGCGCTCCCGGTCTTCGCCGGACACCTCGCGCTCCGGCTTGCCCAGCCTGGCCGGGGGTATGAAGTTAAATGATGTTCCTCATATATGAGGACAATGAAAAATATATTACTACAAATAAATGCCAAGAACGAGAAGAAAATACTAAGTCGATAGATAATTTATGGTGAAGAAGGTTAAGGATTTTTTATTATCTAAGATGGAAGTCAAAAAAAAATAAGGTTAAACATAAATGGAATACCTAGTTATTTGATTTGGTCAATGACATATGTATATATGTAGAGCATTTTGAAGTTGCTCGTCCATTCTGCCTTTGTCCGTCCTGTAGTCCTACAGGACGAACATCGTTCTCAAATCCATTGTCACATAAATATAAATTTCTACTAAAGTGTAATTTCACAAAACATTATGCCATTTTAATAAAAGGTGGAATAATCGTTCGAAATACGAGTATATATCAAATGTAGTTATATCATGGTTACACTTAGACTGCGGTGATTATAGAAATGATGTTGTAAATTGTCGCTTGTCGAGACTACGATTATTTCTCAATTAATCACGCGACTTTAAATTTTTCAAACTTTTTTATCGTATTTAAAATACCATCAAGGTAGACAATCCTCCATATTATATTCGAAAATCCAAAAGTCCACTTTAACCACTTGGCGCATACATCCCACACATAAATAAAGCGGACAATGCTCCATGTTGTATTCAGGGATTTGTTTTGATTTTTGGAAAAATTCGAAAAGATAGTTTTATTTAACATGTCAAATATTCGCGTAAATATATCTTCTAAGATTGTATCATATCCGGGAATCCAATGGGATGGAATAGAGTCAGGTGCGAGGTGGCAGCTCGCCCACTGACCAGTCGGCGGCGAGCACGCGGAACAGGTCGGGCGCGGCGAGCGCGGCCTGCAGGCGCGCGTCGGCCGCGGCCAGCGCCAGCACGCGGCACTCCACGTGCCGGAAGTCCGCCGCCAGCAGCGCGCGGCCCGCGCGCGCCACGTACACCGACCGGAAGTTCATGCTTTGCTGTTGTGGGCTACCTACAGTTTTATTCATGATGTAGCCCTATTTGCCTATTTAACTAATTCTTAGGTTATGAGAATTAAAGATATTTGAGTTTTGAAGTCGACATTCAAAGACTAACGGCGTACCCTCGTTTCATTCGGGTACGTTCCTAGGTTCGTTATAATTTTTTTAAACGGAACTCTAATTCTTTTTTTAAAATGAAAGTAGCCTTAAGTTACCCCTTACAACATCAACCAGTGAAACCAAAATCAGTCCGTTGTTTTGGAGAGTAGCCGAAACAAACAGGCAGACAGACAGACCAAAATTTTAAACAATGTGTTTTTTTATAAGTATCGTATATAATTTCATATACATTTAGTAAAATGTGGTTTTTTAACATTACAATAATATACACTTCAAATTTATTTACGACTAGACAAAAATATAAAGTAGGGACTATTATACATACGCGAGTGCAAAAGCACTCTACATTTCTTTTACTGTCAAAGGCCATAGTGACACCAACCCGACGTGACGGATGGCCGTTAAAGATCAAAGATCAAATGCAAAAATGACTTTGCGTGCACTCTTTCTTCCGAGAAAGAGTTTCTTTGTCAGAAAATACTAATCATAATGTTTGACCCGAACAGGACTCCAACCCAGAACCCCTGTCTCTCTCTCCCGATCTCCGATAAAATACGGAGGTACAAAGTGAATTCAATTAACTTTTACTTAATATTATAAATATGAAAGTGTGTTTGTTTATCTTTCTTATACGTCTTATACATCGAAATGGAGTGCCGGGTTAGCATTATTTTTTGTATGGAGATAGTTGGAGGGCTGGAGAGTGACATAGGCTACTTTTTACCGCGGAAGATTATCTAATTCCCACGTTAAAACATATTATAATACAATCCAAAAAAATATTTATGATCAGAATTACTTGAAACTTGGTATTAATGCTCTTCAATAAAATTAAATAAATACATGTTTTATCATCTTTCGAAATTCATCCCATAAGGGGGTAAAATAGGAGATGAAAGTTTATATGAAACTACCTTTTCAGAGATTTTTTTGTAGTTTTAGTGCGAGCGAAGCCGCGAGTTCTGCTAGTATTATATATTTTCATCACATACCGTAAAGAAATTAAAGTTTATTTTTATACATACATACCTATATAAATTTTATAGTACATAACTACTTCATTTTTTATAGCTTAACACACCATTCTGTGGGTAGTATGAAAAAATATGACTACTACCGTGTTCGGGAAACAGGACCAGGTTGAAAGGTAATTTAGGTATGGCCTGCAAGTTGGGGTTGTTGGACGCCATGCGGCCCGTCGCCGCCGCGGTTTGGTCCCTGGAAATTAAATTACATTTTCCTCTGTCTATTTATTACATTGAAATTTGACTATTCAAAGGTGTTTATAATAAGTCTAATTGAATAAAGTTTAAATTTTTGCCAATGCAACGCCTGTATGCTCTTGGCGAGATATTTCAAAACATGACGAGTGCAATGTATAATCTTCCCTGCTCAGTTGGCTAATCTCACAGACAGGAGGAAATCGTTATATATAATTAAGCATGAGTTCCAGGACTCCAAGGCAAAGAAAATTTAGAAAGATTGTATTAGTAATAAAATTAACCGTATATATATATATATATATATATATATATATATATATATATATATATATATATATATATATATATATATTTAACAAAATGATTACCAAGTGGGATACACGACACCGTCCCTGACTTGTGTCGCTATTCCGCTGAGGAAGGTTGCGTGTGCTTTGTGCAAGTGTCGATACTCTAAAATCAACTTCGGCAATGGATGGACATCAAGCAATGAGCGCAACTATAACAATATTGTATTATTTATGTATGTAGAGTAGACAGTTATTTTATTTTTTTCGGCCATGTATGCATTTCTATTTAGTTTGCTACCACTGGAGGTAACTAATAAAATACAGACAAGAAAATATTTAAGTATTTAATGATGGATATAAAAAATAAAATCTTATCCTAACATGGTAAAAATGAAAAAGACACAAAACCTACCATAGATTCTGAAGTAGACTTGGCGCCTTTACAAATGGTTTCTCTAATTTTAACATTAGATTTGGTATCTAGTTTCAATTCATCGTACAGAATATTTCTGACTTGGACTGTAGAGTTTATCTGGAAGGTCTTGCCTGCGGCCTTGTAGCACTCTGCCTCAATCTCCTTCATACGCTTTAGTAATATGCCTTCCATTGACTTTAGTTTGTCTACATCTACCGCTACACCGTGAAATTCCATCTCTTTTACATGCAAAAGTACAATTCATATGGGTGACAAAAAATAACAGCTCTACAATTAGTAAAAGAAAAACAAAAATAAATCTATCCCTTGGGAATTGTATATTTTTCCGGGATAAAAAGTAGCTTATATGTTATTTTGGACTATAATCTATCTCTGTGCCAAATTTCATCCAGATCCGTTGAGCCGTTCTGGCGTGAAAGAGTAACAAACATACATCCATACATACATTCTTACAAACTTTCGCGTTTATAATATTAGTAGGGTGTATAATAATTAATGATAGATTATAAAATATTCAATGACCTAAGCTCACCATAAATATCGCCATTTTCATTCCTGCCTGTAGTATGTGAATAAACCCACGACCTCTACTTTTAAATCGTTTTTTACTATCTTCTATCCATTTATAAATCAACAACATACCTGCGACTATCGGCAAAACTTGCATTTCAATGTCGTTAAACACCTTCCACAAACCGTTCTCCTCCAAATATTTCGTCAATTTGACCGCACATTCATTCAATTGAGTTATATACCAAGAAGTCTTTTGCAAAGCACATTCAGTGGCTATGGTGTAATTCGGAGAGTATTCTAGAAGCTTCTGTACTTGATAGAAGCTCTCTGGTGGTTTGTCTGGATCTATTAAACTAGCACCAATCTGGTGAATATTAACAAATTCAATTAATAATTTGATTCATGCTAAAGTTATATCAAAAGTTGCAGAAATGCCTCGTACCTTCACATCTACAATATTTAAATCGTGTAACGACAGTCCGAACTCTCGCAACATATATATAAGTACCACTTTGGCATCGTAACCTATTATCCTATTATTCGTCATAATATTACGAAGATATTCGCTAGAATAAAATTTATAATAAAATTACTTATTCATGTATACTCGTATATTAAACCGAAAAATTTAGCCGGCACATGTAAGAGCAAATTCTCTCTCAGTAAGCAGCAGAAATAACATCGACCAACAATGTTTACTTTAAAAGTACAGAGCAAGTTATATGCATATAATAATTAGTAATTATAAACGTTACTGCACAGTAGTAGCCCAGTGGCAACGCGTTCACTTGGAATATTAAGTGTAGCGGGTTCAAATACCGAGTCTCACACCTTTAATAATTTATATCATTTCCAACATGACTACTATTTGTCTTATAGTGCAGGAAAACATCGTGATGAAACCTAAATGACAGAACCTTGGAGGCCCGCGCCCAGAAATCGGATGTTAAAAAGGACTGAATGATATGTACATACATATACATACTATATACTGCATAGTATAAAATGGCCGACGAACTATTTCTCTCACTCCGCAAAAGAAATTAGTAGTTTTTTAAGACTACTTTATGTAGTGTATAACTTACGTAAAGCTGTTTATTTTCCCCTTTAAATAATAGAAATCATTATTAAATTGCAACATGATGCCTTCCGGGACGCAAGCGTCGTCCGTGTGTTGACTGTTGAGCTGGCAGAAACCGTTGCTGTCGATCATATAATGGCATTAGTGTATTTAAAAAATCGGTCAAATGCGAGTCGAATTCGCACACGAATGATTCTGTACCATCGTGCATGTACTTTTTAATAATATGACTTTTACTCTATGTATGTAGTATTAACTTCATCATCAATTATGATTCAAGATCATCAATAACGAGCGATAAAAAAAATCTTTTATTTTTTATTATTTGTTATTATAGCGGCAATAGAAATACATACTCTGTGAAAATTTCAACCTGTTACGATTCATGAAATACAGCCCTCTGACAGACAGACGGACGGACGGACGGAGGGACGGATGGGTCATGGGGGCTTAGTAATAGGGTTCCGTTGGCACCCTTCGGGTACGGAAGCCTAAAGAGTAATTTAAATCTATTTTTCTCTATATTTAAATACCCACTGATAACTTATTTTATTAAAAAATATTTAAAATGAGTCTTTAAGTATTTTTTGCAACTGATTAATTCTTCTAAAAAAATATCTAACTTTGGTAAGTTATGGGTAAGAACTATCACTGTTCAAATATTCACATAGAACCGTTGTTCTTTTGCTTCGTAACAGAAGACCAATCCAAATAAAATTATTACATTAAATTGATTTTAAATTACCTTACCTGTATACTAAAATTAGATTAATTTCACCGTTCATAATTGCTTCCAATTTATACTTGATAGTATCAAAATTACTATCATCGATAACTATAACTCCAAACGTTACATCTTTCACTGGTATCTGCGATTTTATAGGAGCGATAAATTTAGGAGCTTTAGCTTTCTTTTCTTTGGATTTTGATATCGATTTTTTATCAGTTTCTTTAACGATATTCATATTTGTGTCGTAATCGTTATATTTAGAATCTAAGTTGACATTGTCCTTTAGGTTTTCTTTAGGTTCATTGGGTTTTCTAAATTTCATAATACCATCTTTATTAGCGAGCTGCGCTTGAATGATTCGCTTTTGTTTCTTTGTTTTAGGAGATAATTCATTTTTGTTCTCAACGTCATTTCTTTCATTAACCACTTTTTCAGTGTAATTAAAGTTAAAATTGGAAACTGACTTCATGTGACCATGTTCTAGAATATCTTCTTCCACTGTATTGGTAGGATCGACATCGTTTAACCAATTTTTAACCGTTTTCGTATACTTCTCTTTTCGATACGTACTTGTTTTCTTCGGTTCTGAAGTTTTTACTTTTTTAGGCGGTTTCATTTTTATAGTATTCTTACGCTTTCTATTATCATCTTCATTTTGGTTACAACTATCGCTAATATATTGTTCTTTTTCATCTGTGCTATTAATATGCATATAAACCTGTTTATTATTAGTTTGATTTGTATTTGGTTTACAGTTAATGATAGTTTTGTCAATATCTTCATCAGAATCTTCGAGATCTTGAAATATTTCACTATCAAAAATATCATTCCAAGATACTCCTCTACTAAGCGCTGGTATACCATCTGATTTTTCTTTATCTAATCTATTTGTTTCTATTTGAGATGGGCATGCTATGTTATCACCAGTTATATTATTTTCGATGACTTGTAAAGGTTTATTTACTAAATCAGAAGTATTTTTATCAAGTGTTTTGAGTAAATCTACAGATTTGGACACTGATGGTAGATCATTTTTTTGATCTTGAATGTTAAAAGTTTCGTCTTCATCATTAACATCAGAGTCATTTGTTATAGGAGGGGCTGACGTATCATTGGAATCATTAAATCTGTAAATTATCCTTTAGTATATATTTGTATCTTATTTATCCCTAGAAAAGCATTGAAGGACGATACATATTTTCTTCTTATTATTTTATCAATATATTATTACATATTTAATATCAATTTTTAACTATTTATTAAAAAAGAACTTAAGTTTAAGCCAGTTATATTGATAAATAAATGCTTGCCTAAGAAGATTACAATAACAAGAATCTCCAATTTATTCATATTTAAAAATATTATGATGATGATGATGTTCTCCTAGCCGATTCCGGCCACGGTGGTCAATCTCATTGAGCCTAGCCAACTGCGCAGGAGATATTATAGTGCACAAGTGTACGCGCAGACACAAGTGCACTCTCTATTCCTGTCACTCTCATTACTCCGGTGGGACGACCACTCGACACGACCAGTGAGAGTTAAGGCGCAGGACCGACGGCTTTACGTGCTCTCCGAGGCACGAGGGTGAAACACCGCCAACTTCCCAACTCCGGGCTGTTACTGAGACTTACTATACAGAAAGACTCAATAACTAAACTTGGCCCGACCCGGGACTCGAACCCAGGACCTCCGAGTGTGCAGCCGTACATGCTAGCCACTACACCACCGAGGCAGTCAGAAGTGCAAAAATATTATAATATTATGCTGAAGAGATAGATTCTTTATAAGCACAAATCAATAAATATAAATTTAAATATTTTTTTTCATTTTTAGCCTCTTTATTGAGGATACGCAACTTAGACTCACGCTATCCTTGACACCAATGATGCTTAAAATATTACGTACTTGTTTTCTGTTAAGTGAATTTCTAACCACTTACAAATTATTGTTTGTTATAGCCAGACTGATACTAATACTTAAAGTTTATTTATGGGTATAAAAATTAATATCATACTTACATTATAACTTTTTTGTTTCGAGACCGAGCTGACTGATTTATATTAATATTAATACATTTAGAACTCCTGTTTTCAACATCTGCAACATAATTACAATCTTTAGAAGAAATAATACCTATAATTACTTACAATAACATTATTTTCGTAAATAAAAAATACATACCATTTTTTATATTAATTAAAGAAAGCATAACTTTTTGCCCAAATGGGGATAACAGTTTTTCATATTTGTTAATAAGTAATTGATAACTGCTTAAATACTTGTTTTTATCCATTTTCGCAATCTGGAAATTTATATCTAGTTCAGTAAATTGTCAACTAATAATAATAATAAAAATAGCGGGAATATTTCCTCTATTTAACTTTTTAATTTAACGCAAACCATAACATATTTCAACATCATGCATTATACAGCCAAAAAATATATACTGTACACGAAAAAAAAATTATCTTCCGTGGTACTGGTACATACTATAAATATGTATTATATTTAAACGTAGCAACTTTAGAAACAAGTTATATCGAATAATAGCTGGCAATCTTGCTTAAAGTCAGCTGTCAAAGTCTAATGTCTTTAATTACAAAAACATCGAAATTACAAAGAGGAAAAAATATTGAAATAGTTTATAGGAGCATGTCATTTCAAAATAGCTAATGTGCGCATATGTGAAATGATGGCATTAAATTTAGAAAGTTGTGATAGTTTACCCCCAGATGAAGAACCCAAACTAAAATATGATCGTATGGGAAATGACGTTCAAAATATTCTTTTAAAAGATGCTGTAAGCTGTATTTGCGTACATACGAAATTTATTTGCCTAGGAACACAATGGGGAGTGATACACCTATTGGATCATGAAGGAAACACAGTGCCTATATCGCAAGACAACAATCAGAAAGACTTGCAAGCTCATGCAATTGCAGTTAATAAAATCTCAGTAGATCTTAATGGAGACTACATCGCCAGTTGTTCTGATGATGGCAAAGTATTGGTGTATGGTCTGTACTCAAATGATAATACTCATAACTTGACATTGGGAAGAGTTGTAAAATCAATTGCCTTGGACCCTTTTTACTTTAAATCAGGCTCTGGCAGACGATTCCTCACAGGTTTACATTTTAACTACTATAAAACGGCAATAAATACATTACACATAATTATTTACAGAGTAATAATTTATTTTAATAAAATTAACACAAAGTTATATATTATTATTAACCTATACTAATATTATAAAGAGGTAAAGTTTGTGAGTGTGTGATGTTGTAGGAGATAATCTCTAGATCTACTGAACCGATTTAGATGAAATTTGATAAGAAGATAGTTTGAGACCCTGGAAAGGGCATAGGATACTTTTTATCCCAGAAATCATCTGTTAATGGGGTGAAAACGGGGATGAAAGTTTGTATGGGGAACCAACCTAGAGACGAACCCGAGCAAAGCGAGGTTGAGTCGATAGTTACTAATAAAAAAAAGTATTATAATTATTCTTTTTAACATTACTAATTCATTCGTGTACTTAATAAAAATAGTTTGTAGTTATATTTTCTTATAAAATTTCAATAGACAATAATGTAATATCGATTATATAAAAAAATCACAGATTGAAATTTTGTCAAACTATATTTGGAACTTTAATAGTAACTAAATCTATAGGTTTTAGAATACATGCTTGTCTTTGCACTGTCAATATTTATTACTTTACTTAACATTATTGCTAAGTTTAATACTTTCTTAGATATATGTGAATATTTAAATTTTAAATAAAACTATCTTTTTGCAGTCTCTCCAGTGATCATGATTGCTGTACATTTGAAACATCGGAAACCAAAAATCAAAATAAATCTGTGAAAAAAAATCAACTAAAAAGATAGTCTTATTTAATTTAGTTAAATATATCCAATGTTAGTTTGAGGCCCCATCTTATGTGAGTCTATATCAAGTTCATAGAGTCATGTTGTGTGGTTTTCAAGTTATTTGAAATATACTGAAGACAAAGTAATAAATAAGCAATAGCTGAGTTTTAGTGGAACATAATAATAGTAATAAGCTAATAATAAAACCACTGAATCCTAGTATCTAAATGAAATGCTAATTTAAATACAATGTCATATATTTTTGTTAAGAGACCTAAAATTATCCTAATAGCAGTAGCACAAATTAATATTGTTTGTTTTCCTTCCAGGTGATAATAAACTGATCCTTTATGAAAAAACATTCTTGAATCGTCTGCGCAGTACAGTCCTATGTGAGTGTGAAGGTTATGTTCAAGCAATAGCATGGCATGACCGATTTATAGCTTGGGCCAGTGAAGTAGGAGTGCGTGTCTATGACCTCGTGGCGAGATGTTCGTTGGGTCTAATTCAGTGGGAAAGAAATCCTAATCGCTCCATAGAGGACTTTCGTTGCAATCTTCTTTGGTCAGCTAAAAAGACTCTCATGATTGGTTGGGTAGATACCATCCGAATATGTGTCATACGGAAGCGCAGTCAAATCGAGCTACAAACGCGTGATGTGACCGAATATCTCGTAGATCCAGTACACACATTTCAAACTGACTATTTTATTAGTGGACTTGGACCTTTGGACGATCAGTTAGTAATTCTTGGTGTGCCTAAAGAGCGTGATGCCGAAACACATAAAGCGCAAAGGCCTGTGATTTCGGTGGCGGATTATAAAGATTGTGAGTTTTGCGAAGTCTCGACTGATAGCTTAAATATTCGAGGGTATGAGGAATACAATTGTAACGACTACTATTTGGATATGATTATAGAAGAAAATAGATTTTTTATAGTGTCTCCGAAAGATATAGTGGTAGCTAGCCCTTACGATATCGATGATAGGGTCGATTGGTTAGCTAAGCATGGCCGATTTGAAAAGGCTATATCCGTACTTGAGGAAGTTGGTGGGAAAACGTCAAAGCATTCTGTTGTCGAAGTTGGAGTTCAATATTTGGATCACTTACTGTCGGAGCATCTTTTCGAAGAAGCGGCTATCCTTTGCGCTAGAATATGTAAAAACGATAAAGTATTATGGGAAAATCAAATTCTAAAGTTCCTCGCAGTCAAACAACTGCGTGCTATAAGCGCATATGTACCTAGAAATCCGGACCAAGTTCTAAATCCACACATATACGAACAAATTTTTTGTGAATACTTGGAAGTTGACGCACAAGGTTTCCTTAAACTAGTACAAGAATGGAACCCTGCCTTATATAAAACAAGTGTTATTGTCAATAAGGTCTTAGAACATTTGTTTACAACTGAAGTCGATAAAAATATTTATTTAGAAGCTTTAGCTCTGCTTTATTGCTACCAAAAGAAATACGATAAAGCGCTGACCACGTACTTAGCATTACAGCATAATGATGTTTTTACGCTAATAACCAAATATAACATGTACTCGATGATACACGACAAAATACTTGATCTGATGACTCTCAACTGTGATAAGGCCATCTCTGTGCTTTTAAACGATAAGACCAAAGTTCCAATTGAAGTTGTAGAGAAACAACTGAAGAACCATGATGAATTTTTATATAAATATTTAGACGCATACAGCAAAGTTGAGCAGACCGGACAATACCATGGAGAACTCATTAGGTTATACGCTCGATTTAATCGCAACAAGTTACTGCCGTTCCTAAAGTGCAGTGACAATTATCCTATACAGAAAGCGCTGGATGTCTGCACTAATAATGAGTTTTACCCTGAAATGGTGTTCCTGCTCGGTCGCATGGGCAACACGAGAGAGGCGCTACAAATAATCATAGAGAAGTTGAATGATATAAACCAAGCTATTAACTTTTGCCAAGAACACAACGACAAAGAACTGTGGACTGATCTCATCAAACAAACAGTTGATAAACCAGAGTGTGTCACGTTGCTGCTTAAAAGAATTGGCAATTACGTGGATCCTAGGATGCTCATACAGAATATACAATCTGGGTGCGAAATTAAGGACTTGAAGGAGTCGCTTGCGAAAATGATGTGCGACTATCATTTACAAATGTCCGTACAGGAAGCGTGTAAAGTCATTACTCTAAGAAATTATTTCGACCTCCACGAGAAGCTGATCATCAACCAGCAGAGAGGGATATCGGTGACTGACGACTTTTTGTGCAGTGTGTGCCAAGGACGCATAATTATTCGAGATCTTTCTAACGCGTCGGACTTAGTTGTTTACAACTGCCGGCATTCTTTCCACATAGAATGTCTCCCAGACGGCATGAAGTGCGATCACTGCAGCGTCTGCAGCGCGGTGAAAATGTGACCCTCAAGCTCAACTAGATAGGACAGTACATATAAAATTTAGTATTATATATAAATGTACCTTATCCTAATAACGTCAATGTTAATCAATGTAGTTTATTTATAATGTTATCAGTATGGTGCTTTTGTAATGAGGTGGCGTGAATAATTTTTCCTCATGTTACGAGTTGCAATTTACATAATGAATCCAGATGAATACACTTTTACACAATATGTATATTGTCTAAATGTTTTATTTTTAACCAGTCTCGTAAAGGATAGCCATGTGTATTATATTTTTACGTAAGATGACAAATAAAGAGAGAGGCATGCACAAAAGTGCTTGTAAAAATCCAAATTACTTATTATTTTTATTTTGAAACCGAAACCGAAACATATGAAGTATTCTAATAATAAAAACAAACTGTACATAACATGATATTATTACACATGATTCGTAAAAAATATTTATTTTCGATAAAGAACATATACCGTTGTATAAATTTCTATACATTTAATAAAGTAGCATTTTGTATTCACCCCTTTTTAATGTCCTGCTGGGCACGAACCAACAGTCAAGTGCGAGCTGGCGGACTTCACATGTCTTTCGAAAACTTATTAAAATCTCTTAGACATGCAGGTTTCCTCAGAATGTTTTACTTCGTTATAAGGTAGTGGTAATCATGTTGAAAATGATTCGCACGTGAAAATATTAGAAGTGGGAGGTCCGAGATTTGAACCCGCTTCCCTTGGTTTTTGAAGCTAGTGGTACCACGAATAATTATTTATTCGTATGACTGGTACGTAACTACGTACCTACCTATTGTACAGAATTTAAACAACAAAAAGATAATTGTTAAAATAGGTAAATATGATTAGGTATGAACTCTAATTATAGTTAAAAATTTATACATAAATTAGTGATGTATTTTACGTATCGAAATATGTTAGATTTGCTTTGCATCGGCTGGCACCGACTTCGAAAATATCTGATTAGGTATCTATTCTAAATGAAAACCCCCGTTCAGTTACTTTTTACATTTTAGTGCCTGTAAGTCAGTTTTTTTAAGTTTGGCTCAGTTTGTAGTGACCCTACTTGGTGCGCCAGCGGTCGCGGGTTCGAGTCCTGCTGGGCCATTCATTTGTGTAATGAGCACGAATGTTTTACTCCAGTCATGGGTGTTTATATTTATAATATGTATGTATTTAAAGTTATATATGTGTAGTGTATGAACTATACGGTATCCATAACAAGTCTCGTAGCTTACCATGGAACTAGATGGTAATGTGTGTTAATGTCCCAACATATTTTTTATATTTTTTTTAAACCCTAAATCATTCTTATGTAGTCTCCTTAATCTGTGCTCTTAGATTTATATGCTGCCATAAATGATGACGATGCATTCACATTGAGATAGCATAAAGGCCCGGCCGACCCGGGCTTAGACTGTATAAATCTAGTATGTAGTCCTAAAGGCCGAAGGAGAGATAAGCTGCTCATAATGTCATTATATAAAATGGTCGTAATCAATATCTAAAAGGAGCATGTTATACTGAATTAATTATTTAATACAATAAGATTAACTAATGTTGTTATATTCGCATTAATTAATTATATCTTTCAAGGTAATTGATTCGCTATTTAGGAAATTTACCTGGCAACATTTTATATTTTTTAACAATTTTTTTAAGATAAAATCTTAGAGTATACATATGTATACTCTAAGGATAAAATATATTAATCACTATTAATACCTAATATAATTTATTTTAATATATTTAAAATACCTTTACAAAAGAAATTATTTTATACATTCTGTATAATATTTTACAATATATTAAAGAATTTATTTTTATTTTACTTTCGATGCCTACCAAGTGGGTCTTTTATGTATTATTTAATGTAATAAAATAACATATTACAAAGAAATATTTATTGTTTCATTTATAAAATATTATAATCGGTATTTTGTAAATATCCCGATTTTACATTTTTGTTTGTATGGACAAGTGTCATCCGTGGAATGAAGCAAATTGTTTATTCCCATGTGGTGTTGAAAAATGGACGCGCACATGATTCTGTGAGCGTTTGAAAATGTTTTCATTTAATATTTACATGCGTTGAACGTTGAAAATCGACGGAATTGTGAAAAACAGTGTCGTATAAAAATGACAGATATGCCTCCTTATCTCACTGTAAACGATGAGGAGAATAATGGTGAGCCCGATAGTGATTCTTCGGACTTCGATGATGATTTGCCTCTGAGCTTCAATAAGCCAAGGCACCTAGAGCCTATAAAGGGCGCTGAACGTGAGGAGCACTCGTGGAGAGTGAAGGAGAAGGTGGGTGTCGTCTGTTTGTTTAGTAAACTTCGCGACGTAACTGCGTATCAGACGTAGTAAGGCATGTTACGTTGAAAACAAACGCACATGTATCATAAGCAGCCATGTATTGTTTTTTATGAAAATAGAATTCAATAACGAAATAAATGATGCCTAAGTGATTGTGTATAAGAAATACCTTGAATGAAATCCTAATGATATCAAAAGTTATTAATCTTATTAGTATTATTTGATTGAACAAAAAGTGTCCTATAATTTATTATTTACTATACATTTTTTAATTGGTGATATTTGACCATTAAACATAATTTATTATTTTGTACTCTAAATAAATATTAAATATGTCTTATTTCTTTTTTTTTTAATTTCTTATTAATTAATTTTATTTCAATAATTATAACCAAATAGACACAGCTGCTTATGTAAAAAAGATTACTTTGTTAAAATTATTAATAAATTAAATTATGAAGTTAAAATTAAAATATTTTCAGTTTAGTAAATCTAAAATATAAGCTTAATTTGTGTTTCGACTAAGATTGTTTATCATTACTGACAATGCTTAAAAATTATTAGAAATAAAACTAATTTTAGAGCTCTACGGTGTTTTTTTTGAAATACATAACATTTGGTTATTTCATAAGTTAATTTAATTTTTTTAGAAAAACTCTTAATCTTCTCAAGAGTTAAATTGTGCACAGGTGGCACACTTAAATATTTTTAATCCCTCTATGACCGCGGGCACGCCGGCGTGTCAGTTAACAATAGATTTCTTAGTATTTTAATTAATTTCTTAGAAATTTACCTGGAGGTGTTAAATACCTCATAGACCATATAACGCCTCCTGTCCTTTCCTGACCTGTCACTATTGCGTAGAATCATCATTCTATCAGACTATCTATGTAGATAACTAGTCAAAGTGATATGAACTGCTGATACGAATTGGTGAGGACTTTGCGTAATGTTCTATAATAATTAACAATTTGAAGCTTGAAATAAAATATAAAAAAAAAAATAGTTCAGCCTATCTAAAAGATAAATAATTAAATATATATATTTATAGTACAAGACACATTGCGTGGCACTTGTACTATGCCTCAATGTGGGTGTGGATCCTCCTGATGTGGTCAAAACACAACCATGTGCTAGACTGGAGTGCTGGATTGGTATGTATTTATAAAATAAGATTAGATTTCACTTCTTTTAGTTTTGTTGGTTATTAATTTTGGAAGAAATAATATAGAATGTAGTATATTTTGAAGCCCCATACATAGTAAAAGGGCAACATTGAAAATAAAAATTGTAGTTTTACATTCAAGTACTTTTAACAATTTTAAATGAAATGTAACTTTTCAGATTTTGTCACAATAAATCATATTTCAAAAAAAAGTTATTTCAATCCAAGGTCAATTTAAAATAAAAAAAATGCATAAATCTAAGAAAGTATAACTTTTAACAATTTTGTTATATATGTATTTATATTTTTAATATGATTTTGCATAGCTACTTCTTTATTGTAATTAACATAATTTTAATATTATTATGTACATAATTATAGATCCAAACTCAGTGTCACCAAGCAAAGCGCTAGAGAACATAGGACACGCACTACAGACACAGTATGAGAGATGGCAGCCTAGGGCACGCTACAAACAGTCTTTGGACCCCACTAGTGATGAGGTACACAAAAGCAATGTATCTACCAAGACATAATGCAAATATGAACATTAACAATTTAATTTTTAAGATATGCTATTTTTTACAATTTTAGTATTTTTGTTTGAACAATATTATATTAATATAACGAAGCGAGGGTGAGTAGCTGTATAACATATAAATGCCAAAGAGTTTTTTTTGTAGATTGAACGCGGGTGAAGCCGCGGGTTCCGCTAGTGTATATATATGTGTTTTCTACATAGACTGAAGGAAAAAATAGGTGTCCAAAAGCTGGGTTGCTTGATTTTTGACTGGATACATCGCGAATTTATAATGACGTCATTCCCAAAAAATGTTACCAGTGACAGAAGTGGTCGTAGTGTCTGCCGTCTGGCGGCGCCGATGAGTGGCCATTTGGGAGTATGAGCTAATTAGGCACGAGAACGCCCGGCCTTGCTCTAATTACTCAAATTAGCGTGCGTCAGACCTATGTTTATTTATTTAGCTATTACTCCATTCTAACCCACACAATACACTTACTTTCATTTTATCTTTATAAGCGACTATTGACCGATGTAAGGTAGTATTTTATAAAAAAACACCACTAGTTTACCAATTAAAATATTTATATCACAATTGTCATAATGAAATTTTCCCCTATATTTGCGAGTTTCGCTATCTATTCCAATTTAGATAATTCAGCTCTTAGGCTTATCAAAAACACGCCTTCATACTTCAAAAATCTAATAACAACCTCTCTACTTTCTTCCTTGCAAACTTCCCACGTTACTTCTTGCAACATGCTATTATTCTTCAAAAACCACTTTATATTTGTTTTAATGGGTTATAAAGTGAATAATTCATCATATACATATGTTTTTTCGGTATGCCAATCTCATTTGTATTCAACCCTTTTTAACGTCCGACTGCTGGGCACGGGCTTTCTTTCAATGCAAAGGGATCAGACCATAGTCCACCACGCTGGCGAAGTGCGGGTAGGCGAACATTACATGCCTTTTGAAAACTTGCTATGTTCTCTCAGACATGCAGGTTTCCTCACGATGTTTTCCTTCGCCGTTAAGACAAGTGGTGATCATGTTGGAAATGATTTACACATGAAAATGTTAGAGGTTTGAGATCCGAGATTTGAACCCACTTCACTGGGTTTTCCAAGCGAGCGAGTTACCACTGGGCTACCACTGCCTTATCTCTTTTAATATCTGACAATTAATGATTGTGACAACATTTTAAAGATCATGAACTCAGCCAGCTGATTCTGATTCTGTATTTCCAATAAAGGAGCAAAAATATTTTCTTCAAATTGTTTTGATTGTAATTCCGATTGGAGGCTTTTTACATTGTCGACTAACCAAACACATAAGTTTTGTCAGTATGTAAGTATGTAGTGCAAATAAAAACAAACAATATGATGCAGATCAAAAAGCTGTGCTGCTCTCTGCGGCGCAACGCGAAGGAGGAGCGTGTGCTGTTCCACTACAATGGACACGGCGTGCCCAAGCCCACGTCACAAGGAGAGATATGGGTTTTCAACCGGGTAAAACTTTTTGTATATATACATGTTTTATAGTACCGCTGCTGACTCCTCATGCAACGACCAGCGTACATCCTTCTGACAATTTCTCGTCTACACGTTTTTCTCTATTTACGTATCTGTTTGCTAACAATATTATTTGTATTAATAGTATAAAGTTGAATTAGAAAACGTTAAAACGTTTGCTTTTTTGCTTAAGTAATGGAAATTATGAATAAATTATCAAATATTATGTCAGTAATAGCTCTGAGTGACATAATTCTATAACAAATTTTTTAATATCCAATTAATTTCAACTGTATTGTAAAACATCGTGATTATACACACATAAGAGAATGTGAGCTAAAATGTAACCAGACTTAATAAAAAAAACTTTTGAGCTGGTAAGGTCTCTATCATTATTTACTGCACAGGTGGGACCTCGGTGGAATATTGTGACAGCATACTTTGGTGGATTATTTAGATTTATTTGTTCAGTTGCTTAATAATAAGTATCTAAAACTAAACTTGCATTGTATTTCAAATACGTGTTTATTATAAACATGATTGTTTTTCAGGCATACACCCAGTACATACCACTTTCAATGTACGACCTGCAAACTTGGATGGGGGCTCCGTCCCTCTATGTATACGACTGTTCCAATGCAGGAGTCATAGTCGAGAACTTCAAACAGTTTGCTGAACAGCATGAGCGAGATTATGAGGTGAAGTTTATATTTTAGTTGTGGCTATTTTTAGAAATGTTGCACTGTATCAAAAAATAATATTATTGTTTTATATTTTCATACAAGGTTACTGTTAACTTGTATTTGATTGAGAACAGTTGCAAATTTAATGCCCTCTTGGAATATTCTGTATAGATTTTTATTATAAATCCCTAATGATAGACAAGTATTATTACAGTGTGTGAGTGTACAAGTGTGTGAGTGACAGTAAATTCTGTGCAGATGCAGGCCATGTCGAAGGGCGTGCAGGGCGCGGAGGGCGCGGCGGTGTCTTACAGGAACTGCATCCAGCTGGGCGCGTGCGCGGCGGGCCAGGCGCTGCCCATGTCGCCCGAGCTGCCCGCCGACCTGTTTACGGCCTGCCTCACCACGCCCGTCAAGATGGCCATCAAGTGGTTCGTGCTGCGCACGCGCCTGCGCGTCGCGCGCCACGACCTCGTCGACCTCATCGACAAGTGAGTCACGCACACATTGCCACACCACATATATAGAGTCATACTCTTTTGTGAAGTCGGTCAAATGTATGTCATACTGACTCTATTTTCTGTAGCACACGTTACCCGATAAAATAAAGTAACTTATACCACAAGTAAATATTTTATATATGTTGTGTTATCCATATACTACGAACATCATCTTTGGTGGTTACTCATATTGTGGGCGTTATCAGGGCTCAAATAATAAAGTATTCAGTGCTAATACACAATTTAATCAGGGAAGTCACAATGTTATAAACTTGAAACGGTAATTCTAACGATTTAGAGCTAGCGGGTTCACAGTCACTGATCATCAACTTCCAACTACAATATCAAACATAACACTCTATACCATGATTAACCAACGTTACTAAGCCACGTATCTCCAAAGAATGTCGTGATGGCGTCTCGAACCCGCTCGAGACTAAATCTCTGCTCTAAATTCAAAAGCAATAAAAAGTAAATTAAAGAACATAGTGACTTTAAACAATGATAAGGTTTCATAACAGAAAAAGGTAACTAAATCCTCCTCCGTCTTATCTTTATATATATAATTCTTCTGTGAGTGTGTATGTCACTGAACTTCTCTCAAACGACTGGACCGATTTTGATGAAATTTTTTGTGTGTGTTCAAGGGGATCTGGGAATGGTTTAGATTCACAATTTTAATAATAATTTTCATCAAAAAAAATTATTAAAAAAAGTTTGAAATTTTCAAATTAAAGACGTGTAGACAGGACAACGTCTGTCGGGTCCGCTAGTATATAATATTACCATATAGTTATAAGGTTACCATATAAAAAAAACTGAATGAACTCAAGCATGAAATAACTAAAAACTATATGCATGTATCAATTTTATTACAAGTGGTTAATTAAAAATAAAGAGATAACAAATAAATAAACTCATCATACCATTTTATTACTTGTAAAGACGATATTATAAACTCTAAAACGATATAAAAAATCTCAGATGTTCATCCAAGTAATGAATTAACTGAACTAAGCATGTACATGTGTGTCAGGATCCCCGGGCAAGTGACGGACAGACGCACGATGCTGGGCGAGCTAAACTGGATCTTCACGGCAATCACGGACACCATCGCGTGGTCGTCGCTGCCCCCGGAGCTGTTCCAGCAGCTGTTCCGCGCCGACCTGCTCACCGCCAGTCTGTGCCGGAACTTCCTGCTGGCCGACCGCATCATGCGCTCGTACAACTGCACGCCGGTGTCGTCGCCCGCGCTGCCGTCGCTGGCGCGCCACCCGCTGTGGGCGGCGTGGGAGCACACGCTGGACCTGGCGCTGGCGCAGCTGCCCGCGCTGCTGGAGCGCCCCGCGCACGCCGCGCACTACCGCCACTCGCCCTTCTTCCGCGACCAGCTCACCGCCTTCCAGCTGTGGCTGGACCTGGGCAGCTGGGCGCCCGCGCGCCCGCCACCCGACCAGCTGCCCATGGTGCTGCAGGTGCTGCTCAGCACGCTGCACCGCGTGCGCGCGCTGCAGATCTTGTGCCGCTTCCTGTCGCTGGGCGCGTGGGCGGTGCGCTCCGTGCTCGCCGTCGGCATCTTCCCCTACATGCTCAAGCTGCTGCAGGCCTCCGCGCATGACCTGCGCGCCTCCATGGTCTACATATGGGCCAAGATCATTGCAGTCGATCCGGTATATAGCAAAAATATTAAGACTAAATATTAGCAAAGTAGGAAAAACGCAATTATTGAAGCTAAGAAGCTCTTTTTTATATAATAACCATTTACGATTTCTTTTTCAGAGTTGTCAAGTAGATCTGGTGAATGCGAAAGGCCACAAGTACTTCCTGTCGATACTGCAAGATCCGACCGTCGATGTATGTTAATGTTATGACATTTGCATGTGTAAAGACAAAAATTTCATTACTTAATTTATATTTTTATTGATGAATGTGTTTTTTTTTCCAGAGTGATCATAAAACTTTGGCAGCGTTTGTGTTAGCCGGCATCGTGGACAACTACCCGGCGGGGCAAGAAGCCGCATTACAGGTTTTAAATTAGTTTTATTTAAATTTTCACATCTTTATAATTCCCATTGTTTCTGTTGTAATTTTTGTGATATAGGTAATTATTGAAAGAAAATATATAATTGTTATTTTTATTAAATAATTGTAATGCTGTAATAAGGAATACGTGTGTAATTAGAATAAAGGTGATTTTTTTTTAATATTCTTTATTGCTTTTGAAGTAAGCTTATTAAAAATAAAGTATGCAGTAAATTGCTTTGGCACAGGGGAGTAATAACCACTGACTTGGCTTCTTGGCTACTCAGCAATTTTCTGTTACATAAACTGTACTGAAACCTGAACATGCAAGACCCCTCTGGATATATTTGCAGTAAAGGTGGAGCAGTGATGTTACAGTTGTGTGTTTGTGTGTGTCGTGCAGGGGTCGATGATCTCGGCGTGCCTGGAGCAGCTGGAGGGCGGGGAGGGCGCGTGGCAGCTGCAGCAGTGGGCGTGCATCGGGCTGGGGCGGCTGTGGCGCGGGCGCGACGCGGCGCGCTGGGCGGGCGTGCGCGACCTGGCGCACGAGAAGCTGGCGGCGCTGCTGCCGCACGCGCGGCCCGAAGTGCGCGCGGCGTGCGCGTACGCGCTGGGCGCCTTTGTGGCGGCGGGCGCGGCCGGCGCGCGCACCGACCACGCCAACGCGCTGGACCAGCAGGTGGCCGTGCAGCTGGCCGCGCGCCTGCCGCTCGACGCCTCGCCGCTCGTGCGCGCCGAGATACTCGCCGGTCAGCTTGACTTTAATAACATGATTCACGTCATCGATAAACTGACGATTAGTTTTTTTAAAATAAATATATTGATTAAATTTAGGTTTTTATTGTTAAAAAAAATGTTATTTTGAATGATTTACATTTTAAAAAGTAATACAATATCATGTTACAGCACTTCAGTGGATGGTGTTGATATTCGAGCAACATTTCATCGCTGTATACTTAAACGAGAGATTACAGAGAAGCGACAGGTAATAAATAAAATTTATTAAATCGCATTTTATGTCTGCAGGAATTAATTCCTTTTTCGAAGATAATAAATTTTTTTATGAAAATAATTGTTTTAATGAAAATAATTGTTGAAAAATTAAGTACATACATAATGGCATTATTTAAGCTTAATATTAAATACTAATCACATAATAATTTATTTCTCAAGTTAGACATTGATGTTGTCACGTTGTGTGTATGTTTGTGTGTGTGTCAGGGAGACGCTGCGCGGCGCGCGCGGGCACATCGACCGCGGGCTGGACGCGCTGGCGCCGGGCCGCAGCACGCCGCGCACGCCGCCGCACGCGCACGCGCTACCCACCATCGGTACCTTTTTGTTACTTTTTTACCGTTGAGAGATACGTTTACGTTTACCACCTACATACATATATACAGATAGTTATTTGGGACTTCTCGGTTAGATAAGCCAGCTCTACCCACTAAAACCTGACGGAACTATCTTCATCTTAATGAGGCGTCGCAGGGTCGCTTACTCTGAATGCGTACCAGTTACCACGAAACCCCCAACAGCAAGCCTGGGAACAGTTTCGGTATCTATCCCATACTCACCTCATCACTTTTACTCGTGACTTTTGCTAATTATTAAACTTAATAATAATTAATTCATTTTTAATTGTTTACTTATTCGTTTTTGTTTTTAAAGTATTTTTTTTACATCAAAATACGCGAATGAAGTTTGTAGAAAAAGCTAAATATGTATGTAACCTAGACAGTAAACATCCAAGCATTATTATATAGAGCATAAGCATTATTAAATAAAACTATCTATTTTTTTGGATTATTTCGCGGATTTATTTTGATTTTTGGTTCCCGACGTTTCGAATGCTTTACAGCATCCATGGTCACGGGAGAGTCAGTCTCTCCCGTGACCATGGCTCGTCTATATCGTCTTAAAGATAGTTTTATTTAATAATGTCAAACATTCGCGTAAATCTAAGAAAGTATTATAGCATAAGCATTATTATTAAATATATGTTGGGACATTAATATATAGCACCATCTAGTTCCATGGTAAGCTACGAGGAATGTGTTATGGATACCAGATAGTTGATACACTACTTATATATAAACTTTTAAATACATGCATAATATTATAAATATAAACAACCATGACTGGAGTACAAACATTCGTGCTCATCACACTATGAATGCCCCTAGTGGGACTCGAACCCGTGACACGCTGGCACAGCAAGTAGGTTCACTACACACTGAACCAAACGTGTCGCCAAATTTTTTTTTATTATAATTATTTTTATATTAATAAAACATTTAAACCAAAAATCTTACATAATAATTTGTCATGAGCCGTGTGTGTGTAGGGTTCGGGTCGGTGTACATGAAGCTGTGGGGCACGCTGTGCGCGATGGCGCGCGAGCCGCACCCGCAGCTGGCGCAGATGGCCTCCGACATCATCGCATACGTCTCCAACCAGGTGCGCCCTCCTCTCCCTACACTTACGTCGGTTTGTACGCAATGCACGTACCTTGTCCATCTTTGTTATAATACTTGTCCTTTATATTTAATAACTGACATAGATTTCAGTATTGCAATACTTTCTATATCTTTTTTTTTTTCAATTAAAAATACATACATAATATATACGTATGTATACATTTTTTCGTCTTTACAAAATTTGAATTGTACAGTATTTTTAAAAATTGTTTTTTTAATAATAATATTAATAGTTACAGAGTTTTTGTTTATTATGTATATTAATTAATATGAGAACATTTGATTGTAAGAATGTATATAAGCCTATTTGATATTTTTCACGCTGTAAAGGCTCAGCAGATTTTAAAAAACTTAAAATAAAAGCCATGAATTGAAGAACGCAAACCGATATAATTTGCATAGAATGTATTATAGCACGGTGTGTAACGTACGAGTATGTATACATGTGTGCGCTGCGTGCAGGTGGACAGCGTGGGCGTGGGCGCGGGCGGCGGCGGGCGCGAGGCGGCGGGCGGCTCGGCGTCGCTGCCGCCGTCGCCCAACACGCGGCCGCACCACCACCCCGACGCCACGCGCACGCTGCCGCACATGGGTGAGCACTCACCATACACTAATTATATAATATTATACATCTAACTTGGTTGATTAGTGTGTGTATGATATAAGCTCTGCAACTATTCATCCAATTCTGAAAATTCTTTCAGCAACCTATGTTACCCCCTAATGCATATAGGCTATTATTTTTTACGATGACGCTGTGTTTACGGTAAGAGTTCATAATTATTTAATTATAGTCTGAAACAATCAAACCGCTAAGTTGCTTTATGTTGTAACTTCTGTTAGAAATCTAGGGAAGCACCTCTGAGCAAAGGGAAGATAAATCGCTAGTATTACAATACACATAATTTTTAAGGTTTATTATACAGAGAGAACAGTGTTAATATTATTTTAGTGCAATATAGACAATTTTAATTGAAATTTTAATAAAATGACTTCTTCATATAAAATACTTCAAGTGATTAGATATAAGTATTTTAATCATGCGAAGTTATAATAAAATGAAAAAATATATTATTTATGTTTTAGTTTATGATAAATAAGTTGTATGTCACTATTTACATAATTCTCAGATAAGTCAAAATGGTTTAATTAAAGTTGATGTTAAATGTATAATCAATAACTATGCAGATAATAATTTGGTAAAAACAATTATTGTAAATGACATGACCTAATCTTACAAGGTTTGATTTAACTTACAATATTTGTTTGTTCAGGTTAAATCTTGCAATTTAATTTTAAAGCATTTAGTTTGGATGACAATACATGATTAGCTAAGTTACGTCATTCTAAATCCAATATGGCGGGTTCCCAAAGATGGCGGACTACATTTTTTTTATGCATTCCCATGATACGGATATCAAATGAAATAGTTTGCTGAGAAGAATATGTATAACTAAAAATAAAATAATTGTAAAAAATATTTTTAAAAACAAGCATATCTTTATATATATAATTCTTCTGTGAGTGTGTATGTCACTGAACTTCTCTCAAACGACTGGACCGATTTTGATGAAATTTTTTGTGTGTGTTCAAGGGGATCTGGAAATGGTTTAGATTCACAATTTGAATAATAATTTTCATCAAAAAAATTATTAAAAAAAGTTTGAAATTTTCAAATTAAAGACGTGTAGACAGGACAACGTCTCTCGGGTCCGCTAGTAAAAATATATAATATTAAACTTCTCGCAAAATTTACTCTGTGTAGATAAACTAGTAGGTAATAAAATGGTAAAAAAATAATGTTTTTTATAAAATAGGTAAGTCTGGCGACAAGCATAGTTATTTCATGTCATTTATATTTTATATCATGTAAATTATGTAATGTAATAAATTGATGGATTTGATTTAATTTAAAGTTTATTTTCTTCTTTTTAGAGCATTTAAATAAAAGTTCGTTTTTAAAAATGTTTTTTTTTTTAAACTATAGAATTGATTTGGGTTAACACTAATATGTGATGAATTGTTAGGTCGCGGCAAGTTCGGTTTGCCGCACACGATATCGGAGGACTCTGTGGCGCACCGCAACCGCGACCGGGATTCCGGCTCCTCTACCTCTAGTATGTACACATTATTGTTTCAACTATTACAACAAAATAAACAATACACGACCTAGGTGGTTTTTTATGTATGTCACATAATATTTTTGACGAGTGTAGACCGACTTTTGAAGTTCCGTTTTTATGAATATTTACACTTTAAGGAAGTGTTGCTGTTTTGATTTCAAGATTTTTTTTGAAAATATTGAACTCACTGTTTTTGTTTAGTTATAGAAAATGTAAAAAAAATATTTTATATGTATGGAGGCTGAATATGTAGTTTATATTTATTGCTGAAAATAAGTTTTCCAATATATTGTTCAAGCATTTCAGATATATAAAAGATATGTAAAGATACGATATAGATAATAGGTTTAATCATACGTAAATTAATTTCAGGTCAAACAAAGAAGCCGATAGTGACGACGCAGTTCGTAGAGTGGGCCACGGCGCAGTTTTCGCGCGGCGACGCGTCCGGCGGCGTGTCCGGCCCCTTCGCCTCGGCCGAGCCGCCACCCGCCGAGCCCGCGCCGCCCCCGCCCGCCCCCGCGCCTGCGCCGCCCGCCCCCACGCCGGCCCCGCCCGCACTCGCGCGCGCCGCCGCGGCCGAGGGCGGGGACGCGGACTGCGAGAGCAGGGCGCACCACGAGCGCGTGTGGCGGCGCGTGCGCAACCGCAGCATACGCAGGGAAGCCAGGGGTCGGTTGTGTTCCTGTACATGTACACTTATATTTTATAGGCAACACATTGACATAAAACAAATTTGTTCATTTTTTCATCTATTTAATGTATTTCCAGTTAAACTTTTAAATTATTATTTCATGGCATTACCCTTACTCAAATACTTGACGACTGATGAAGTAGTCAATTGAAGTAGTTTAAATGAATAAATGAATTAACAATCGACAGCGCTGCGGTCGGCGCCGCCGCCGCGGCTGGAGACGGTGGCGTTCCACTCGCGCTGCCCGCTGCCGCCGGCCGTGGTGCAGTTCCACCCGTACGAGCAGCACGTGGCGCTGGCCAGCAAGGAGAACTTCGGCGTGTGGGACTGGGGCACGGCCGCCAAGCTGTGCGTGGGCGCGTGGCGGCGCGCGTGGGGCCGCGTGTCGGCGCTGGCCTACCTGGACGCGCACGCGCACGCGCTGCTGGCCGTGGCCTCGCACCAGGGCACGCTGGCCGTGTTCCGCCCCACGCCCGAGCCCGCGCTGCTGGCCGCCTGGCGCGCGCTCGACGTGCGCCCCGCGCCCGACTACCGCCCGCCCTCCGCACACCCCATATCCAGTAAGCGCAGCGCAGTCCGTCGGACACGCTCGTACATACTAGGGTTGTTACGGAAGCAAAAATTTCGAAATCCGCGGATGCGGTTACGGGATTATTTTTAAATATTTCAATTTACAGTACGGTAGACGGCGCGTCAAGTTAATAGAAAACGTTAAATTTTCTCAATTGAAATTTAACTCTGCCTTTAACCTGTATTAGAAAATTGTTTAAGGAAACTTGTCATTTTTGGATAGGTTGTCATGCTGTTGACTGTACATATTTATAAATGAAAATTGTGTGTCTTTACATGTCATCACTTGTCGCTATTATGAATTCACATTCGTTAAAGTTCTGCATTAATTTGATGTGGATGCGAATGCGTATGAAGATATTATTTGAATTAATATTATATATTATATTCCATAACACCTCTAGTACATACATATTATATAATTTGACTTTCATTGCTGTCTGTTGTTCTGTCTATAGTATTGGTTTTCTGCATATTTTATTTATGAATATCAAAAACACATTATTGTCCATTAAATGTATGTATTGAGTCGGTCGTGTGACGTGTGCGAGTAACGGTGGTGGGCGCAGGTCTGGCGCAGCTGGTGACGGAGCAGTTCTCGCCGGCGGACGAGCGCGGCGCCGCGCGGCTCGCAGACGCCGGCTGTGAGTCTGCACTTGTACTACGATAAATATAGGGAATATATAAAGTTTATATATATATAAACAAATTTGGTTCTGAATGTCTTTGAGACTTGGATTAAATTTTATTTTAAAAATCATATTTTCATTGATATTTATAAAAGTAAATATTGACAATAGAAAGCCTGAACTTCGCGGCTTTTTATTTGATATCGATACCTTGATGTGTATGTAATTCATACAATATGATACATTTTTCCTGCATAATTGTATTAATTAAAACGTTTTATTCATGTGTGCGTTTTTGTCATAGACTTGTGTCGTGATTGTAATTTGTGAACTATAACATGTTATATTAATGTTGTCTGTGGTTTTGATTGCTTAAATTATCTATTTATAAATACTCTATTGAGTAAAATAAAATGAAACATTTTCGATTCAAATTTATGTTTTATAATATACTAGCGGATTCGATAGTCGTCGTCCTATCCGAACATGCAAATTATAATTAAATAATTATTGACGTAAGCATGTCTCTGAATTCTTCTTAAACGCCTGGACCTATTTTGATGATATTTTTGGTCGCCACGTATAGAGAACCTATATATAAGTATGACGTGTGGGTGTGTGGGTGTGCAGGTCCGCCGACGCCGCCGTCGGGCACGCTGCTGCGCTGGAGCGCGCGGCGGCAGTCGCTGGCGCTGGCGGGGCAGGCGGCGTCGCTGCGGCTGTGGGACGCGCACGCCGAGCTGCTGCAGGCCGACATCCCCACCGGTAGCGACGCGGCCGCCACGGCGCTGTGGCGCGGCGGCGCGCGCGTGCTGGCCGGCTTCGCGGACGGCAGCGCGCGCGCCTGGGACGAGCGCGCGCCGCACGCGCCCGCGCACGCGCTGCCGCCGCACGCCGCCGCCGTGCTGTGCGCGGCGCACGCGCGCGCCGACTCGCACGCGCTGGTCACGGGCGCGGCCGACGGCGAGGTGCGCGTGTACGACGCGCGCCGCCTGCGCAAGCCGCGCGCCGTGCTGCGCGCGCCCGCGCCGCTCGCCGCGCTCGACCTGCACCCCTGCGCGCCGCTCATCGCATGGTACCGCACACACACCTATGTTTAATCGTTTCGAAACGACTAAGATTTTCATTATATACTTAATTAAAAATTAAACGAATTATAAAGTGTTTCTTCACACTGACGACCGCGACCTACCACTGAATGCTTGATAAATTAAATAGATCTTAGATCGTTGAACAGTTTATTGATTTAATAATATGCTATACTAATAATTGATGCTAAATAATGATACTAATAAATGTTAATGAATGCAGCAGATTCGATTGCTGTCCGAACACGCACTGCCTTATTTAGGCGTGTTTCGATTTATTGATAACACACCTACTAAGCATTATTGCTTATATGTTCGGTAGAAACCTTTGGACCGAACGGTTAATATCGTCATCCTACCCGATTAAGTAAAGAGTAGAATGAACCAAGTACATAATAATTAAATTAATGTTCATGCTACTTGTCAATAAAAAGTGTTTTTTTTTTCAAAACTACTTATCGCCTAATTTTACTTTACATCTATCAAAAAAGTACTAGATAAACAATCAGCGACAAAAAATATTCTCACCAAGTGAGCACTCATTTGAACATTTTGAGCGCACTTTTAATCTATTTTTTTTTGTGAAAACAGCTATAGGTGTTGCATTTACGGTTCAATCTACATTGTTGCATATTTATTTCGACTAAAAGAATTACGTAAACAAAATTGGTAACAGTTTCAAGAGAAATTTTGCATGAGATTGTGTATCTAGTACTTTTTTGATAGATGTTCATTATCTTATGATATTTTTTGTTCATCTCGCAGCGGGTCGGTGAACCAGAGCATCAGCATCTACGACCTGAACGGCGTCGCACTGAACACCATCAAGTTCCACGAGGGCTTCATGGGCGCGCGCATCGGTCCCGTCTCCTGCCTCGCCTTCCACCCGCTCAGGTCAAACACCGCTACCATATTACTTCTTATTGGGACTACTTATGTCTTGGACTAAATCTATTTTTATAAGTCACAGTTTTTCTTCCATCCAGTTATCTGCCGACATATAATATGTGTGGATACACTCATATTATATGGTGGACGGCAGGGTTCGAGTCCCGAGTCAAGGCAGAATGTTACTGGGCTTATCTAATAGGAACACTTAGTAGCAGCCTGAAGTTGATATGTTAGCATTGTTTACATCCTAGTGGTTAAATAGTACATCGAGCTGTTCTTCTTGAGCTTTTGAGACCGAATAGATATAGAGTGCATGTTGCGCCTGCGCAAACGCTTGTACTTGGATAGTTTTCAGTGAGGTCGGCCGCCGGAACAGAAGTCTGCAAGGAAGACATTATTACATGTTTTTTATTTTATTTTGTTAGGGTTACCGACAGAAATGTATTTTATTTAATGTAGATTTAGGATGTTGATGTAATATGTAATGCGTGTGCAGATGCGCGCTGGGCGTGGGGTCCAAGGACTCGACGGTGTCGGTGTACGTGGCGGAGACGCGCCGGTGACCCTCGCTGTACGGCCTGGCGCTGCCCTTCGCGCAGTGACCCCGCACCCCGCACCCGCACGGTACGCCACCGGCCACCGCTAGCCACGACGGCGGACGTGGATTTCAAGTTTCTTTTTTATTTCATTCGCTTAAAGTATATTCTTGTACCCGAATATTTGACGTTCTAGATTAAATTAATCGACATGATTTTTCTGTACGGAAATGATTTATTCTACAAAGAGTACTTTTATCTCTTTACATTTAGCGATTTTTGTACAATCCAATGTTGTCCTTGGGAGTAGGGTTCCCTCTGGGTTTATAATAAAACTCCAGTGATTGGATTGTGCTTAAAAATTTATTTTGTTCAATACCTTATAGTAGGGGAGCCCAAGAGGGGATTTTCTGTAGTTACTCGAGCGCGGCAGATTAACATAAAAGAGGTTACCTTGCACTCTATTGAGTACTTTCACCATAATATAAGTCTTCTATATAAAGGGGCGCGTCTAGGGAAGCCGATTAAAATATTTAAAAAATGTTTTGATAAGGTAGAAATACTTGAAACCGTCAGATTAAGGTGTGGTAGGCTAGTCGCATCCTGAAAAGTGTCCAATTTAATAATCTGCCGATTTGCACAAGCCTAAGAGGCAAAAATTATCATAAACTTTATAGTCGATTTTTACCTTATCAAAACATTTTTTTAATATTTTAATCGGCTTCCCTAGACGCGCCCCTTTATATAGAAGACTTATATTGTGGTGAAAGTACTCAATAGAGTGCAAGGTAACCTCCTTTATGTTAATCTGCCGCGCTCGAGTAACTACAGAAAATCCACTCTTGGGCTCCCCCTACTATTATATACATATCATCTTAACCAAACGATAGCGCGTTTTAGATGACCCCCAATGCCATCTATTAAAAATATATGTACAAACATTTAAACATTTAAATTTTGAATACAATGGAACGCGCTTTTATACTATGCCAGTCCTAACTTATCGTATAGAAACTTATACAATTTTCGTGAAAGATTTACATCTTTCCCGAAAAGTTACTCATCGTCACTAACCTGTATAATTAAAATTAAATGTTATTCTCTGATTGGATACGACTAAAAATATATTTGTTTTACATAGTTATAATGGTTTAAATTAGGGGTACAAAAATTAAAAATTGAGAAATTCAGAAAAACTAAATTTACCTTTTTTCAGTTGTTTTTACAATTTTTTGTTTAATTTAATATGTGCAATTCCCCAGGTAGTGAAGCCACACGTACCGAAGGCAACTGGCAACGTGGTCGCGGCGCCGGGCGCGGGCGGTGCCGACATTGGCGCGCTGACCTTGCTTCATAGAAAATTCATTTTACATTGACATAAAACATAGTAACAATGGTTAAAATATCCCATGTCATGGCCAACAGCTAACATTTCTGTATAAAAAAGACATGGCCAATATGCACATACTCCCAGTATACTTGTATTTTTGCATCAATAAATTCTTATTATTATTAAATTGTCATTAATATTCAGTCAAAGTTTTACAAATAGTAAATATTTTTAAAACATTTCACACAGTGAAAATATTTGTAGGAAGTAATTTTCTAAAATTATGCAGAAATATTACATCTGTCGGAATTCATACATATATCCTTTACATATAAATATGTTTCATATTCAATGTATACGCCGTAGAAGCAACTCGGTAGTAACTTGTTGGCCATGTCTTTTAACATGAAATATCACGCAATGTGATATAATGATGTCGTAGACAGTGCTGTCTCGCGCGTAAAGCTGTCATGTCGCCACCGTTTAGGGTCCACATATCAACCTGTATATATCTACGTATATACGTACTATATACGATACACACACACTTGTCCAAACATATATGATGTATAATTCTAATTTTTCATTTATATCAATTGAACAAAACCATAGAGCTCAAAATCATTACATTAAATTTTATATTGTAGTGTTGGCGTGGCCTACGGAATAAAATAATTGCCTGAAACTTTATAAAACTAGGACAAAAATATAAATAATATCATAGAGAATAATATATGTTGTATGTCTCTGTTCCATAGAAATTTTCGATCAGATATTAAATTAATATTATTTACTTTACAAAATCTTTGGGCAAGTGTGTGGATATAAACTTGACTTCCAAATGTTAGACGTAAGTCGCTATTCCTTTATAAAATATTATGGACACGAGAACTCATGAAGCAAGCACTCTCGACAGACCCCTCATAGTCGAACACACGCTCCTAAGCTGTCTAGTCGGTATCGCAGATTTTAATTCAAAAATACTATATTTTTTAATATTTATACTTTTTTAAACCACATACAACCCACCGAAGTAACATAGTGCCATAAATCGAACAATTTCTATCGATTTTTTCATAAACTGTACAGTTTGCAATGAAACTATCCAGAGTGCTTGCTACCGATACAACTTATTTATACTTTCATACTAAAATATTGTTGACTTTTCTTAAGACATTTTCTACCAATGTTGACTGCACCGCAGCGCCGCGCGGCCGGGACCGGCACCGGGACCGGGACCGGCACCGGGACCGGGACCGGCACCGGGACCGGGACCGGCACCGGGACCGGGACCTAGTGAAATTATGACGTCTTGACGGAAAATAATTTAAATTTGACACGCTGGCCTCGTATGTATATTATTTATCGCTAGCAATGGCAACGCTGGACCGGTTTTGACTTTTGATGTTAAAAATTGCCTCTTCTTCATACATATATCAAATAATGTTAAATATTCGTAATTTTTTAAATATTGTATTTGCTGTATTTTAACTAAACTCATATTCCTTTCATATACTTGTATGTAATTTATCTAATAAAGTAACATGAGCCACGCACTACACTACCGACTCTAATATTTGCTGTGACACTATGAAATTGCTCTCTTAAAAGAAATTTGTTGAAAATGTTTTACTTTTTATTATTCACGTTTATTCTATCAATGTGCCAGAATCATGTGGACGAATGTTCAGAGAGACTAATTGATACAGTGTCGCAGTTAATGTCGGCTGTGGAGAGTGGGGTCAAGAGTATAATCGAATAATTATTAATTCGAATCGAATAAGAATTAACTAAAACTGACAAATTTATTTCATAAGGTTGACGAAATCTCAATCTTCATTATAAAATCCATTATTTTTAAAAACCAGTGTCTTTGAACTCGTCATATTTATAATATCAATAAGGCACAATTCTCCCCACTCGCCGTACTCTCCACAGCAAGTGTAATACGCATTATATTATTATGTAACTTAATATTTAATATGTATTATTTATAGCAGGAACTTTATTCATACGCAGGTGATTGAGGATCGAGTCACGTTTGGTTTTGTTCGTCGTTTTGAGAAGACTGAAAGGTTAAGATTAAATGATAGGATGTAAAGTAAATGTAGTAGGATAAAGGTGAAGCGGTCGGCACTGTACAGTGTAGACCAATTCCATGCTAAGTTTGGTGTTGGACGAACAAGCCATGTGGAATTTACAACTAATATCATTTCGACGAGTATCAATTAGTATATAGTAACCAATTATAAGGAAAGAAGTAACGAGATTAACTGAATTTTTATATATTATCTAATTAAATGATATAGCACCTTTTATAAGGAGAGAAAAAGTAATAGATTTTGAACAATCTATATGAAATACCATTAAACATTTGTGTAAATATAAGTAATTTTGAAGAACATTCACAAGTAAATTGTACTCTGACAAATTATGCCTTATGTTTTTTCTAATAAAGCTATTATAATTTTATCAGGCAGGAAGAGCACGCACAGAAAGTGGTCCTTTCATCCATTGTTTGTATTATGGTGGAAAATGGAAATGAACTTGATTGATACTTGTCCATGACTGGCTGCTATGAAATGGTCGCTGTGTCGCGATGAATTGTTAATTATTAAAGCAATGGGAGAGCTTATGGATAACGTTCCTGCGACATTATGATAAATGATCAAAAGAATCAATGCAACTTATTTAGCCAAATATATCGCTGTATATTAACCATTACGGTAGTCTGTAGGACTAGACTACGATGTAAATATACGCTATAGTGTCGCTATTAATGTCAATGCAATATTACTGTTAGAGTTCAAGTAGTGCAGACCGGCCGCGGCCGGGGCTCCCGCGGCCGGGGCCCCCGCGGCTGGGGCCCCCGGGGCCGGGGCTGCGTGCAGCGACTGCCATCGCGTTGAATTCATTTACAGGTGCCTTAAAATTTCACTCGTTCTGTTCACACTACAATATGATATCAAAAGTTGTGTTTTATCTATATTTAATTACATTTAACCGAAGAGACATGGCGGTCGTGACGCAGTCCGCGACCGCGTCCGGGATTATTATTTAACGTCTAAGCGTACTTAGCTGTAAAGCATTCTACGTAGCACGTCTCAACGAAAAAGTGTTCAAGAGGTGCTACATAATATACGAATACCTTAGATTATATTCCGACGGCTGCTTGTTCGACCCGCGGGACTTCGGGGCCTCCCGCCTCAGGGCCTCGGGGCCTCGGGAGTTCTGCTTGAATGATTCGTTTCATATGTTCGTGATTAGTGATCAGAAAGTTCCTAACACTCAATAGTTACTAGATGCCATTTTTTATTTAAGGTTTAATCTAACGGCTGAATATTTTGTGTTCTTTCGTTTAATATAGATTTTACTTATGTTCGAAGTTTTATTTAGGATTATGAATGATGAGTAAAGGCGTAGCATATAGCGTTAGTTTGACAAATTTAAGCATTTATCGATTTATTTCTGCAACGGGTGTCGAACAAAGGTATATTTACCCCGAAACCAGAATATCATTCATCATGTGATCGAAAGTTAGTGCGCGATAGTTACAAAGTGTAAAGAAATTACCGCATTTATAAGATTGGTTAATGGTTAGTGTAAAAATTAAGTTTGTTTATAAATTGATTTATATCATCGCTTTTACATTGTGTAATTTAAATTGTAAATTTTACATAATAATATTGTTGTTGTTAAAATAAAACAAAGATATAAGTTGTTGTTTTATTTCTATTATCTCGTACATATTCTGTACTATGAATAAGTATAAAAATCATAATAGTAATTCATAATTGCAGTTTACTGATGAAATTCTCATATTATTATATACCTAAATGCATTATTCACCCTTGGCTTTCTATTTAAAATAAATCATGAGCATAGCATATGACACATTATTATCTACATCAGTTTGCTTAAAATTATATTTTTTGTCTATTCCGAGTAATAGGTAGGTCTGTTATTTCATTTGGATTTTGGACCGGATAGAGTTTGACAAGAAAAAACGGGTTTCAATTATGCAATTATATTTAAAAAAAATCATTTCTTACAAATACTATTGTTTTATGAATAATGTACATAAAAAAATATATATTTATTTTAATGGTTGATAAAACTTTTTGTTACCATTCTGTTTACAATAACATCAAGGACATCAACATCATTTTTTAAATTTTTTATCTTATATACACTTTTAATGTCATTTAAATTACTAAAAGTAGTTAAATCACTAACAGGACAGCATTCTCCCTCGATTTGCTCTATTATTTCTTCACTATATTTCTCATCTATATTTTCTATTAAAAAGCAAATTAAAATGTTATTATCTTTCTCAATTCCAAATTTGCTTAAACTTTGCGAAATATTTTTAGTAAGTGATAAATTGTATAATATTTCTGAATAAACAGTCTTTGTCACCATAGTATGTGCTCTTTCAGATACAACTGCTCGGTTAGCAGCAACTACAACTTGAAAAACGTCCAATATTAAAGTTGGTTTTATCACTGCACATTTCCAGATACCCTTCACAATATTACTTCTAATGGTTCCGATATTTTTAACATTTTTAAATAGATATATTTTTGCAATTGTTTTCGTTTCAGGATCGAGAGGGCATGTGTAGTAGTATTCCGAAGACATTGTAATTTTTATGGTTATAGAGATAGATAGATATTAAAGATTTATTCTATATACATATGAAAATAATAATCATTTATGTGTTTGCACTATACTTTTTGCGTAAAATGTGATATTGTTTTTAAGTTTTACCAAAATTTACATTTGGTGATAACATAACACATGATGGCAGTTGACATTTGTGATTTGTCAATTCTCAATTGTCATTTAATATATTATCTATTAATCAATTCATAGATAAATAAAATTAACAATTTATGTACATTGACACTTGCAATGTTATAAAATCGCAACACATACATTTATAAAATAATAAATATTTACCGATAGTATTTAAAAGCATAACTAATAGTAAATATAGTAACATATTACATAGGTTCAAATAAATTGCATTTTTGCCGTAACTTTACTTTTTTTATAATAAAATATTTTTTTATTGTCAATATCCATAAAGTTTATAGTAGAGATCAGACTCAGTGTAATTATAAACCCTATTACTTGAATCTAATGAAACTAAATCGCGTAAACACGTGTTGTAAACAATTGACATATGACAATTTTGAACTTAGTTTAAATTATTAATTATCTAAACAATTTATTTTGTTGACTGAATTGTGGTATTAAGTAGTGATTTCTAGAATTTAAAGTTACCTACTAACTACTTTCAATTGTTTTTGAGTATTTTATCAATTTCAAAATAAACACGTAATCATTTTAAAGAAAAGTTATTTTTTAAAAACAAACAATACTAGTTACTACATCTTCAACATTGAAACTGTTATCAATTTAGATAAGATAATTATTTATAAGAAACGTTCTATTTATCGAAGTAATTTTTAGGTATTAATTTTTCTTCACCTACATTATAACATCGGCTTTACGGCCACTCACAAATAGCAGCTATGTGGATTCAAAAAGTAAGTTCGTTGCAATCACTCCGAAAGCTTCAAGCTCTAAGATGTTTATCAACCCGAACACAAGAAGTGGAAAATTTGGGACCAATTGTATTTCATAAGTTAGGAGGAGAGGACAAAGGTATTGCAATATATGGAATAAACAGTCCAAAAGAACGAAATTCCCTCGGCTTTGACTTACTTAAAGCCATGAAGGAGGTAAATCAGTTAATCAGGGAGGACACGAAAATCTCAGTAGTTGTGTTGCACAGTTTGGTTCGTGGCATATTTTGTGCTGGTAAGTTACTACAGCATATGTAATAAGATGTGAAGAATGAAAGTGTGAAGAGTAATATCTGATTTTACATTTATTATATCTGGGTTACAAAGTAAATTGTTTCTAGGTGCCAACTTAAAAGAAAGATTAAAAATGAATGATGATGAAGTAGCAAATTTTGTCAGAGGTTTAAGGAATACATTTATTGAAATTGAAGATTTACCGATGCCAACAATAGCTGCTATAGAAGGTGTAGCGGTGGGAGGCGGGTTAGAGCTAGCCTTAGCATGTGATATAAGGGTGGCTGCTGATACTGCCAAATTAGGCCTTGTGGAGACTGGACGAGGCCTCATACCCGGCGCAGGTGGCACTCAGAGATTACCAAGAGTAATACATCCTAACATAGCTAAGGAACTTATTTTCACTTCTAGAATTTTTAGTGGCCAGGAAGCCAAGGAACTTGGTAGGTTTAATTTTCAATTCCTTACTAAAACATGCAGTACTTAGATGAATTTTCATTAAGTATAATATATATATAGAATAGGTACATCAAATTTGTATTTATTTAACGTTTTACATATTTTAAAAAATACATTACTTCATTTCAGGTGTGGTCAACCATGTAGTTCCTCAAAACAGTACAAACAATGCAGCCTATGATAAAGCTTTGGATATAGCTCGAGAGATCATCTCCAATGCCCCTATAGCCCTCAGGTGTGCCAAGCAGGCTATTAATGAAGGGGTTCAGCTCAGTATCAAAGACGGTTATGAAGTTGAACAGAAATGCTATGAAATGAATATTCCAACAAAAGACAGACAAGAGGGAATGATCTCTTTCATTGAGAAAAGAAAACCTCAGTATAAAGGACATTGATTGATGCATTTATGTATATCAAGACTAAATAAATTATATTTTTAAGTACAAGTGATAATAATTGTTATTGTTGTATGCGGTTGAACCGCTGTATTTTTTGTAATTTTTTTAATGTTATTTCTGTACACAATATAATTGACAATATCTATTTTTTTTTTGTTCTTTTATTAATCAGTGAACAGCCGCACCTTATAAAATCTATTATATAGAATCTTATGTACTTTATTTCTTAAGATTAATATTTTTAAACTGAATATATATAAACATATTATCCACAGTTAGACAAGATAAGATGTTGTATTTTGACTCCATGTTTGCAGAGTACTTATCACAGATGATAACATGAAACAAAAGATCAATAAATGATGTAACATTGACAACATTAAAATAAATTATTTTTATTATTTTGGAACATATACAATATATATGTATATTTTAATTTTAAAGTATAAATAATTATATTAAGTATTTATTCAATAGTAAGACACTGTTTTAATTGCTCTTTGGTATCCTCGGGGGATGTAACTTTGTGACCTATTGTCCGAGGATCATTATATATTTCATAGTCATTACCACCAGGTATTGTTTTATCTCCAAAAAAGTGAATCTCACTGAAATTTTCATTTTCAACATGTTGAAGACAATAAGTTTTGTCCCAGCCAGTGGGAAATATATCTACACTGATTTGTCCACCTAAAGCAAAAGTTAATTTTGAATTTACAAATTCTTTTTGAAGAGCCTCTACAAATTTTGCTCTAATTTTGTGTTCGATGTCATATTTAGAGAATTCATCCCTTTCCGCTTGACTACAGGAGCGGCCGACGGGGCAAACATTTATCATACTCGATCGAAATTCTACGAAATTTCCCCTCTTTGCCGGGAGTTGTAATTTCGACATGTAACCCAACGCGAAGTTGATAACTTTTTGCAAAGTTTCTTCACCGATATATTTTAATATACTTTGTGTGCTTTTCAATTCCCCCTGCCTATATTGCACCACTCCATTTTCACAGAACACGTAGTCAAACTGATTCGTCACCTCCTCACCGCTCATTTGCTCCACAATTTTCACGTAATCCGATCCACTTACGAGCCCTATCGAAACTTTACTCTTAACTTTTTCCAATAGAAAACTTTTAAGTTCCTCCGATATAATCTGGCGGGGCTTCGTCAGCGTACCGTCCACGTCGAACAAATATAAAATGTTTTTACGAGCCATTGTTAATAAATGCGACGAAATGAATTTAAATTTTGGTGCCAAAGCAGTAATTGTCAATAAGTGGGGCACCGGTCCGCGCCCTCCACACCGCACAGTGCCAACTTGAGAGAGTCCAACACTCGAGCCGTGACACGTCGCCTGTCAGATTGGCAGCCTCAGTGGACAGTGCGAGTGCGTGTTGACATGGCGCAGGCGGGAGCCCCGGTCGCCGTTATCGCTTTACTGTGTATCATTTCCACAGAAACCGTACTATCTAACAAAGCGCGAAATGTCTTGATATTGTTAGGTAAGTCGTGCAACATTTATTGTCCATGAATTATTTAATTACATACTTTGTACCGTTATTATTGTTTAATGTTTCGTGAGTCGTGACAACTAAGTCTTGACAGCTATAAGTTTAAGTACAGTCGGGCGAAGAAAGCTTCGATGTTATGGTTTATAAAGAATCCTATTATTTTATACAACTATGAACAAAGAACATTGAACATTATTTTATACAACTAACTCCAAGTCCAAAGTTATTATCGTATGGTCGTTAATTAGTATTTAAAATAATAAAATCTATGTTTGTAAGAACTATGAAAATGGAAAATAATTACAAATGTACAACATTACGTCTAAAGTAATAATAATTATTACAATTATTGTATTCAGCCCTTTTTAGCGTCCCACTGCTGGGCACGGGCCTCCCTTTAATACGAGGGGGATTAGGCCATAGTCCACCACGCTGGCCAAGTGCAGGTTGGCGGACTTCACATGCCTTTCGAAAACTTGCTAGGTTCTCTCAGACATGCAGGTTTCCTCACGATGTTTTCCTTCGCCGTAAGGCAAGGGGTAATCAAGTTAGAAATGATTCGCACATGAAAATATCAGAGGTGCGAAAGTACCCGGGATTTGAACCCACTTCACTCGGATTCCCAAACGAGCGCGTTACCACTGGGCTACCACTGCCTTGAAAATAATAATTAATAAATTACTTTTGATCAGCGGATGATGGAGGCTTTGAGCTCGGCGCGTACAGAAACAAAATCTGCCAAACTCCAAACATAGATGCTTTGGCACGACGTAGCATACTTTTCAACAATGCATTCTCCTCCGTAAGCAGTTGTTCACCAAGGTATGAAACCACAAATATATTTGTACTATAGGGGTGATATACGTTTGATTAAATTTACACTTTTTAAATATTTTTAGTTAGAGTTTTTAGTAGAAATATTTTATAATAACTTTTCAGCCGAGCAGCCCTGCTCACCGGCACGCCGAGCCATCAGAACGGCATGTATGGGCTTCATCACGGAGTGCACCACTTTAATTCATTTGATAATGTCACCAGTTTGCCGAATTTGTTGCGAGAAAATGGAATATATTCTGGTGAGATATTTTTATCACTTGATATTTATAAGTCCAAATACATTTTTGAAATTTTATATTTGTTATTATTTTCTAATGCATCCAGGAATAATCGGCAAAAAACATGTTGGTCCAAGCAGTGTGTACAAATTTGACTATGAACAGACAGAGGAGAACAACCACATAAACCAAGTCGGGCGCAACATAACACATATGAAACTTTTGGCCAGAGAGTTTCTAAAAGAAGCAAATGAACAAAAAAAGTACTTTTTTACATATTTTCTTACAAAATTCTGTAAATTATGATAATATCCTCATCATTCATATTTTATTATGACTATTTTAGGCCTTTCTTTTTATACATTGGCTTCCACGATCCGCATCGTTGCGGACATAGTGAGCCTCAATTTGGACCTTTTTGTGAACGTTTTGGTTCCGGAGAACCTGGCACAGGCCATATCCCTGACTGGACACCCTGGTACTATCAATGGGATGAGGTAGAACTTCCTTACAATGTACAGGTAATTCACATTTCAATTACATTATTTATTATCCTTTAAAAGACTCTGAAATCGCACGTGTAACATTATTTCTATTATATACTATCATTTTTTAAGGATACCGAGCCAGCGCGCAGAGATATTGCAGCGCAATATACAACAATGTCAAGACTAGATCAAGGCAGGTGTCTTTATTTTGTAAAACTTATCAGTATCCTAACCTAAATATAATAATAATATCATAATTATTTATACATAATTAACAATTCTCCATTTTAGGTGTAGCACTTATTCTGAAAGAATTAGAAGCCGCAGGGCACAAAGACGATACCCTCATCATGTATACGTCTGATAATGGTATACCATTCCCATCAGGACGCACTAATTTCTATGACTCGGGCCTTCGCGAGCCCTTAATGATATCCTCGCCGGAACCTTCCGCCAGGAAGAATGCAGCATCTGGTGCTTTGGTCAGCTTACTTGACATTATGCCCACTGTGCTTGACTGGTATGGAATTATTAGAGAACAAGACATGAATAATGAAATATGGAGCAACGATCGTCCTAAAAGCTTATTACCTATATTAGAGAAAGGTAACATTTTTTTTGGAAATGTTTTAATTCACTGACTTATACAAGATAGGCTATTAATAATGTACATTAAATATTACAGAACCGCCATATTCTGACGACGAAGCTGTTTTCGCGTCTCAGACGCACCATGAGATTACTATGTACTATCCAATGCGGGCAGTGCGCACGCGCCGATACAAACTTATACATAATCTTAACTACGGCATGCCTTTCCCTATTGACCAAGATCTTTACGTATCACCTACGTTTCAGGTAACGTGAAAACTTGTTATATCTTCTGTACAGTGATATAAGCCAAATAAAAGAAAAAGTATATTGATGTAAACAGATTGATGATATGATGATTTTTTGTAGGATATTTTAAATAGAACTCGCAGCAAGCAACCGCTGCCGTGGTATAAGACGCTTAAACAGTACTATTACCGCCCACAGTGGGAATTTTATGACATACGGAGCGATCCCGAGGAATTGAAAAATTTGCACGGTAAATATTGACTTTTTATCTTTATTGCTCTTGCTTCATTAGTCGTTTTATTTTTCTGGCTTTTATTTTAAAGATTAAGTTAAAAAAATAAAAAATGTTGATAAAAATATTTATACTGTAGTCCAAATCAAATCAAATCTGTCCCTAGGAGAAATTTACTACGTTGTCTGGTATAGTCTAGAGCGATATAGCAAGATCTATTATTTTTTTCTGTAAACCTTTTTATATACCTAGTATTTTTATCATTTTGTAATCTATAACACCTCCAGGTAAATTTCTAAGAAATTAATTAAAAATCTAAGAAATCTGTTGTTACTTACACGCCGGCGTGTCCGCGGTCGTGGAGGGATTAATATCAATTTCTTTTTACTAACATCCGGTAAAATGTTCATTCTAGCAGATTAAAATATGTACATACTTAATAGTTACATAATCATTCAGTATATGTTAATTAATCCACGACCACGGACACGCCGGCGTTACAGTTAACAATATTTTTTTAGAAATTTAATTAATTAATCTTAGAAATTTACCTGAAGGTGTTAAAAATGCAATTTAAAAAAATATACAAAAATAAAAAAATCTGACTGCGTAAAAAGCAAACTAAAAGGATGAGAACAGTTTCACAAACGATCATAATATTATGCAGTCGGAGACATACGAGTTTATATACGAGCATACATATATACAGATCAAACACATAACCCTCCTTCGGGCTTCACCGCTGTCAAGTAAAAAAAAATGTATTTTTCACGGCGACTGTACTATTGGGTTATGGATATTGAGTGGCCGGCGCTCGTACAATGTGCAGGCAAGCCGTCGCTGCAGCAAGTAGAGGCGGCGCTGCGCTCGCGCTTGCTGGAGTGGCAGCGCGGCTCCGGCGACCCCTGGCTGTGCTCGCCCGACGCCGTGCTGCAGGGGGACCGCGCCAGCGCCGTGTGCCGCTCGCTCGACAACGGCCTCTCGCACTACCACCCGCGGTAGACGCCAGCAGTCACCCACCACACCGGCCCGTGTCAGATATAGACACTGACGTTCCTTTCATCTTCAAGCCATCTTACATAAGTCCTTCTAAAGTGGCATCATAGAACTGCTCGAGTAATTGTCCCGCACAATATTGGAGCTGTCTGTTTGTTTCAACAGCCTCCGTCATCTGATTTTTATTCAACTCTTTAAAAATGTCTGTAGTTAGCTGATTCTTTAAATATGCAAATATTTCATAAAAAAATTGACTTCAAATAATGAAATTTGAATAATGTTTTATCTCAACCGTGAAAATAGACAACCTTGTGCAACAATACTCGGCACGTATATATGCGTTTACAGTTCAATGTTCACGTTAATACTATAGTCGCAAGTGGCATAAGAAATGAAACAAAATTATGGCAATTACAATTTCATTATTTATTTATTGCATAACACGGGCGGGTCTCATGGCTGACGAGTAAAGACGGCCGCTCGGCGCTCAGCCGCTGCCCGTTATCACACTGTCAAGCACCATGCTTTATAATTCGTAATGCGGAGCTTACACTTTCACATACATATATTTGATAACGTGGCTGTGACTTTTCGCGTATCACAAATTATTTATTAAATTTAAAATATAGAGCGTAAAATCAAATGCTCATTTACGATCAAAATATGTAAGTACTTAAATATTATATAATTGTAGACCAGCGAGTGTCATGTGAAAATATTTTATTTCGAAATTCAAATAAAGAAGAATTTTATTGTAATATAGATCTATATAATAAATATATTTGGTGTTAGATCTGAGAAATATAGGTACTAATAAATGAAGTTTTTATATTCTTAAAGGGAACACGTGTGTGATTGAAATATTTATTATTTATAAAGTCGTCATTTTTCTGTTTAAGATATACTTTGACGTCACGCCAAGCGCGCGAAATGGCGGGCGTTTAAAATACCCGTATCGATCTACGAATCAGACTAATTATTTATTCTTAGGTATAGATATATTTTTTTATACTATATTTTAGTTTATTGGAGCTGGACATTTTTTTATAATTATATAACGTAATATAGGTATATTACAATCAATCTCAAGTACCTACTGTGCATTTAGAATTAGATATTTCATTGCATTTATTACAAGTTGGTCTGTTAAGAAAAAAAAACGAATATTAACTATTTAATTACTAAATGATTTAATGAATGTACAAAAATGAAATAATAAGAATACTCAAGTTATATTTTAAATTGTAAAACGTGTTACTAAACAATGCTCACTAAAAGTATGATAAAGTTAGGGTAGAGCGATACAAACAATCACTGTTCACTGTTATCTTTTATTGTAAAGAATTTTAAAAATTATAAGAGAATATGTTAATTGAATCTTGCCCTAAATTATAATTAATACTAGCGGCTCACCCTCGCTTCGCTCGGGTTCGTCGCTAGGTACGTTTTAAATAGATATAAAAAGAAAAAATCTTTCTTTCTCACATTTTAATTATATGTTTTAATACTTACCTATTCCGGACTAAGAGAAATCCAAAAATTAAAATATCATAAAAATTGGAACGCGGTCGAACGGGATAAAAAGTATCCTATGTCCTTCTCCTGGCTCTAAACTACCTCCCTGCCAATTTTCAGCTAAATCGGTTCAGCCGTTCTTGAGTTATAAGCGAAGTAACTAACACGACTTTCTTTTATATATATAGATTATTGAAAATAAAATACCTAAAGAAAACACTCGATGTTTTTTTAATACTTTATTTCCATCAAGATTACATTTAAATACACAAATGTATTCTACACACATGGAAATGACAGGAGTCAAGAATTAAGGTTTACAAAATATGTACTTAAAAGACCAAAATAAAGACACCTATCACAAATAGGCAAATAATAACGAAATAGTAGATATATAATCAGTCTTTAAAATAAAGCTAATGTGTTAATACATCACGCAGTGGCCTTTGGCTTCCGTCCCTCCCTCCTCCTCCCGTACCCTGTCCATATACTCGTAACTTATAACCTTAAATGTATCTTTGATACAAATTATAATAATAATATTGTAGTATTATTAATAATTGAACAGATTGATTTATTATTTAATACCACAAATGATTAAAATTTAAAATATTGCCATTAACAAAATAAAATACTTTGGTAAAAAAAATTGTAAAGGTAATTCTTAAAACTATGATATAAATAACTCCCCCTATATGACTCTTTCCTTAAAATTTATATTAAGTCTTTACCTATGAAATTGCCGTTTAATATACAGAAAGTTACAGTATTTTTTTTCTTAATATTTTTTATTTCTATCAATCAAAATATGCATACCTTCCATGCATCTCTGCCAGAGCAGTGGTAACTGGTAATTTTTCAATGGCCTTTTTGGAGAAGCTAACTGTGCGTTTGTTTGTAGTTTTCACTTCGTAGACGTCAACGTCATTAATATTGCAAGCCGTTTGTGCGGCATTGCTGTACCGCGACGGAACTCTTTATACCTACTCGTATTTTTATTGTGGCCATAATTCATATTGATGAAAAAGATACAAATGTAGTGAAGACAAAACTCTAATCAATAAACAAATGAATAAAATAATATAATGAATGAATAAAATAGAATTTCACACATTTAAAACTAAATTCATTTGAATTTAGAATTTATTGCCGGCCATTCATAAATTACGTTTCAAATGACACCTAGTATTGTAAAACGGCAACTTCGTAGGTAGGTAAAGAAAGACCTATTATTTGAGTCTTCAAACAGTTTTTGAATAGAATATTATAAAAAGCTGATTAAAGTTACACAGATGATTAAAGGTCAATACAGTGTGATACGACATCAATATGAAGATGATACAAATGTTGAGGGAATTACTTAGGTATTTCTCTTCACACCATAAACCTCACGTAACTTTGCCAAAGCTATGGACATGTTACTATCGAGTTCAAACAATCTATTGAGCCTTCTGTTTATATCCTCGGTCTGAAAATTGAAAAATACATTTTATGAAAAAATGAGTAGGTTATACCTACATTCGATTGACGATGTGAGCTATTGGCATTTGTTGTTAGTATTACGAGTGTTTTCATGTTTACTTACTATTTCAGCCAAGCGGTCAAGTTCCTGACCCCTTATAATCATGGACTTGATGTATACATAAAGATATCCATAAAGTGCCACTGAGAACATTATTAGCAAACAAATTTTAATAGTCTCCGATTTTGACCATTTCCCATTCAATTCATCATCATCCGTTTCCTGAAAATAGACAATATAATTTTAAATTTCCAGCAATGTCCTCTTAACTTATACAATAAATAATATAACAATAAAACGGTGATATCCTACCATTTCATTATAAATTACTAGTGATTTGCCCTCGCTTCGCTCGGGTGCGTCACTACGTACCTATGCGTTATTCCAGGTACCTAATTATGTACAACAAGTAAATGTGAATTTTATCCAAATCTGTCCAGCCGTTTAGGCTTAAAGGAGTAACAAACATACACACACATAATTTTTACAAATAATATTACTCCAATAGTCAGATTATGTTGAACTTACCTAAAAGTACGCATTCTTAAATGAATTTTTAATGGCCGTTTATTTAATACCTAATACTTATGATTGATTTTATTAATCGAATACTTACGGGTTTTATGGCGATCAATGGGACTTCCTCCGATTTCAACGACATATTGATGGTTTGTTTGTTTACCAACAAACTTATTATTTTAGTTAACAAGATGCTCTTGCCTCGCCTTTAGAACGCAGCTAAGACCTTCGCCCTCCGCCTTACTGCGGTATATTGATTTTAATTTACGAATAGGTATAGAATATTGGGATGTCGGGATATTGATTAAAGTGTAAGGGCGGGGACTAGGTCCGAGGGTAGGGGTGGGTCAGGACGCAAGCGCAACAGGCTTGCATCACATCATGCAACTAGCATAGTGCATTATATATTATATTTTTTAAGAAAAAGAACATCAATATACAGTTGCTATTATAAAGATTATAATTACTTAAAATATTTTTGCATCTTATTAGGAGTCAAATGCATTATGATTTTTACTCATGATTTCTGTTACGTTTCATTCAACGTAAAAACTAATTAAATATCTACATTTTGACATTTGACTGTCGCAACTGACGTTTATGTAATATCAATTGACAATTGACATTTCTAGACTTAAAAGTTAAAGTTAAATGAATTCATTATTTCAAAACATCTTCATTTGAATATTAAACTACGTTCAGAGGTAATTAAATTATGCAAATCATTATGACTATAAGTATAATACTAATTATAGACTGACATATTTTATATAATTCTTAGGTTCCAGAAATTATATCTATCTTAACCACCAGAGGTTATAAAACTAACACCAAAGGACAATTGCTTTTCCCAAATTTCAAATAATTTGTAAAAGAAATGGCCACTAATTTCGTTAAATATTCTCAACTAATAAACTCTTCTACTAAATACGCTACGAGAATGAAGAGGTTGTCAAACCGAATATTTGGTGAAGTAGCAGTTCCTACAAATTCAAAGTCAATGAAAGTGGTTAAAATATTTGAGGCCAGGCCTCTGCACACAAACGAAGAGATCATTCATTATTACCCTCGACATGTGGAAACCCATGCTTTAATGTTAAAGTTACGAGAGTATGGTCTATTCCGGGATGAACACCAAGACTTCAAAGAGGAGATGAAACGTCTTCGTGAATTGCGCGGTAAAGTTAAAGTGTGGAAGAGGACACTAAACCGAGAACAGGAGTCATAATGTTATATTAGTATTATTTTAGAAGTTAATAGATACAAAATATTTAAATAAAATAAAACTTTTCTCAACTGTTGCTTTAATAAACCAAATCTTCTATCACATAGTCATGTAATCTACTAAACACAATTTTTTTTTCCATTATATAAAGTTTTATATGGAATATTACTACTACTGTTTGATCCGGTAAAAAATATAACATAAATAAAAAATATAATAAATGAGACTCCTGGAAGAACTACACTAAACAAAAACATCTTTATAGGAGTTGAATACATTTGCAAATGGTAGTTTTTTTCTTGTAACATGTGCTCCTTCTGTATCGTGTAATGGATATTCTTCATCCAAATATCAACTCTGTGAATGATAATGAATTTATCAGCATATGATCAATTAGTTACAGGAACAGATTCGAGTGGGGGATGCTAGGGTTCTGTTCTAGGGGCCATGATGACGGGTATTATTGATCCTCACCCAAGTATTAAATTGACACAAGAAAGTTTGCTGTAAGACAGCAGAGTTCTCAGATTTTTTTTTATTACTTTTGAAAAATAAATAATAATTATGTTAATTCAGTAATAATACATACTTTTTTTTTCAAAAGTTCAATTTGCATTTTTTTATATCACATTATTAAATTATTTTTCACAAAATCCAATCTTTGACCCCCTCTAAAGTCATCAAAAAAATAAAATATTCAAAAGTATAAGTAATAAATGTGTTTGCTCTAAAATCTTATTAATAGAAAACAAAAGAAACTTTACTTTTGCAATAAAATGATATTGTTGCTAGTATAGTTTAGCATCTCCATGGAGGTGTAAGGGGTGTCGAGCTGCAACAGCGCCAGGTCCACGTCTGGGTACAGGGGGTGTTTGTAGTGCGACAGCGCGTGTCGGGAACAGAGGTCTGGATTATTTGCTGAGGTTGTTGTTTCTGAGGAATTATTCAATATTCATATGACCAGATTACATACTATTACAATGTTATACTATTTATAATACATCCTGTAATTTTTTTAAAACAATATATTTTAGGCCGTTGCTAGTCGTCCGTTATGCGGATGAATAAAAAATGTCTCGACTATTATCGGACGAATTGAGACACCGTAGGCTGTTGCTAGTCTTTGATAATACTCGCGTGCAGATGACCAAAAACCAAATTCTTAGGTTTTACATATTAGTATACTCTTACAATGCTGTTTTTGTGCTTTTGTATTTTTTCTCAGAAATGAGATATTTTCCCGCGGTAAAAAGTATCCTATATGTTGACCCGGATAACCAGCTATCACCATACTAAATTTCATCAAAATCTGTCCAGTGGTTTTCTCGTGATGCGGTATAAATTACAGACAAAAATTCTAAAAACTGTAGATTCGGACTCTGTATCGATAATGTTTATTTCAATTAGATTTACCAAAAAATATTTAATGTACAGATTCGACTCAGAATTTTATTATATGTATAGATTTCAAATTCGATTTTCTTGTTAATGGCTTAAAAACGTGGCAACTGCCAGTTGAGCATAGTTTACCTACTTTATCAATATCGTATAAAAATATTATTTTTCAGCTGGGAAGGTAATTATTGTATTTTAAGGAAGTCTATTTAAACTGACAAATTTTAAGCTATTCAGAATAAAGATGTTCATCTAGAGCCAATCGTCAGTAGTTTTTAGAGGTTTTAATTCTGCAGATATTGGGTTCAGGTTTAGCTTAGTTTTACTTAAATTGTACACACTACAAACCATAGGTACAATTCACGTTGCCTCTCTTTACAATAACGGTCGCGAAGGGATTGCCGGCCAGGCAGGAGTAGTTCATAAGCAGCCAGTCCCTCTGCCAGAGCACGCCCCTGCAGGCGCGCGCGGTACTCGCCAGCACGCACGCGGTCGCTTGGTTACGCACTTGTGTCTTGTAGATATTATCGAATATAGTGTCTGCCTCACTCATGTAGACCAGTGCCCATAAAAAGAGAATCTTAAGCATCACCATTATACTGGCTCAATAGATTGCACTTTTTCTTATATTACTTATCCTCCTTTCGCAGAACTTATGAGTGAATTGATAAACGTCAAGTTTCAACATCTTTATGATTACATAATTTCAGCCAAGCATTTAAATTACAGTATCTCGTTAAAAATATTAAAAAACCGCCCATGTATTTAATATAGAATCTACATTTTTTGTAGATTTTAATTGTAGTAATAATTAAAGTATTAAGCATACATACTTATACAAACAAAATGATTATAGCATTTGTTCGTGTATTGTTCGCAAAAGATTGACCGAATAAAATAGGTCAATATTATATTTTTTTGCTTAATATTTTATGCATTTGCGTACCAAATAAATCCTATACTAATAGAAACTAAGATTTAAGTAAAACGCGGCAAATAGCAATTAGCTGTGTGAAAACTAAGTGACACGTAAAATGTAAAGTGAGTTTGATCCCATAGTGTACTTGAACATATTATTGCATTAGGTAACCTGTTGAGGAAGTGTGATATATTCGTTTTTAGTATATTCAAAAAATTATAATAAGCAGATGAGTCAAATATGACCACATTGTATCTTAGACTACGCTAGTATAAATAAGGGCAGACACAAAATGAAAGATATGAAAAAATAGCCATCATTTATTCGATTACAAAATCTTTCGTCAGGAAATAAATTGCTACATAAAATATTTCAACAAGAAATGCCTCTGTAGGGGCGCGGCCGAGCGCGGGCGGCCGCCAACGATCCTTAACATGAACTCATTAAATTAGTTGCCGGTGCTGCCGCGCCCGCGGGGGGCCTCGGGTGGGGATCAGCCGGGGCCGCGGGGGAGGGGGAGGGGGCTACATCCTCGTATCGAAACATTATTTTACAAAGAGTGACTCCCTCTCCCTCACCCCCGGCCCCGCCCCCGCCCGGGCCGCCCGCCGACTTGCACTCGATCTCAAACAAAGTGATGTAATCCATAAGGTCTTTGGTTTGCGTGCGCGTGCGCAGCGCGCCAGTGTCGAATGGAAATCGAATAACAACATAATGTGAACTCATAGAAAATCCGACGTAATCGTAATAACTGATTTCGTTGTCTTATTTACTTTGTAGAGAACACAGAGGGTCGGTTTTTCTATAAACTCGTACAACAGCAACATATACACTGTGACACAAATCGGTACAACAAATGTGGAAGTGACGAAAGCTTCACCAAAATGAACCAAGCTCTGATCCCGCCTACAGCTACAGAGCCGCGCGGCCGGCGGCGGCGGCTGCGACGGGGAGGCGGCGCCGGAGCGCACCTCAAGCGAAGCGTAGTACAAAACCAGCGTAGTGTATATCATATACTGTTATCGCTACTCTATTATCACATCTCACAAAATGTAAAAAAAAGACTTATGTGACTTTGTATGTATAGTTTGTGTTGATGTCGACTGTCTGGAGTCCTAGCGAGACACCGACGTGGGGCGCGGGGCGGGCGGGGACAGCGGGGCTTATATACATACATTCCGTGAATGTTGCAAAATAAACTACATACCGACAACTGCGAGAGAAATTCGACATTACTTTATTTTGCAAGATACATTCCAAGTGCGTATAAATATAAAACTAACATTAACATTATATATAAATATAAACAATGGCAGTATGTCACGCCATTTTAGAACATCATACTAGACAAGTGGATAAATTATAGTGAAACCAATTAAAATTCATAAATACTGAATTGGATCAGACCAAAGATTTATTACTTCTTTGGTTAATTTGCAACCTTGAGGGATATAAATGGATCTTGTATAGTGTGATGGACTAAATAAAATTAATTCCCATACGTATCCCCGCCCTCCCCGGCGGGCGCCGCAATAGTTGGCGACTAACCACACTACCCTCTTTTGTTTAGCAATATCTCTTACATAGTAATATTCTATCATTTTCCATTTTAATATAGATATAATTCAATCGTTGCAACATACAAATAAAACGTATCACGTGAGACGCCTCGAAGTCGATCCGTATTCGCTAGGAAGTGCGTGTCCCAGCCGTACATCGTATATTTGCATGTATAAAACGCTCGCCTTATCGGTACATGGATACTAACTATATGACATCGGTTATTTGTGTGAACTTCGGTATGTGGGAGGTGTACTCGTATCGCCCATATAAAATTATATCAAAATACAAGTCGAGTGCTACTGAGTCCCCGAGCCCAGCAGTGGGACAAACCATGTCCGTGGAGCGTGAAGTGACAAGTGGCATATAATGTATCAAACAATAGTCGCCACTACACCAATATATACAATTTTAAAAATATCGTAGTGCTCATATTTTGTGATAATTTTTTTATTAAAAATCATTTATCTTTAAATATTTATTTGTCGAAAACCAAAATGTTTTCAAACTATAATTTTCAATATACAAATAACATGTTCAATAAAAAGCGAAGGTGTCCGACCGGAGCCGCACAGGCGTGAGGGCGACGAAGCATGTACATAGCTGCCTTGGCGCGGCGCGGGCGTGGGCGCGGGCGCGAGTTAGGTGTAGTCGTTGAAGTCGTCGATGGTGAGGCGGCGGCGCGGGTCGGCGGAGGAGTAGGGCGCGGAGTAGGGCGCGGGCGGGCGGGCGCGCGCGCGCAGGCGCTTGATGAGGCGCAGGCGCTCGAGCGAGTTGGAGGCGTAGGGCGCGCCGCCCAGCGCCAGGCTCTGGCTGATGAGGGCGGCGAGGGCGGCGTGCAGCGCCAGCTGGCGCGCCAGCAGCGCCACGTTGGCGTCGCTGACGCAGTACGGCGCGGCGTGCGCCAGGAACTTGCCGCGCAGGCGCTCGTCCTTGCTCTTGAGCGCGACGCGGTTCATGCCGTGCGCTAGCGGCTCCACCACCACGATGCACAGGTTGAACTGACCCTTGATGGTGTGGATGTTGAAGTCGTGCCCCGAGTCGTTGTACACGATGGACACCAGGTCGTTGCCGATGTACTTGCGCTTCTCGTTGCAGTTGGGGTCGCGCGCCGAGCACGGCATCGCCGTCGCCACGTGGAACAGCACCTGCGACAAACATACGAACACCACCGACGTGTTACAACAACACACCAACTTTAAAAAGATCGACCTTTACATTAAGGATAATGAAATATAAAGTCACCTGCATGATGTCATCGTTCCAGACGTACGCGTATCGGCCATCCTTACCACCTTTTTCTAAATTAAGGAACAGGTTGGGCTCCTCCGCGCCCTCCAGCGGCACCAGCGTGCCGAGGAGCCGGAGGAAATCCATATATCTGAAACATGGAAATAAAAATATGTAACAAAACAACTAAACCGAAGAAGTATGTATATACTTAACAGTAATAGACTAGGCAACGCAGTTTGTATTGCACTGAACAGGTTCATGGTCCTACCTTACACTGCCATATTCATTTTTCAATATAGCTACTTCATCGTCCTGCTGTCCCGGACCCACGTATAGAACTCCCACCTTGAATCGAGAATACACACAAACGTCAATTTGACTCTTATATTTCCACATTCAGAACGCTCCATTAAAATATGATTTTTCATTGAAAATGGACATAATTTTTTTATAAGCTGACCGGTGACGCTTTGTGCCTAGAGTTCCGTAAACACGGAACCATCAATATTCGTGTGTTTTTATGTCTGTCTGTCGCACATTATTTCTTTTGAAGCTAGTGGTCGGAATAATTTTAAAATTAACTATGTACATAGAATTGGGTAACATAATAAAGGATGTACGGCGTAAATAAAAAGTGAATTTTGATTTAATTCAAATGTGAGGATAAAATGAGAAGTTTTATTACATGCATCTTGTGGCTTATCAAATGAAAAGAGTTCATTGAGATAAAAATATGAATAAATTGAAAATACGAAATATAATATAAACTTTGAGTTTTTGGGTTTATTTAAATACAAATAAATATATTATAAAAATAAAAAAAAACCTGACTGCATAAAATATATTCCATCGTGAAATTGTTTTCATCTTTTTAGTAAGCTTTTATGTAGTCGGTTTTTTTTTATTTTTATAATATGTATTCTTTAAATCATTATGCATATATACTAAATTGTTATTTAAAATGAAAAATGATGAAAGAGACCTAAAAACGATTTTTAAATACATAAGTCAATCAACGATACCCCACTTGACATAGTTCATCAATTTTCATTTTTTTCCTTTTTACATTATGGAATCTAGCAGCCCCATATTATTTTCTATGTCACCTTTCCAAGAACACTTGGGCTAATGAGACGAATCTAACGATACCTCAACGAAAGAAATCCATCGAGTGACTTGAAAGATATGAGGGAATAAAGAATATTACAAGCAAACATACAAATAGGCGCGAAAAACAAAACCCTTTCCTTGCAGCCGGGTATGAATGGAATGACACGAGGTAGATACGGTGACGGTAGCGTGTGGTGGCGGGTACCTTGTAGGTCTCGACGGGCGGCACGAGGTCGAGGTTCTTGATGGTGCGCTCGTGCTGCGCGCCCGACACCTTCAGCGGCCGCTCTAGCGGCGGGCTGAGGCTGGCCGGCGCCTCGCCTGCGCACACATACAGTTATAAATATGCAGACATATTTGAAAACAAATTAGGAAAAATAGTAATCTTTGCAGATAGCAGCGGCAAAAATATCATATAATTTATATCATTTGCTAGATAATAACAACGGTCACTATGGGCAAATGTGATGGTTTTTTCTGACGCGACCTTGAAATTTTACTCTCATGCGCGCAAAGAAATTTCAGTTCAGAAATAAACATATAAATGAAACCTTATATGTAACTAGCAGCTAACTCTCGCTTCGCTCGGGTTCGTCGCTAGGTACGTTTTAAATACATATAAATAGTTATTAGCCAGCGTTACCCATATACATTTTAATTTTTTTTCGTTAATTTTTCTGATGTTTTAATATTCCGGACTAAAATCAAATATCATGAAAATTGGTCCAGCCGTTCTTGAGTTATAAATGGTGTAATTAACACGACTTCGTTTTATATATATATATATATATATATATATATATATCAATATATAATCTGAATGTTGGAAACGGCTCCAACGATTTTCATGAAATTTAGCATACAAGAGGTTTCGGGGGCGATAAATCGATCTAGATTAATCTCATGTCTGAGAAAACGCGTGTTTTCGAGTTTTCACGCAGTTTTCTTTTGCATTATTACACGCAAAATATGGTCGGTAATTTTTTGTCGGTAAGTTTTTAGTTTTTAAAAAATAAAAGAAAATTGTACTTTAGGCCAAAAACTACAAGCGAAGCTCGGTAGTCCAGGTACTATTTATAAAAATGAACAATAAAGAGGGTGACGTTTACCGGGCACGGTGGGCGATATGGGGAAGGTGCTCATGTTGTGGTACAGCTGCAGGAACACGAAGGAGGGCGCCACGCCGCCGCCCGCCGCCGCGCCGCCCCCACCACCGCCCACGCCGCCGCCGCCGCCGCCGCCCGCGCTGCTAGCTGCCTGCGTGCGGTTCAGCTCTCTGTAAATTCATTTGACAAAATGAGGTTACTTGTAATTTTATCTAATTACTCATTACTATATAAGTACTAAAATAAATAAACTAGATATAATACTGACTAATTTTCACATTTTCAACTGAACAATAAACAACAGGCATTGTCACCATAAATATGATGTATAGACCTTCAAAATTTAAAGTTATTTATGAAAATACGTGCTCTATGATAGAGGACAAGATCATGTTCGGAAAGGTATTGTAGTTTATGCAAGCGAGCCTGTAACGCCGCATCACAGGATAGGGTTCGACTGTGAGTTGTAGCGAGTAAGTCTCACATTCCCCTGCACGTTGCCGGCAGGGTAAGTTCACCACAGGGTATCCTATCTTGGGGTTCCACATAGAGGATGTATACGTACCGGTGGCGGCGCGTGGGGCTCATGACGGAGATGGTGTTGGAGCGCTTGGAGCGCGCCAGCGGCGGTAGCTCGTCCCCGCCCAGCGTCACGCGGCTGTCGCTGCTCGTCTGCAACCAAACACCAAAGTGTCCTCAAAAAACCTATTCAATTCTTTTGTTACCGGCTTCAAAGGTGCCAGTAGAGTACAGATTACTTCACCTTATATATTATTATGTCATAGTATATCAGTATATGCGAACAAGTGAGATGTATTCACAAACCGCAATGTTAGTATAAAAAACTCTGAGCCTTTTTTCCGCATAGCGTCTTGATATATGTTACAGTCAATACTATTTTGCAGTCAAAACTTTTGATTAGAAAATATTGGTCAATATCACTAATCTAACTTAAAACGGCAATAATATATGCTAATACCAAGGAAATGATTAAAAAGTTAGGTTTGTGATATTGACCAATATCTTCCAGTCAAAAGTAGTTTTAACTGGAAAAGAGTTTTGACTGTAACATACATACAGCATGAAGTCAAATGGGAGCACCCTCACCTTCTGCAGCTGGTGGTGCGCGGCGGCGGCGCCCGCGTCCGCCGGGGGCTCCGCCTCCGCCTCCGGACCCGTCGTTCCTGTAGTAAGTGATATTACTAGGTCTTTTAACACTGAAATCAATTTAGACAATTTGTTATTTATTAGCCGTTACACACAAATGTTAGGTAAATATTATTATGTTAAAAGTGATGTTATTATATTACTTAGGAGTTATATATTGTAAGACGACACAGGACCCAACTTTTTACGTTTTATCAAATCGCTACAGCCTTGAAGAATTTAAAATTATATTTTTAGGATTATTGCTATTATTCGTTTTGTTAAATATGATTATAAAATATTATATGGAAGTACATGCCATCGCCAATGCCTTCGGGAGGTGTAATAAATAATAAGTTAATCGCAAAGCAATAGCACCTGGGTCTGAGTTGTAGGTCATGAGGTGCGGATGCGGGTGTGGGTGTGGGTTTGGCTGGGCCTGGGCGTGGGCGTGGGCGTGGGGCGCGGGCTGCGGCGAGGTGCCGCACATCTCCTCGGGGATGGCCTCGCACGACACGCGCATGTCGCTCTTCTTGTTCGCCTTCTTGGACGCGTGCATCGCCATGGGCGTGCTGCTGCTTCAATAAAAACACACACTTTAGAATTTGCTTATGTATTATTTACTAGATGCGTGTTAACGGTTAGTATGGAATAAATAACTTTGAAAAATAAACCTTTTCTACTGGAACCGCACATTTTTAAGGGTTAAAATGTGTTATTCCAGCCTATGTGTTATTCCAGACTTTAATCTATCTCTGTGCCAAATTTCATCCAGATCCGTTCAGCCATTCTGGCGTGATTGAGTAACAATCCATCCATCCAAACTTTCGCATTTATAATATTAATGGGATTAATATATAATTAATCAATGGGATATTATGTCAGTTAAAGTAGTGTATAGTAATGTTTCTTAGATGATATTAATAATTTTACATTAAAATTTGTTTTGCATTCTAAATTCTTTAAATATATTATTCGTATATAACAGAAGGTTAGGAATTCAGAATGTATAAAGTGTAGTGCTAAGAGGGTGACGAGAGTACGTACGCGGGCTCGACGGCGGGCAGCAGCAGCAGGTCGTCGTCGGCGCGCGCGTCGCCGCCCTTCCACGAGGACGACATCTCCGGCGACGAGTTGGAGCGCCGCACCGGGTGCCGCGACTTGCCCTGCACGCACATCCACAATATTATATTTAGCTTTATATTAAACAGAAAATAGTTTTTCCAATTTTTAACAAGGTAAAATATAACAAAAATACGAAAGAATTATTAAAATATCTGAACAAATGAAAAAGTTATGAATTTTTAAAGTTAGCGTTTGTAAAAATAATCTCGTGACGTCACACGACCTGAACGGCACACATTTAATTTAAAAATAACACTACCAATAAATAAAAAAACAAGTAGTTAAACGTAAAATAATAGGAACAGCTCGAGAGCTCGCGTGCGACTTGTACAACTGAATGATATTTATTGGTGCGGCGATCTCGGCTAGGTACAATGACGTCACACTCGAGCGAGGGACCGCAATCGTTGCGCGTTAAAATACTCAATTAATTTCTCAGTCATATACTGATAGATTTAAAAAAACACTGATTTATTAGTTTGATCTATATTATAATTCCATAGTTTTAAATATGATATTAACAATATCATGAAACTTTGGAGAAGTTGGACCGCGTTTTGAACGACAGTTAAATATATAGGTTTATTTTTCCTTTTTTTGTCCTTTACTGTCAGTTTAATAACACATTATTATTAAGAATAAGATCAATTTTTTAATTTCAAAACCAACATTTTTTCAAAATATAACCAAGAGAATTTTGCAACTCGAATTTCTTTTGATTCGAAGGGTTAATATAGAAATCGAATATTTAATTCAATGTCTGCACGGCACCGACCTCGGGCACGATGAGCAACATGTCGTCGTCGTCGGTGGTGCTGGAGGAGCTCTGGCGCTGCGGCGAGCCCGGGATGTTGATGGGCTGCGTGCAGGCGCGCGCGCGCCCCGCGCCGCCCGCGCCACCGCCCCGCGCCGCGCGCTCCCCGCCCACCACCGAGTCCGAGCTGAGACACAAGCATTATAATATTAATTATGTCTTTCTGACCGATCTACGGCCTCCAATTTCATTCTGACAAGCTCACTGCACAGGAGATATTGTACTGCACAAGTCTGCGCGCAAACACAGCTAGTGATATGAGGCGCAGTATTGTTACTGAGAATTCTTAAGAACAGAAACACTTAATAACTACACTCACCCCGACCCGGAAGTCTGGAGGTTAATGGTGTCTATAAAATTAGCGACTACATTCTTTTATAACAAAATATACTAATTTTATTTAAGACCGTTTTTTTTTAATTTTTGTGCAAATGCACATCGGTCAGCGTCGTGGGTCAGGGGCTAGGAGAGAAGTTGATTTCGCCGTTCGTCCTTGGCTCATACACATTGCCGAGTACACACGAGTACCAGGGCAGCATACATATCGAGCAACGTACATGTTGAAACTCATCGAAGAACGGCCTGCCAGAGTGCACACGAATTTATTACAACATACACTCTTTAGCACTTATGCTCGCCTGGTACTTTTGTCTACAAGTACTAGGGGACCAGGAACCTCAAGGAGTGCATATTATATATGTAGGGCCCCGTCATAAGAGTGCATACGAAATACTCCTTAACACTTACGGTACTTGTGATGACGTCACACGCAGTGCTCTTAGTAAATAATGAAAGGTGTCGTGACGGTCGAAACATTACACTTTTTTCCTTCTAACTCTGATTCACCGAGTATGCCGATTAACGTGCACCAGTAGAGACCATATCAAGTAAATAGTGTTAGAGTGAAAACAGCAAGTGACCTAGATTTGTGCAGGTCGGGCGCGTGCGAGCGCTGCGACGCGGACGCGGAGTGCGACGAGCGCGGCGAGCCCTCGGACGTCTGCAAATAAATAAACATTTTGGGACATAAATACACAGCACAATCTAGTTACATGGTAAGCTACGAGGCTTGTGTTATGGATACCAAATAGTTGATACACTATACATATACCCCTTTAAATACATATACATATATCATAAATACACTCATGACTGAGTACAAACATTCGTGTTCATCACACAAAAATGCTTCTAGCGGGGCTCGAATCCGCGACCGCCGGCACTGCAAGTAAGGTGACTACAAACTAAGCCAAACGTGTATTCCGTGTATTATGGATAAAATGTATTTAATTAAATATCAGTATTTCATAACTCATCAGATATATCTGTACTACTATAATAAAGAGGTAAGCTTTGTATGTAGCGGTTGATCTCTTGAACTACAGAACCGATTCCAAAAAATCTTTCATTAATCCCTCCACGATCGCGGACACGCCGTGTGTCAGTTAACAATAGATTTCTTAGAAATTTAATTAATTTCTTAGAAATTTACCTGAAGCTGTTAACAGAAAGCTACACTATCGCTGGCGCATGTATGCTATACTGTATTTTGATTTAACAGTTTTCAGTTTTAAATTTTAACATTTGCAAATCAAGTCAGAATAAAATGCGCTAAATAGCCGCTCTATCGGTCTGCGCTGGCCAAATGCAGCTATGGCTATGGCTGCTTGTACATATATAAAAATAAAGTTTATAATTAGGGACGAACCTTGCTAGTAATCTATAAAACTACTGAATAATAATTTGGAGAGATTTCGATATTGTAAGATTTAGATATGTGTAATGGGTATCGTTTGAATGAGAAATATAGTGTACGCACGGGGTCGAGGCGGTCGTCGAGGCCGAGGTCGGCCAGCGGCGGCGACAGCAGCGCCAGCACGTCCTGCAGCGGCCACTCCTGCAGCTGCGACGAGCTGATCTGCGCACACCGACACACACACATCTTACTCATTTTACTTTAAACATACATAAACTAATTTAATGCTGTATGAAAATTTCCTTTTCTCGTGTACCATACTGTGTGTCATTTTATATGATTTGTGTTTTTTTATTATTTGCGAGCAATGTGTGTCATATATAAAGAATTTATGACGTAGTATACATACTTAGTATATATAACATACATAATGTATTAGTCTTAGAGTAGGAGTAGTATAAATCAGAGCGTTATCCAGAGCGGTTGCGTTTCTATTGAATCTCCCCGCACCCCACACCTCAATGACACTATTTTTAAAACGGATAATACTATTTTAATAGGCAATATTTGTTATTATTTTTCTAATTAAAATGTGTTATCGGATACAAGCAGTATGCGTTGTGCGTACCCGGTTCTGCAGACGCAGCAGCCAGGACACGTCGCCGGTGGGCGAGCGCACGTGCAGCTCCGCCCAGCGCGCGCACCAGCACGGGCACGCGCCCGCCGCCGCCAGCGCGCCCGCGCGCAGCCACGCGCCCTCCTCCTCTTCCTGCCGCACGCACACACAAGATTAAAAAAACATTGGAATTTAAAAAAAAAATATTTTATTCAAAATGCTTCTCGACTGTTCGATTTGAATTCAATGTATCGGATCTTTTTATAGACAAAACGAAGAGCCGTGTAATAGTTTAAATGAGGTGGACATAACATGGCGACGTGGCATGACCGCGCATGCCTGTGAGACATGGACGGATATTTACTTTCATCACGTTGAAGCCGTTCATTGTGTCGAGTCAGCAGACCGAGTTAAATAAACTTATAGTATCAGTAAACAAAGTAGTTAATGCAATTAACGGAAATTATCAATTTTTAATAGTTTTTCTATATATTTTTTTTATATTTTTTATTTAAAAATACGATAAAAATCTCACCACTTCTTTGGATATTCTCTCGAATCGTTGTGAAAATTGATTTAGAGCATCTATAACTGGATCGCTTGTTTTGTTCTCGGCTGAATTTTGTCTGAAATTTACAAATACACACGCATTTTATATGACGTGTAGGAGCTATTTTAGAACATTACAAAGATTTTTTTTAAATAAACATTCGAAAAGAACAACAAATAAGAAAACGTCTAGGCTCTTCCAAGCGCTGAAACGAAAAAAAAATTAAACAAAAGACAATTGCCACTTGTATAGATGAAGATCACGAAAAAAGCAACATTTGCTCAATGCAAAAGAACCTAGAAGCCGTGCAGTCTTTGGAAAGCCGCTAGAAAACGCACACATCATATTATCTCAGCGAAACAAGCAACGACTAATAAAATTGGCGGTGGGAAAGGAACTGTGTTCATATATCAGTTTTTTTTAATTAATAAATAAAAATGTCTCTTTTAATATTAATAAACAATTTGTTATTAAATATTATTTAATTATAAAGCAGTGTTCGATATGTACATATGTGTAGTTTGAAATAATATAAAATGGTAATAAAAAATTGTGTTTGACTTTGAAACGTGAATGCGTTTAAGTATAAATGATCAGATATTGTGATCATGGATCAAAATATCAAAACAGAAGTGTGTATAGACAAGAGGTGGTAGGACGGGGGCGGAGGCGGGTTGGGCGTGGCACCTGGTGGTGTATCCGCTGGAGGGCGGCTGCAGCTCGGAGATGGAGAGGGAGGAGCAGGAGGTCTCGGTGGAGCGGCTGTGCTGCAGCGAGTACTTGCTGTAGCTGCACACACAACCTGCGCTAGCACCACCGCGGCTTGCTCGCTCACAAGCAATGCACCGCGCAATTATACTATACTTGTTCCATTTTAAAATAAAACTTAACCATAGCCCATCTCCAATTTCTTTAAAGTTAGAATTTGTGCAGAATTTTGAATTACTTTTCGTTTATATAATCATATTAGCTATTAATTTATTTATGACAATAACCATTCTAAGCTATAGAAGCTAATAGTTCATACACAAAATGGTTCAAACTGGATGAGAACTCGCTATAGGGTCTAACGGAAGTAATGACATGTAATTGCATTTTTTGAGCAACCCCCAAAGCTGGTGCTGCACACAAACTCCTCTTTAAATAATACAAGCGCACACACAGTAATGGTATTGGCATTTGTATTTAAATGTGGCTTTTTAGTCACGTTTTAAGTATATTTTAACTAAGAAGACAGTTTTGAATCCGGCTGTGTACCGATATTAATGATACTTTTATTCATCATCATCATATGCAGTCTGCTTTTGTCCATTACTGGACATAGGGCTCTCCTACGCCACGCCACTGAGCTCAATTGTCAGCTCTACGCTCCAAGTTTTGTTTGAATAGGTAGAATTTCAATGTTAATCCATTAAAAAATGTTGACAAAAACGCTCCAATTCAAATTAGAATGAAGAAATATGTAAAAGTGAAAAAAATATTTTTTTAAGGTTATTTTATTTGTTAGTTCATTTTTATGCTTAAAAATCATTTATAGTTAAAATTTTAATTTGTCAAGTAACACAAGCCTCATGCAGTTAAGTTTAAATTTGGAAAACGATCGCAAACTTAAGGCCAATTAAAGCGTATTACTTTATCAGACGACATCTAACTACCCTCACTGTCGCGTGGTGAGGTAAGAAAACCACTAAGCATTTTAAAGTGTAACTTTGTCAAATGTAACGTTAAAAGTTTAAGAATTTACATTTGGTTTTAATGGTAAGTGTGGTTTTCAAATTTGAGGAATTGTCATTATATGTGTATATAGAGATGGTGCAGGACGTACCGTTTGACCTCGGGCGCGTGGTTGTGCACCTGCAGGTGGTTGCTGCTGGGCTGGCCGTGCTCCGAGCTGTCGTTCACTTGCACCTGACGTTCCAATTATTTACAATTTAAAATTAATACGTTTTTTAGATTTACTCGAATGTTTGACATTTTAAATAAAACTATCTTTTCGGATTATTTCGCGGATTTATTTTGATTTTTGGTTCTCGATGTTTCGAATGCTTTCCAGCAATCATGTTCACGGGAGAGACTAAAGTGTTAGATGTCTCAAGGCGTTATATACTTGTTAAAGACAGTGCCTATCTACAATTGTACAATCTGTGGAAATAAATTCACGAAATTCGAAAAGATATATTAAATTTTAAATAAAACTGATATTTACGTTATCTCTATTGTAGTTTATAATAAAAAAAAAATCACAAGGTTAATTAATGAAAGCCTATAAAGAACGCCTGTTTTCAATTATATTAAAATATTTTTGATAATTGCTAAAAATATAGTCAATTTTAAACAGTGTAAATAAATTATGTTATTAGTCTTGTTGTAGTTTATTCAAAAATATATTTTAAGAGAAGACCAAATATACATTTGTATGTATTAAAATATATTTTCTATAACAGATTTTATCAATGTTAATAGAGCTAAATTCTTAGCAAGACTCAGTACGCACCGCGGTCGCGGCGTCGCCGTCGGCGGCGGGCGCGGCGCCGGGCAGCGGGCTGGCCGCGCTCTCCGCGTGCTGGCGGCACAGCGTGGCGCATCTGGAGCCACGTGAATACATGTCATTTACAGTTCGGTTTGGATCCATTTTTACAAACGATAATCCAACAAACCCTTCAGTTTCAGCTAGTGAGACCTTTACATAAATGATTTTACATCTAAGTATGTATGGCAGAAATTTTAACATTCGATAAAAAAGTCTTAAATGTTACACACAATTAACCTTTTTTTTTCTATATAGTAAAAACAAATGTTTAGTGCAAATTGGGAAATACCATGATAAACACAAAAAAATTCGGACTTTCAAAAATAACATGTATGTATCTGTAAAATAATCAACAGTCTAAGTATTATGAAATATCATATTTATTTCACCTCTCGCAAAGGCCCTGCTTGATGGAGTTTTGCTGACAGCCGGACGTGGTGATGGTGATGAGCTTGTGCCCCACCAGCCACGTGGTGGACTGCCCGCCGTTGAACAGGAACTCCGCCGTGTCGCTCCTGGGGGCGAGGGTTTAGAAAGCATTGCGATATATACTCAGCGATTATTGATGGAGGAGTGTGCAGTATTCGAATGCCCAGTCGGTAGGTCAATTAAATAGGAATACTATAGGCTATATATCAGCATGTTACTACTTAAGGAAGCAGAGCAGTAATCATAAATGCCAATAAATTGGGCAGACTTTCATACGTTATTGCAAAGGGAAGGCTCTAGGGACGACCGAAAGCGAAACGAGGGTGAGTCGTAAGTCTCCGAATAAAAAGGAATAAGCTGTAAACATGTATGGTTCCGGTTTGGCACTTTATTTATGTTAGGCCCAAAAGTGTAAAAAGTTCTCAGAGCATGAAAATCGTTTTATCAAAACCTCTTTATTACAAGTGGTACTGTACAAGTGTAAGTGCGCGTACCTCTGCGGCTTGACGGAGCAGGGCGTGAAGGCGTATCTGGCGAGCAGGTCCACGCACGTCTCCGTCAGCTCCACGTGGACGGCGGCGGGCGCGCTGCCGCCGCGGCCCGCGCCCCCCGCGCCGCCCGCCAGCGGCGCGCGCGACACCGCCTTCGACCCCTGAGCACGGACAGACAACATCTTATAAAGTATATACACTAGGGTGGAGAGAAAAAAATGTTTTGTTTTCTTAGCTTGGGGGTAGAATTTGTAGCTTATAAAAAAACAAAAAACAAAACTTTTGAAATAAAAAAAGATTTTTTTTACTCTTTTTTCATATGTAGACTTTTACATTGGTATATGTTCAGCAACATATTTCCTTTGATAAAATAAAATTTTCATCCGGTAAACAGATAGGTGAAGGTCGAGCTTACTTCATATCCTCTTTGTGGTAGTCATATTCAAAATGAACCACCTATGTTAATATCAATATTTAAAGACCTAAGATTTGAACATGCTTCACTAGTTTACTAAACGAGTACCACTGAGCAACCTAGTCACTTGAATATTTATTTATAATAATTATTAGTTACATTATTTTATTACACGAACATCTATACATTAATGTATAAATTAGGTTTAGAATAATACATTTAAATGTAAAAGAAATCTTTAAAACGAAATATGTAGTGAAATATGTGGCACTCACGAGACTGGAGCTGCGCTGCCGGTTGGAGGAGTCCTCGTTGGCACCGGGCGGCTGGAAACTGTTGTTGCTCTTGTACTGCAGCTGCTCCTCGAATGGCATAATGATGTAGTTGTGCAGCCCCTGCGGCACGCCGGCGTATTGCTTACGTTCACTCATACGTTTTATATACAATTATGATTTGTGGATTTAATTACATACAATATTTTTTTTTTTACAAATAAAATAAATCACAAATGCAGAAGTTTATGAAGGTATTTCTTAACATAAACATATTATGATGTTACAATTCATCACATCAGAATAAATTTCGAAATGAAAATAACTTATATCTTAGATCGACACGTAGGTTACTTTCGACGTATACATAGACCACGCGTACGTAGGTGTGAAGGCGGTCGTGGAGGGCGCACTGAGCATACTCACGTGTATGATGAAGCGCACGAAGTTGCGGCGGTAGGAGAGGCGGCACTTGAGGAACCAGGCGGCGATGACGTGGTGCGCCAGCGACACCACGTAGTGGTTGTAGCGCGACGGGTTGGTGTACGGCAGCAGGATGGCGAACACCGACATGTACTGGTCCTCCACGAACGACGCGAACACGTGCGGCAGCCGCGTCAGCGCTGCCGGCACACGGGCGGACCGTCAGTAAATATGGTGGGACATTTGTAGCGGTTTCGAGTCACGCTGGAGGCATTCGTTTGTGTCATGAGCACGAATATGTGAGTACACTTTCTATTTAATAAAACGACCCTATACACACTACAACTATTTAACCCATTATAAAGGTCCTGTTGATTTGCATTTGTATTGATACGAATGCAAGTAGTCTGCGTTTTTTAAGACGTACGTTTATGATACGCTCGTCATTGTCACTTTTATCGAACTCAATGTGCACATCGCTTATGTTTAGCAGCGTATAGTAAGAGCGATAATGCACGCACGTAAACGCGTAATAATAAAACGTGTTGTGTATACTATATCTTACCATAATATATAGGAAACAATGTCATCTCTTTCCATGTGGAAATTTCCTGTGTAACTGTGTCGCTAACAAGGGAACACACATACAAATAGACATGGAAAAATTCCGGTTTCACTTCACAAAAAAAACTACACTTAAATTGGACACCTATTCTGTTAATTTTGATAAAATTTGTACCGTATTCATTTTAAAAAAGTCACAAAATATAAGTAAAAAGTAAAGAAATATTGAATTGCTTACTCGAGAGGAACTCCAGCATGGGGCTGGCAATGGCCTGCGTGTCGGAGATCTTGGACAGGTCCAGGAGCACTTCCGGCAGCATCTTCACCATGGTGTCCCGCGTCTCCAGCGTGAACATGGTCAGCGCGTTGATGTACGGCTGCGGCGTGCGCAGGACTGGCGGGCGGGAGAGGTATAATAATAAGTATGTAATATTGTATTGTATCATATGAAGTTTATCATCAGAAAGAAACAGATAATGTACAGCGAAATAAAATGATTTTTATAATGAGGTTTTTAATAGTATTCATAGACGACTGTTTATTTTGATCACTATAATATTTTTATGTAATTTGTTTTTACGTGAACTTTTGAATATTGAAATTTTTAAATTGAATATTAAGAAACAATATGAAATATACAAAACGTAGTATCAATTATAATTCGAAATCAATAATAATATTTAAAGCAATAATAATATAACGAAAACTGCTCACCCATGCCGTACTTGAGCAGACAGCGCACGATGCGCTGCTGCGTCTGCGGCTCCAGGTAGGCGTGGTAGGAGGCCAGCGCGGCTAGCGCCGGCAGCGCCGTCGCGTGGAACTCCGACACCAGCAGCTTGGCGCCGCCCGCCGCCGCCCCCGCGCCGCCCGCCGCCGCGCCCGCGCGGATGCCGTCCGGGAAGCACGGGCTGCGGTCGGACACCTGCACACAGATATCAAATATTGAGAAACGGCTTTATTTTATACATACATAACACGCACACGCACGCACTCCTGCACGCAAGCAGAGATGCAAAAAGACGTGAAAGTCTACTTTTATATGATAGTTGACAAACGGGTTTAGGGTTGATGAGTATTGTAATTTGCCATGAGATTATTGTAGTACAGTTAGAGTTGCCAACATTTTTTCGGTGAAATATAGTATTTTCCAAAATAAGCTATAAAAAATATAGTACAATTATAAAAAGTATAGTATGTACTTTATGAAAAAAAAAACATAAAATAGTCAAATATATATTTGTTACTTATTTATTTTAGACTGACCATGGAGCAGAGCGTGGAGGCGAGCAGGTCGAGGTCCTGCGCGCGGCGGCCGACGGCGAGCGCGCGCGCGTTCAGCAGCTGCGGCAGCGCGCGCAGCACGTGCGCCAGCACGGCCCAGTCCGCCTCGCGTGTGAGCGCCGCCGTGAGCGCGTGCGCGGCGCGCCCCACGGGCAGCAGCAGCGCGCCGGGCGGCGGCTCGCGCGCGACTGCGGCGGCGCGCACGCGCGGCGCCGGCGCCTCGGCCAGCAGCAGCGGCGAGCAGCGCGGCCGCAGGCGCAGCGCCGCCGCGCCGTACACCGCGCCGCCCCCCGCACCGCCCGCCGCCTGCTCGTAGCAGAACCCCACCATGTTGAACTCGTTGGCGCGCAGCGCGAACAGCATGTCGAAGATCTGAGGAGGTCACTCTCTTATTGCCAAATATGTACAGTTATAAAATTACTCGTCCTGGCTGGTGCACCGATATCGAGATTAAATTGTTTGGAGTTGATATAATGACAAGTACTTCTCCATTCTACGTGACATTGGCGAAGTAAATTGAGCTCAACTAGCCCGTTTTAATGACAAGTAATTCCAACAATAACATAAGTAATTAGTATAAAAGAATATTTAAAATTTTCCTCTAAAGAAATGAAAAATTAGTTTACTGATATTAACTTTTTCAAATAAATATTATACACTAAATACTATATATATATGTATAGTGTGTACCTTGAGCCGTATGTCCGGGTGGTGGTGCAGCAGCGCCGGGCGGCGGTAGTGGTGGTCGAGGTGGTCGAGCAGCACGAGGAAGGCGCGCGCGGCGGGCGCGGGCGGCGCGCGCAGCAGGCGCTCGTGCAGCAGCTCCAGCAGCCCCGCCGCCGCCAGCCGCAGGTCGCCCGTGTCCGCCTCCGCGCCGTACTGCACCTCCGACACGTACATCTCGAACGGACGGTTCAGGATCTGCGCACAGGCACCTCGTAGCTTATTGTATATAGTAAATATTTTCTACAAGCGTTGCAAATATGAATTAGCTGGTTTTCTTAATGGGTGTAAGTATCCGTTAAAAATATTTTTGGAGATTTAATCCTTAAAAAAGTAAAAAGGTGTTTTGGAAGTTTGTAGGAAAATTCATTATTTAGTTATGTATATAAATCACAGAAACCAATAATAAAATTAGATGTAATTTTGGATTGAATTTTATGTTATTTTAAAAATAGAAAAATATGGAGTTTGATTGAGACTACTTTTAAAATTATGGAAACCAAAGAATTTATGAATAAACAAAATATTTTTATGTTATTTATAAGATATGTTATGCATTTCTAAATATCAGGTAAGGTAAAGTTATAAAAAAATTTAAAATACATAAATATTAACAAAATCGTCAAAATGTTAACAAACCAACCTTCTCGAGATGATCGATGAGGTCTATGCACGCGTCGGCGGAGCAGAGCTTGGCGAGCGGCGGCAGCGCGCGCGCGGCGGCGGCGCGCAGCGCGGCGTCGGCGTCCAGCGCGGCGGCCGCGGCCACGGCGCCGCCCACGCGCTCGGCCAGCTCGTCGCCGTGCGCGCGCTGGCGCCGCGCGAACGCGCACACGGCGCCCAGCGCGTGCAGGCGCACGGCGCGCCGCCGCTCCGCGCGCACGTAGCGCTCCACCAGCGCCAGCGCCGCGCCCGCGTCGCCACCGCGCAGCATAGCGCACCGCTCCGTGATCAGCCGCATCGTCGACGCCTCCTGCCCGCCACACGACACACAACAAACACGTCGATACAGACACGATACATATAAACGATCAGTATTTTAAATGAACTGAATTATTTTAATTTTTGGTTCCCAACGTTTCGAATGCTTTACGACAATCACGGTCACGGAGAGACTCGGAGATGCTGTAAAGCATTGAAAATAATTTTATTTAAAATGTTAAATATTTGTGTAAATGTAAGAAAATATTAAAAAGCTAAACCTCGTGTAAATACAAAATTTGATCCAAATTGTTCCACCGTTCCCTAGATAGACCAAATAAATTTATACATATACAATATACAAAAAAGAAATAAAGAATATTACTATATTTAATTATAATACTTATTAATTTTTTTAAATGTTTATAAATAAAAATCAACAAATATTGAAAGGTACTTTAGTGCCATTTTTGAATTTTTAAAATCATTTTTGTAAAATAGTTTGTGAGACGTCTTTAACCTTAATCTCTTCCGCGTCCATAATTGCCGTAAAGCATTCGAATCTCGGGAACCAAAAATCAAAATAAATCCGCGAAATAATTCGAAAAGATAGTTTTATTTAAAATGTCAAATATTCGCGTAAATCTAAGAAAGTATTATACAAGAATGACTCATTCAATATATAATAAGACAAAGTGAAGACGCGTACGGGTCTGTCGTGGCCGCAGTAGTCGATGAGGTCGAGCAGCGCGTCGGCGTCGCCCGCGAACTGCCCCGCCTGGTGCAGCGCCTCGATGGACGAGATCAGCTCGTGCACTTGGCTGTGGATGGGCTCGTGGCGCGGCTCGAAGCTCTCTGCCAGTTCCAAATACTCATTAATATACATTCTAGTTACTTGTATACGAGTCATAAAAATCTCTAAACTTTAGACATTTTTATGACTTGTATAGATATAGGCTATATAGAAATAGTTAAAAATTAAAGTGGGGGATTTCAGGTGTAAAATTGTGTGTCTTAAAAAAATCTTCCAAACCAATTGAGTGGGGTATCAAAATAAAGGTTTTTAAGAAACTATTACGAAAGTATATACAACTTGTATGTTTAAAAGCTGTACATATATATATATAAAAATACCCGACTGCATAAAAGCTAACTAAAAAGATGAAAACAAGTTGATGAAGGAATATAGTATTATCCCCCCCAACGTGCGTTCACGGCAATCCAACCGGGCGCGAAGCTAAGAAACCGATCCTGCGACGCCCCATTAAGACGGGGGAAGGTTTTGTTGGGTTTTAGTGGGTAGTACTGGCTGTATTACGCCGGTGAGTCCCACACGTCGTGCGTAAATGCATTTCCCAACGTTAAAAAAAAAAAAAGAAAAAAAAAGGAATATAGTATTATGCAATCGGAGACATACTGACGTTTCATTCTTTTTCTTCAACTGTGTATTTCGTCAACTTGTTTTCTTTCATTTAGTTAGCTTCTATACAGTAGGTTTTTATTTTATTTTTATAATATATATTTTTTATCCAAAAGAAACGTTTGACTCCAAAAATACAGGTTCACACTGAATTTAAGAGACAGCAGTTCAACTTATTTAATTCTGTACTTTTCAGTTCTATTTATTGTTGTCGTATGTAACATAATAAACGAACTATTATAATGATATAATATATTGAAGTGTGTATGGTAACGGTACTGACTGTCCTGCTGCAGCACGGCGCGCACGATGTCCAGCAGCAGGTCCCAGGCCACAGCGTGCAGCTCGTGCGGCGCGCGCGCCACCAGGCTCTGCAGCGCCACCACCACCTCGTACGTCACCACGGCCTGCCGCCCCGCCAGCGCCTGCGCCCGCGCAACCACAAACAACGTACAGACTAAACTCACACACTCACCTTATTCCAATATTAAGTATAATAAAGCATGTATTTTAACTATGTACAACATATAGTGAATTTTTCATCATCATCATTCCAGTATTAGTTTAAATAATAACAATATCAATTTTGTACTAGGAAATATTTTTACAATATTTTGAAGCACTTCTACTTTTATACTCCTAATATTGCGAAAATTTTAATGTAAATATTTGTTATTTTACGTATTGATCGAGTTAAGTACGTCGAGCTCGTATGCGAGTAAAGTACTTATTCTAGCAACTATAACGATACAATATAATAAAGATAGATTTTTTTATCATTAATACTCGTGACTTACCTTTACTTCCAATATGTTTTCAATAGATAAAAATTAAGTTAATTAAAGTTACTTTTAGTATACTTTAGGAAATATTAATATTTTACACATACTACCGCAAACTTTATTTTGAAAGTTATGAAGAAAAATAAGAATTGCCTTTCGAGCCGGTGGCAGATCCCTCACCGACTTACATATTGATAATTTAAATTTTAAAAATGGCTATTCAACAGTGCTTGCGCTTGCAAAAGTCTATTTGAATAAAATATAGTTTGATCTAATACAAATATTGCATAATTTAGGTATTTGTACTGAAAGCCTAAATATTTTCGGAATAAAACATACACAATATATAGCGCTAAAAACTTTTCTATCTTTTAATAAAAGTTCCATTACAACCAGTTAAGCAGAGTAATCTTTGTTAATACTCTGGTCAAACATAAAAACTGACAAACAGACAAAAAATTAAAAAAGGGTTTTTAGGTACTGGTATCATATAAATAACTATGTGCTGGAGAAAGCATAGTTATTATAAAATCACAGACAGACACGTCATCAGTAGTCGGTGAGGTAGCAAGTGTGAGGTGGTGGTGGGTGTGTGACCTTGAGGAAGGCGGGCAGCACGGCGAGGAAGGAGACGTGCAGCGCGCGCACGCGGCGCGGCCCCCACAGCGCCATGTTGATGTAGAACACGGCGCCGCGCGCCAGCCCCGCCGCCTCGTCGCCCGCGCCGCCGCCGCCCGCCGCGCGCACCAGCCGCGCCATCTCCGCCAGCGCGCAGTGCCCCATGTCCGCGCCCATCACGTTGCGCATCAACTGCCCCACACGTTACCAATTTTAGGTTTACACGGACATTTGACATTTTAAACAAAATTATTTATCACCATTTTGTAAAGTCTTTAATAACTATAATTAATTAAACATTAATAATAACAACGTAATATAACATTATAACATTTTTTTTAATTTATTAACAGCTTCTTCAAAAATTTCAGTAAGATTTAATATTGAAACTAATATTAATTGTACTTCGAAATTTTTAAAACTCTTAAAGCTTCTAATTTTTTAATTTTTCACGATCCCTATAGAGAGTGTGCGCGAACTATAGAGGGCAGTACTTCTGTAAAGTAGTTCGAAAGTAGAGCGCCCTGGTGTTAAATAAGAAGAACGTAGTGATGTAAACTGTGTAATAAATAATATTAGTTACGCCTAAATAATGCAAAAAATAATAATATTTGCTTAATTACCGATAAAAAAATATAGGATCGGATTAGAGGTCAAAACGATAAAAAAGGCCAAAAATTATTCTTACTATAAAAAAATCTGATTATTTTGAAGAAGCTGTTAAAAAATTAAAAAATATTACTTTAGCTTCATAATAATCTTTTATTATTTATGAAAAATTAAGTTAGAACTTGCCTAATACCTGCTAACTGTAATATCATATTGGTTATCCACGCTGTGTTCAATAAACTTTCGGGAAAACGATAACATTTCAACTGCGTATTATTTTTATATGGCTAATTTGAACAGCCACGGATACTTTTACAGCAAGATACTTTTGATGAAGACAACACAAACACTTATTTTAATTAACAAAAAATATGTAGATGTTTGTTATTAAGTTATCTTCATATGAAATAGAATAGATAACTAACACCGAGGGTAGTAGGTTACCTTGCGGCTGTTCTGGCAGTACTGCTCGACGTTGACGGTGCGGCAGAGCGCGGCCACGAAGGCGGGCAGCGCGTCGCGCGGCAGCAGCGAGTACGACACCACCGCCTCCAGCAGCGACAGCGCGCCCAGCACCACGCCCGCCTCCGCCGAGTACCCGCACAGGTGACACGCGTTGCTGCACACGCACACACACACTATGTACTCACACCCGGGTACCAATTAGAGCACCAGCTTTTAGCATCGTCACCTCATAAAAGTGTTTGCATGTAACTATATTCTAAAGCCACAGTCTACTAATCTATACAGTCTCCTAACTAATAGATCCAGACAGAGCGATCGTGCAAAGAGTGCGGAGGAATGTCGAGATACAACTTTAGGATTGATGGGATGGAGTGCAGTATAGCACTTGGCCACAGGATGGCACTACTGCGCTTTAACTTCAAAACTGTTCAGCGTAAAAATTATATTTCCATTAACATCAAAGGCAAGGATACTGTATGGATTTGCATACTGATGTTTAACTATGTAATCTAAATTAATTAAAACCTTACAAGATTAGATTGAACCTAGTCACATCTCGCTCTCCATCCCTTACCAATGGCAAGATAATGGAGAAGTTTCCCATTTTATTGTATTAATTATAAAAAATTAAAAATGTTGTGTGTTTTGTATAAATTATAACAAAAATATGAAAGAACTATTAAAATATCTCAATGAATGAAAAAGTCATGACACTTGAAGTTGAGCTTGTAAGAATAATTTCGTGACGTCACACGACGTCACACGGCCTGAACGAGCTAAATTTAAATTAAGTCGTTTATTAATAGATTTCAAAACATTTTTTTATACTGATTTATTAGTTTTTATCTATATCATAGTTCCATACCGTTAAATATTATATTGACAACATCAGTAAACTTCTCCATTCATGCCCTGCATGTCTTTGCTATGTACTGTTATTATTATATGCTCCATATATTATATGTATATTAGCAGAAACCGCGGCTTCGCTCGCGCTAAAACTAGAAAAAACACTCTAAAAAAGTAGTTTCATACAAACTTTCTTCTCCTATTTTACCCCTTCATAGGATAAATTTAGAAAAATGCTAAAACACGTATTTATTTAATTTTATTGAAGTGCAATAATACTAAGTTTTAAGTAATTCTGATCATATTTTTTTTTGGATTGTATTATAATGTGTATTCCCTTAGGAATTAGATAATGTCCCGCGGTAAAAAGTAGTCTATGTCATTTACCAGCCCTCCAACTATCTCCACACAAAAAATCACACCAATGCCTCACTCCGTTTCAACGTGAAAGAAGAATAAACATACAAACACACTTTCGCGTTTATAATATTAGTATGGATATGTAATATATTGTGATACATATAATTGGAAATATAAAAACTAAAACAAATCCAGCACATGGAAAACAATTACAATACAAACTAAGAAAAATGTACAAAAATAAAACATACTTTACAATTCCATGAACAATTTCCTCATTTAAATATGCAGCATTAAATTTGACCACATTCGTTACAAGATTGAGAAAATCTATGATGTGTGCTGGTGTCTGGATCTGAGGTAGCCATTCCAGCAAGAACGGCCCAATCTGTAATTGTATAAAAAATACAATAAATAAGTACATATAAAATTGTACATATTGACAGATAAATAAAGCCTATGTAACAATAATGACATTGCACTTTTAACAAACTTTACTGTTAAAATGAAAAAAGGTTGGTAAATTTTATGTGGGAATTGGGAAATAATGTTTTTGTAGGCAAGCTTCTTCAACACAATTACTAAGTTAGTTTTTTTAACACAATCACTGCAGGAAACTATGTGGTTTACATTACACTTGGGGAAAATATGCAGAGGAATCAATATTTTTCAGAAAGTGTGAAATTAATAATAGGTTCTGCGGAGCAGCTACCACTGTGTGAAATATACAATAAAAATCAGAAACATATTCATATGAATATAAAGTTATTAACTGTAAAGTTACATAATTTAAATAATAAAAAATATGCAAGTCAATAGAAGCAGTGTGGACTTTTAATTTTATTAACAGCAATTTGTTGTCAGATTTATTAACAAAAACAAGTTTCCTAAGATACAACAGAAGGCACATACAAACATACATAAAAACAAACAACATACAAACATACTGTTATGGTATAATATTTTATATTTCCATAAATAAAAAGAATAAAGTTAATTATTATGTGTCATGACTAATTTTCTTTATAATAACATAGAAAAAAATTATAATATTTACCTGTTCTTCAAGACACTTTATATCTTTTCCAGAGTTTGTTAATGTGTAAAGTAATTTGAAGCGCAGTTGATAATCTTCTGGTGGATGGTTGGCATGTGTATCTTTTAGATGTCCGAATAGAATAGTTCGCATGATAAGCAGCTCAGATTGCCCTTCAGCAAAGCATCTCAGGAGCCCTAGGGCTGCATGACGAGCTTCTATATTTGAGTCTTCAAGTAGATCTCTTGTGTATGCCCATATCTTTTCTATACCACCCTGAAAAATAAACAAATGGTATTTGAAAGAAATATCAAGTTACAATTGATATATATTACTGTTAAGTTTAATCCCCTAATATGTCTTATATCCAGCGCAAAGATGAGATTTATGTTATCAAGAAGTATTACTTGATACTATACTTTAGGTTTTGTATATTGTTTTGGTATAGGGAAGGACAAATAAATCATGTTATTTATTGTAAATCATTGTTATTGTGCATGTAACTAACATTTGTGATAGTACAATTATACTACAATAATAAATATATGCAAAATAAAAAATACTTTAACTGTTATATTAATACCTATTACCCATTTAGCATTCTTTATGTTTTTTATGTATTATATTAACCTGTTGACATCTTCCATGAACATGTTATTGTTAAAAAATAAGTTAATAGTTGCATGTTATGACATGATACTTGTTTTCAGTTTTTAGTGAGGAAATTTAAATGCAATTATATAAAAAGATATGATAGATAATTCCACATGTATGTTATAGATAATGGAAGTTGATATATCTGGATCATCATATAGATTTTAGAGATTTTGTGTTAAAACTATATCAAAGCAGCAGTTACGTACCCCGCTAGCTCTATAGTAAACATGTTTGTCCACTAGTACTATAGTAAAAATGTCTCAGAAGTCAGAACACATAATTATTATATGTATACAACTTAGTCATTTGGAATCTATCAATTTTGATTCCATTGTCAGAACTTGCTTAATTATAAGGCTTATCTCTAGTTCTTAAGTTGTACAGTCTGCATACAATTATACCATGGTATTTTTATTGAATTACTTAAAGAGGTTTTTTCATATCTTTAATATATTTGATATCACTTATTGATATATTACTAAATGTTATATTATTATTATGCGCTAAGGTAGTCCTACTTAAACTTGTATTAATTACCACTAAGCTTATATAGGTTAGAAAATGATTCAACAAAATATCTAAAGAAATAGATGATAAAACAGCTAATTATAGAAATAAACAAGGACTTTTTATACTATTTTAGGTGTATTTATCATATGAAACAAAAAAAAACAATTAAATATTAACAAGAATCACTCAAGACAAAACATGGTATTTCTTTTCTACAGTAACAAGCTAAAATTTTAACAGTTACATCACATACCATCATAATTCAAGCATAATGTGAGGAAATTTTAATAGCAATGAAACTCTACATTTGTTATTGCATAAGAAAGATGATGAGATGAGGGTATTAATATAATTTATGGTAGGTACTTACTTCTTGAACGCGGAATTGGAGGATCTTTTCACCGACATCCTTTATGGCGCGGAGACGGCGGTGCAGCGGCGCCTCCGAGCTGAGCTCCCGTCTTAGCTCCGCAGTGACCACCAGCTCATTTTGTGCCACGACAGGCGCTGCACCCACAAAAATACACTCTTAAACACCAAATCTACACTACCGGCTCGCGGCGATCCCGCGATTCAACACAGCTAACTATACGCACCCGATGCACCTTTCTTGAAGTACTCTTTTAACTTGTTGTGAAGGGACTTTGTGTCCCTATCTCTAGAGCCCATTGTGCGCCCACAGCGACCCTGGCCTCTTCCGAAATTAACCTAAAGCTAAAGCTAGGCGCGGCAATTACCTATGCGTATGAAATTGGAAATAAAAACACATATTTGTTAAGATTATTCTCACTACCGCTCTGCTTTGCTATTCACCATCTGACAGATTGATAGAACACCGTACAGCTGACAGATATCAGTTCAATACATGGAAACTGACTGTGATAATTCACTAAAATGAACGTTGTTATTTACAAATAAATAATCCTGATAGCCACACCTGACCTAAAGGAGGTTATTACAATAATTAACATACAATATTCTGTATATAAAAATAACTTTATCGCGATTAAGTGTCAATGATTAGTAAACAAATTACGCGACATTATTTTCTGAACGAAAACAAGTGTTGACATTAAGAAAATGATAGATGTTGTAAGTGCTAAAATTAATTACTTATGTTTGATTCTTGTAAATAAAATTATAATACAGGCTACTAAGTAATTAATTTTAGCACTGGCAACACCTATCATTTTCTTTTTTTATCTTTTATAATTTATAAATAATATTTATACTTGATTATTATTTTTATTCTATTGCTCCGCGCACCGCACAAAAATTTACGAAAGACTGAATTAATCGTAATCGCTATCGCTTTCTTTGGTTATGCAATATGTAGGTAAAATGAAACAACTACGAGGAAAAATATTGTTATTATTGATTAACAAAACTTGCAATTAAGAGAACTTATGAAGTATAAATTATACTTTGCAAACTTGTAAAAGTTTACATGCATTCATATTAGATATAGTCGGCCCATTACTTTATTCATATTACTATTCTTAAAAAAGGGGGATTATTGTTATTAATGAAAAATATCATTTTCAATAAGTTTCATTATCTATTTTTGTAGGTACTGGGGATGCACTGTCTGCAACAACTATATAATGCCTTTGAGACGTCTAAAATCTTAAGTCTTTTCTGTGACCATGATTGCTGTAAAGCATTCGAAACGTCGCGTCGGACACCAAAAATCCGAAAAGATACTTTTATTAAAAACTAGCGATTTACTGTCGCTTGGCTTGAGTTTATAGTTTTTAAGGGTTTTAATTTTTTTTGCGCGGAACCCTGATTCTTTTTCTAAAGTAAAAGTAGCCAAGTTACTCTTTATAACATCAGCTATCTGCCAGTGAAAGTCTCGTCAAAATCGGAGCCGTTCCATGTTTTGTGGTCTTGCGGGTGTTTAGTGCTCCCACCACTGCCGCCTATGCTCCGGCAGTGGTGGGAGCACTAAACCCTTTGCATCTAATTTGTCCAATTCATCTCGCCACCTAGTTTGTTCACACATAGTTATTTAAGATAGCTATTTAAAATGTGTTTTACTGTGTATATTTTTAAATCTATACATAGTATAACAAATTGTAACTAAGCCGAATCTGTACATTAAATATTTTTTGGAAAAGTCTTATTGAAATAGACATTATTATCGATACAGAGGCCGAATCTATAGTTTTTAGAATTTTTGTCTGTCTGTCTGTTACCGCATCACAGAAAAAACACTGGAGGGATTTTGATGAAATTTGGTATGGTGATAGCTGGTTATCCGGGTCAACATATAGAATACTTTTTATCGCGGGAAAATATCTCATTTTTGAGAAAAATGCAAAAACTGCAATGTAAGAGTATACTAATATGTAAAACCTAAGAATTTGGTTTTTGGTTATCTGAACGCGGGCGGAGCTGCGGGCAATGCTAGTAATATTAAATGTGAAAGTTGTGAGTATGGATGCATGGATGTTTGCTACTCTTTCACGCCAGAACAGCTGAATGGATCTGGATGAAATTTGGCACAGAGATAGATTATAGTCTGGAATAACACATAGGCTTTTTATCCCGGAAAAATGTACGGTTCCCGTGGAATAGGTTTGTTTTTGTTTTGTTAAAGGCGAACCCGAGCGAAGCGAGGGTGAGCCGCTAGCAAAATTATAATATTATAAATGCGAAAGTTTGGATGGATGTTTGTTACTCAATCACGCCAGAACGGCTGAACTGATCTGGATGAAATTTGGCACAAAGATAGATTATAGTTTGGAATAAACTATAGGCTACTTTTTATCCCAGAAGAATGTAATTATAATATTATAAATGCGAAAGTTTGGATGCACGTTTGTTACTCAAACACGCCAGAACGGCTAAACGGATCTGGATGAAATTTGGCACGTAGATAGATTATAGTTTAGAATAGCACTTTGGTTACTTTTAATCTCGGCAAAATGTACGGTTCCCGTGCAATAGATTTGTTTTTGTTTTTTTTAGTAGGGACGAACCTAAGCGAAATGAGGGTGAGTTGTTAGTAAACTATGAACTAGACGCCGTGACTGCTAGTTCATTATTTATGTCTATATTAAAAAACATTTTTGCGAAAATTATAAAACATGTTATAAAACTACTATGTAACAACCCTAGCCGCGTGTCACAGGTGAGTGCAAATTGTCGACCCTCGTCAATGAGGGGCAGTAGAGCCAGCGGCAAATTAAACGTTTAAATATTACTTGCTGCTATCCCTCTTCATAATACGATAGCTGCGTGACGGGCTGATTTACGTCTCACAGTTTACCTACCGGTTTCCAACTAGCTTCTAAAGATAGTTCTTAATATTAGGTAAATATAAGGGAGATTGGGTATAATATAAAATATCTTAAAATATTAAATGAGCAGTTTTTGTATATACCTATATAAATTTAAAGATTTGGCTTTTTAAGTTTATTGTTTATTATTGTTTTTTTAAATCGATATATTAAACGAATCGGTCATTTCAAAAACCTCATAAGTCACAAAATTATAATTTTTCAGAAATCAATAAAAACTGTTTCATACACAAACAAATGAGTTTTGAAGGACTTTTTTATGGTTAATTTAGTATTTGAGTGGTAAAAAATTAAAATAGCGTATAATCCTTACGCTTTATTAATAGAAATAATGAAAAAAACCTGATAAACAGTTCTTGACTTATGTTGTTTTAGCGAGAAATAGGTTTAGTGGTATATAATTTAACCAAAAAAATTGTAGTAATCATATTTTTTATTGCTTATAATTAAGAATTACACTTAAAAATAATCTTATTAACATTTTACATGTATTAATTTGTCATGTTTTAATATCTTTATGGTACATAGTCATATTCTCCATCATTCTCATCTGGATTATCTTCAACATTTGCAGTTGGCCAGCTAAAAATGTTGTTATAAAATGGCATATGCTCTTCCGGAATGCTATCTTGAACTTGTTTTAAATCGTCTATTTTTTTTTATTGATGATGATGATGCAAAAACCTCTTAAGTCACTGACTAATGTTGTTTATGCAATGAACGTCTTTCACGCGGTATTATTAAAAGAGGAAGGAATGTATTGACTTAAGTTGTTTTCACCCAGAATACGCATCTACCTTTGAAAAACCATTTTCTGTAAAAAAAGCATGTTGGAAAAAATGTTGACTTAAGTGGTTTTTGAAATGACCGATTCAAACATTTTAAACGGAATATGCCTTATTGACTTTGCAGTATGATATCTGAAAAAAAGTATGCTATAGTTTTACCTAATTCCAACTAGATGGCGTTACCTTCGCAATGAATCTTAAACTCAATTTTTAAAGTAGGCACGCACCGTGAAAGTTGTAATAAACAGGTATTATTAAATATATCTTTAATAATTATATACAAATTATGCTTTATTTTTCTTACTTAGGTACCAACAAAGTTTAATAAACAGTAGGATAAAAAATCATAATATCAGCCCATGACAGATGTAAAAGCTTCCCTGTTTTGTAAAATTACTATGGGCCTTATAGTTTCGTTTCTTAGAAACTTTGTGCAAATTATTTCTACGCAAAAATCTCATCGATTCGATGTTGTTACAGTAATAAAAGGATAAATAACCAAATCAATGAAGCAACTAGCTTTCGCATTTACGATATTAGTAAGGACGAACTGTATCCTGCCCGCGGCGTCCCGTGTCACGCATGTAACCGTTAAGCACGATCTCCGCTTTATTTGGGACTGGGACCTTATAACATAGAGTTAGCACATTGCCTTTTTTAATTTTCCAAAATTATATTTGGTTAACTCATTATTTGGCTTATTATAGGGATCATTTATGATAGGATATTAAAGAAAATCGTAAATAGTCGTTACCACTACTGAATAGACAAACAGATAACTTCTATTAGATTAAGTTTAAAAAAACAGCTTTCGTTACTACTTTTTTATATATTGATGTGTACGGAGAGATTGACCTTGACCTAGGGTTGAAGGTAATAAATAAAACCTTCGTGTGCTTACTGGATTTCCTGCCTTGACACGCACCGGCACTTAATTGATAACAAATTAATTATGCACATGAAAAGGTTTGATATTATAACAGTAAGTGATTATGAAAGCGTACCGATTTTATTTTTATATTTTATTTATGAAATTTATTATTTCTGAAATGTTGGTACATCATAACGTGGTTCCTCAGTGGTGGTGACCATTAGGGGATCGAGGCACAGCAGTTGGTCGCGTAAATCATTCCAGCCGTTATTCCCTACCGGCGGCGGTTTCGCAACTCTCTCTATTCTCCCTCCTGGCCCGTACAATGCCACTGCTTTCAATTTCTTAGGGAACAAATCTAACGTTTTGAAATATTTTGAGAGTTTTATAAAATCTTCGGTGTTCTTTAATGATTTAGTAGAAACAACTCTAGGATTCAAACATCCAACCATGTTCACGTGACCCCCAGGGAAGTATTGAAATAGTTGCAGCAGAGAGTAACTCCAACTATAATCATCGTACATACAGAATTGCGCTGACAAGGAGAGTATCTTTTCCCATGTAGTTATATTGAAAGCTAAACCTACATCGAAAGGTGGTCTCCATGCTTCCACAGTTAATAGGTCCCAGTCATTATTTCTGGTTAATGGTCTACCAAAAGACAATATCTGTACGTTTGGAAAATAATTAAAAGAGCGCTGTAAATATGGATACACGTATAACAGGTCCGGTGCCACGTAATTGTATTCTTCAAGGAAAATTATAGGATTTTTGTGCTTACGAGACCAGTTCATGCGATCGAAGACATAATTAGCTTTCCACCACCAGTGCTGCTTGTGCTCTGTAAGTCGAGCATTGCGTCTAATACAGTTCGTTTGGCCGCTGTGCTCGCAGTCGTTATGGTCTACACCCGGGAACTTGTGAGGGTTAAGTTGTAAGGAGTACGGATAAAATATTTGCACAACCTTGCAATAGTCGATGCTACGTATTAATTTATTTATGGATGGATGGTAAAAACTGTGTGAGAAAATAAGGAGCGCAGTGTGTATGCCTTGCACTTGCGCGAGGGACAGAATGAGGTGGTGCAGTCGTTTTATGTCCTTATGCACTTGTATCATTATGACGGTAGTTCCAACTCCGATGGGCTCGAATCTGTCCGCGTTGCTAAGGTCCTGCTCGATATTATATTTCTCTAATAAATGTTTCAGGGCATTGATGTCATGTGTTTTATTAGTATCCTTGATCTCATCGTAAATTGTATATTTTTGTAGATAAAGCGGTAAATGTGTTGTGGAGTTTTCATAGATTATTCTTAATATCACGTAAAAACTAAGGAATATAAACAATACTATAAAAGCGCTTGCTGATCGCGTCTGTTCATAAAAATTTCTAAAATTCATTATATTATAATATTATAATTTTCTTAAATAGATATTATTATTTATATTGCGATGACAAGCACAAGTCATCTGCCAGTATCGTGACACATTATGAGATCAAGATATCCAGTCCGTGAAACACACGAACAAATAATTTTAACTGTATTTAACTATATGTAAGACACAATAAAAAAATGGAAAGCTTACTGAGAGTATGTAATGGTAATTTTTATTTTAAACAGTGAACGAGTTTAGTCACATTGTGTTAAGATTTTGTATGATTTTACTTTGAACTATAAATGGACTGTTTTTTAAGTAGTAAACTATTACATAATATTTATTTCAAATGAATTCTATAATAATTTATTTAAAATTTATGTAAATCCTACCACAATTTGCGTGATTTATTTAATTACCAAAAATCTGGCAAAGTGTAATTAAATGGTAACACTGGTTGCGACGACAGGGATGTACTGCAGGTGCAAACTGCACAGTAACCATGTAGTGTATCAGCTAAAATAAGTAACCCAAATGCTAAAATGAATCACGGCATTAATTTTGAATTTGTATGATTTTTATATTCTAGCTGTTGACGATAAAACAATTTTAAAAGTGGATATCAATTATTCTCATAAAAATTCAATAGGGAACATCTCGGCTAATGGATGCCGCGGAGACAAACCAAACTTCCTAGCTTCCCAACTTGCCACTTTTACTTTTTATTTGAAGGGAAATTTAATCTGACTAAGTATGTCATTTAAGTGCTTTCGCATTACGGGCTTACGATTTTATTCTTTACGATTTGAAGTGGGACGATTGTATTTAGTTATGAGATAGATGCCTCGCTGATGATCGTTTAATGCTAGCCAAGGAGATTTGTGCTCGGATTACTTTGTGTTAGCGTATTTATTGAAATATACATTTCACGAACTTTGTTTTGCTTTATAGTCAATAATATTAAAATTAAGGCGACTTCAAAAAGAATTTTTTTTTTGAGGTCGGTATTTTTTTTTAATTATTTTTTTATTTCGTAATTTTTGGTTTAAAGTAAAAACTGTAATGTTTTTTTGTAATTACTACTAATTACAAAAACTATTTCAGTTTTACTTACTCGTTTTAGTCCATATGATAAAAACTACTGAACCGATTTTGATGAAATCTTTACTGTTTCCTAAGTTAAAATAAATGTAAAAAATAAAAAAATAATGATCACGATCCGATAACTAGTTTCAGAGAAATGCTTGAACAAACATACATATATACAAACATACATACACCTATAAAATTTTTATATTTGTTTGAAAGCCCTAATAGATTATCATACGTGAATATTTTCTAGTTTCAATAATATAATATACATACGTGTCGAATTGATAATCTCTTTTTTTTAAGTCTGTTAATAAGAGTGCTTATTGATATGTTTTTCTCAAGTGCAGGAACAGAATATCAGTTCAAGCTGCATTTTCTGTACATAGTGATTGATATATACATAAAAATAGGAGAATATGAATTCATTCGTATATAATATATAAAGGCCCTATTATGAATTTTGATAATATATATGTACATATAATAAAATTCTGAGTCGAATCTGTACATTAAATATTTTTTGGAAAATCTTATTGAAATATTCATTATAATCGATGCGGAGGCCGAATCTATAGTTATTAGAATTTTTGTCTGTCTGTCAGTTTGTTGTTACCGCATCACGAGAAAACCACTGGACAGATTTTGATGAAATATGGTATGATGATAGCTGGTTATCCGTGTCAACATATAGGTTACTTTTTACCGCTGGAAAATATCTCATTTCTGAGCAAAAAACAAAAACTACAATGTAAGAGTATACTAATATGTAAAACCTAAGAATTTTTTTTGGTCACCTGAACGCGGGCGGAGCTGCGGGCAATGCTAGTATAAAAATAAATATCATTAAGTTTTGCACACGATGTTAATTACTTAGACTTTTATACTATTATTACATATTCATTTTTGAGTTAGATCTACCAGGTAGGCACAAACTAGGTCCGTTTCTATACATCACAGACGGCTGTAACATAGCCTTCGTAGTTTTATAAATATAATAAAACTTTAGCTTTTCCAGTGAACATAACTACACTTTTCCCTCACACGCTGCGTCAGGCTGTTAGTCGATGCATTTCGCTCGCAGTTTTGTTCACTGATTTATCGATACGGCGCGTTTAATGGCCTTTCGAAAGAAAAACAAACTATCTCCAAACTGTTTCGTGGAAACGTTCCGATTTAATTCTGCCAACTTCAACTTTAAGAGGCGTGAGGGTTTGGATTTGTGTTATTGGCTTATGCCTTTGGCAAACTTTATTCAAGAGCCAATTTAACAATTATTATCAAACAGTCCAATAAATTAGTGGATTTATCTGGATTTAGCAGTTTTATAAATTGAAATAGTAATAAGAAAAAATGTTATGTAATAAACTATATAAAGAATTCTCTATAATTTTTGTTTCACTTAATACCTTTGGAGTTATATTTTTTATCCAAACAGAATAACTCTAAATATATGTATAAATGTAATTATTTTAACTCCTATGAAGTCTGTTCCTTATTTGTATCTATTCAATGGCCTGGCAAGATGACATATTGTACAATCATGTGAGAATGACTACCTGTGATGATTTTACGTATACACAAAAACCCATACAATGTTTAGTTTTATATTAGATTTTCGACAGACATGAGTTGTCTGCCGACCCACACTTAGCGTGGTAGATGGTTCTATAGATCCTCGTTAAAATGAGAGATAAACACTACAAATAACGTAAAATTCTATGCCAATGAGATAACAAACATCTTTATAATTATTTTATAGAATATACCAATTGATATACACTTTATACCTATAAGTAGGCATTTTATTTGCACGGTTGACTTGTGAAGGTAATTATTATTGAACTTCTAGTTTTAGTTTCCTTAGCCAACGCGGTGCATCTCGTCGAGCCTTTGAGCAATTTAGACAACGAATAAATTCTCTTAGCTTCTTTATCCACGTTAGTTACTGATAAAAAATTCTCTTATTAATGCCATTTTTGTATAATTTTATTATAGTAAAGCTAGATTAAAATTAAGTCTCATATAACCGACTTCCAAAAAGGAGGAGGTTCTCAATTCGTCGGAATCTTTTTTTTCCTGTATGTTCACCGGTTACTCGAAGATGCCTGAACCGATTTGAAATTTTTTTTTGTTATGAAGCGTATTCTTCCAGGTGATCCCATATTAAATTTTGTTAAAATCGGTTGAGCAGTTTTAAAAAAAAATGAACAATAAATTATTTTTTTAAATAAATTACTTAATCGAATATTTTATTAAAAAACTTTCTTCTTACAAATTAGGTACTTGTTTATTACGTCTACACTAAAAATGGGAAAAATAAAAACTTTAAATACAAAATAAAATCTGACTTCCAGGCACTAAAATGTAAAAAATGTAGGTATCTATAGTAAATGAAAACCCCCGTTCAGTTAGAACGGGGGTTTTCATTTACTATAGATACCTAATCACATATTTTCAAAGTCGGTGCCAGCCGATGCAAAGCAATTATCTAATATATGTCGATACGTATAAAAACTTTTTAACAAAAAAATAAAAACCGACTTCAAACAAAAGCACTAAAAAGTAACAAATAACTGATTGGTAGTTTTCATTTACTATACATACCTAATCAAATATTTTCGAAGTCGGTGTGCTTAGCTTTGTATGGGCTGGCACCGATTTCGAAAATATTTGATTAGGTATGTATTTAATAGGTAGGCTTTAATTACTTAGCCAAAGCACACCGACTTCGAAAATATTTGATTAGGTATGTATAGTAAATGAAAACTACCAATCAGTTATTTGTTACTTTTTAGTGCTTTTGTTTGAAGTCGGTTTTTATTTTTTTGTTAAAAAGTTTTTATTTTTCCCTTTTTAGTGTAGACAGTAGTAGCAAAGTAAGGATTCTAACGTGTTAGGCTTGTCAAATCAAACAAAATAAGCCCAAACTCAAAGTATCTACTATTAGCTGTTGAAGAGTTCCACCTATCCACCTTCTGGCCTTGCCATCAGATCAGGTCAACAACACCGAACCACTGTACTATCAACGGAAATAGAAATACTTGCAAAGTTTCAAATCTATATGACAATTAGAAGTAGGTTAAATTCATCATTAGTTGTTTTTCCACCCTTAGGGGTGGTATTTTTTTTTGAAATTTAAATGGGACCAATCTGGAAGTACACCCTTTCAAACAAAATAAAAATTGTCCAAATCGGTTAATAAATGACGGAGTTCTGAGGTAACAAACATAAAAAAAAAAAAAACATACAGTCGAATTGAGAACCTCCTCCTTTTTGAAGTCGGTTGAAAATACATCACAAATTGATGTATAATATTTTAACTATTATTGCAGTTCATACCTAATCATATTTACCTAGTTATGGTTACACCATAAAACACCTACACACATAAAAGTACCTATTAGATATTTATACCCATGATTCTTAATGTACTAAATTTTTTTTTCAATTTTTTGTTTATAAATTTTGTTACTTTTGCAAGAAATAAAAGGTTTTTTTAAAATTATATTATTCGGTATTATATTATAACTTATTATTAGAGTTGATATTATTAATAAATAAACATTTTCATTATTGTAGTCTGATCGTTATTTTTATTAGTAGTTTTAACTTGAATTAATCAATAGCTTTATTTGATTAATTCAAGTTAAAACTACTAATAAAAATAACGATCAGACTACAATAATGAAAATGTTTATTTATTAATCAATAGCTTTATTTCGTCAAAACAAAGTTTATTGTGCAATCAAAATTTATTTTAAAATATATCCGAAAATAACATTAAAAATTCAAGTAATAGTATAAAAAATGTTTTAAAAGACAAAAAAAAAATCGAAAGTGAATAATATGATCGAAAGTGCAAGACTTCCGCGATACCATTCAGCAAAGAGAGACAATAGCATTCCCAAGGAGGGTTGACGTCAGGCAGGCGG